AGGGCAGGCATGTCAAAGTCAAATACATCAGAGGGCCAAAAAAAAATGTTTGCTACGCGCCGAGGGCCGGACTGGTTCAATGTTTCTCAACATCCAGAGGCAGTGCCGGTGACACCTGCTGGCTCGATAAAATATGCTCTAAAGCCAATCCTCATACTGTACATATTAGATGTAATAGACATCTGAGAACATGACAATAGTAAAAAAAAAAAAGCTCAAACTTGGTGAAATGTAAAAGAGCAGTCTGGACCTCTTTTCGGGGCGTTTTTTGAATAAATCTGAAGAATGGATTATACTTTGGGAAATACAAGTGGATGTTCTTCTTCAATGAACAGTTACGGAGAGAAAGAGACTAAGCAAGGATGGGGAAAGTCTAATTTGTTGGAGCAGCAGAAGACGAAAGGTAAAAAACAAATACAGACGTGATTTATTTTGTGCCCATATTATGCGTTATATCTTTTTAATGCAAAGTCTTTTACACTTACATATAAATATATCTGAGAAAATAAGCTTTAAAATGATATATAGCTTGTGGCTTATAAAGTTCAAAATACATCTGCTATTGCCAGCAGATGTATTTTTTTCCTCGTTTGCTCCCGCCGGCGGGGGCTAGCGAGCTTAAGGGGTCAATACATTGCCTCAATGGCAGGCAATGTCCCGGGGGCCATAGATAATTCATTCGCGGGCCGGATTTGGCCCGCGGGCCTTGACTTTGACACATGTGGCGTAGGGGAAATGAGAAGCCTTTGAGCGAGTTGGGGGGCGGTGCTAAACGTTCAAACCTTGCAGAAACGGGTATAGCTCCTTTAACTAGAGAAAATTCAAAAAGCGTAATATGGGTCCTTTAATCTAAAGCTGTCTATACACTGCAATTTTTGGCTCAAAATTTGTCACACAACAAATTCAGGGTTGTGCCAAAATGAGTGTACGCGAATCTGACTCGTACAGTGTGTGGGAGGCTACGAGCGACAACACAATGAGCTCAAGACAGTTGATCATGTGATCGCGAGGATATCAAACAAACGTTTTTGTGTCAAGTTGTATGGTCAGAGCGCCGCTTCAGTGCAGTGAAAAACATGCATACACTAAAACATACAGCAGAGGACAATCAACATGCTCAGATGATGGAACAGGGCTGGAGGCTATGAAAAAAGGTACTTCCACTGTATCAATCACGGCGGTGCACACAGGCACACTAACACACACGCACACAGTGAGTGAGCAGGCGAACAGTGTGGTCAATCTCGCCGCTTTCCTTGACTCACTCGCAGAGCAAGAATTTGAGTACAATACCGAAAGTCACAAAAATCACATTAAAATCACAGTGTATGTTCAGCTTAAATGGCCCATAGTAAATCTGAAAATGCAGCAAACACTCATAGCTGAGCTGGGAGAATTAGTTGAAGCCAATGTTAATGTGCTAGTTAGCAATTACGACATACTGTCTAGAGATTGTGAAACAATCAACAAAAAAGTTACAAATATAGTTCTTAAATATTTTTGTTGCAATTGATTTGATTCAATAAGACTACTTCCTAATTAGTGTTTGGAGAAGAGTCAGATAAAATTATTATATTGCAAGATATAAAAATATTGTTATTGCGATATTGGTGCGTGCGATATATAAAACCGATGCATTATGGATAACGCTTTTTTGGACACTCAAAGACGCAGAACATGACATTGTTCGTTCACTCCAAACACGGTGGTGATAGACTACTACTGTAGCCACAGGAGCCTTGGGGCACACTGACAGAAGCGAGGCAACCAGTCTTTTGACTCGTTTTAATATTATAATAATCGCTTTAACCCGCCAGCAAGAAGTATGGGAAGATTTAAAAAAAAAGCAGTGGGCGCGGCCCCCCACCCCCGCCCCCCCTGAGCAAAAGGCTGCCGACAGGCTGTTGGGCGTTTTTGGCAACCCGACGCGCCAGATGTCGCTGCTAATCACGATCCCCGGTGGCGAGTTAGCGCAGTTGCATTGCACCTTAGATGAGAAAAGTACACGGTATCGTATTAACTTAGTGGCTCGTTAGGTCTTACGTTCGTTGGTCGCTGGTGGTGAACCTAATTATGACCTGTGCCACGTGATATCCAGTTTCTTCGCCGTTAGTCCGCTCCCCGTGGGGTATATTGTGGCAGAGCCCGGAGGCCGTTGCGGGTTCTGGATTTGCGCAGGGATGGGGGTTAATTCCATTGCGGGGTCGCCTGGGATATATCGGCATCTATAGGTTAGTGGGGCTGCTGATGTTTACTTCAATTTGGTGCCTATGCGACCGGACGGTATTGGGGTCCTTGATGGTGGTGGTGCTCTGTGGCATTGGGGGTTACGTTATTTACGCAAGATATGTTCGAATACGCCGGCGACCGCCTCTGGGAGTTGTTGGTCCCCCGTAGAGTGTTGTTTGTTCAACTTTATTACTGACAATTGTTGACGTAATCAGCTAATATTTAAATTTGGAAGGCCTGTTGGGATCTTTTTTGATTATGAATTATTGTAGTGTGAAAGTGGTTTCCTCCAAAGAGGGATGTATTATAATTATGGTATGTTAAGGACCGAAAACAGAGGCATCATGTAACCACGGTTGAATCTGGTTAATAGGTGTCTAACAATAGTACTAGTTTCTTTGAATTACTGCCATTTCGAGCGGGACTTTTCATTCGAAGTGAGTTATGCATGTTATAAGGGATCAGAGCTGAGGACAGCACTCCTGGCGCCACAATACGCCGCAACCCCAGCATCGGATCCTTTGCGCTCAGAAAACTGCTTTTTTAATCTTCCCATTCTTCTGTGCTGCGGGTTAATGCTTTTTTATGCAAAAGGAACGGGCTCGTCCTCAATGTTCGTGTCAGAAGCAGCGTAGTGGATTCCGAGGCGTTCTGCGCAGGTACTCCCCGAGTCTTAAAAGTTTTTCTAAATTTAGGAGCATGTGCAAAACATATAAATACTCATGTTTTTTAGCTAGTATGATTTATTTATTTCGCACGGCTAGTTAAATTGTCTTGAAGTTCAACCTCATGGATTAATCACATTTTACATCCTTATTTTTTCAAAACCACTCCAATTGGATTGAAGTTAAATGAAGCAATTTTCATTAATATTCATTAATTTTTAGCGACCACATTATGTATATTCATAAACCAAATAGTAACGTTAAATCTGCCCCCCCCCCCCCCCCCCCCTCCCTGTCCCCCACCCCCGAGCCCGCCCACCCCCCACCCCATCTCCCTACCACCCACCCCAACCCCCCCCCCCCCCCCCCCGCCGCCCTCCCCACTCACCCTTTCCTGCGCCCTGCCTCTTCCCCCCCCCGCAACCCACACCCCCCCCCACCCCACCAACCCAAAACAATTCAATACGCTGTTAATGAAGGTAAATGTAGGTCCCCCAGCTTTTATTTGCTGAAAGTTTATTGGTTGCATTTGCAGCGTGTCTCACCGCCTCCGTGGGTCAAAACAACATCAGAGACGGTATGCCCCTGTGCGTGTTATATATATGTGAGTATTATATGAACACGTGTAACGCTAGCCTCACGCGATCACACAGCATTATGCATCGTGTCGTCGAGTAGAGGTAAGTTTTATTGAAATCACCAGAAAACTGAGAAAAAAAGAGGCACTTGTGCATCTAGCTGTTTTCAAACCATTCATAGAGCAATGCTGCCATCTGCTGGCTCGATAGAATATCTATATCTATGTCTATTTGATACAATAGACATGTGGGAACGTGATAATAGCGGGAAACGCAATTGCGCGTTAATGAAAACTGTAATTAACGTGAATTAACGCGATAATTTTGACAGCCCTAGTTTAAATACAAGTAATGTGTGTGAGCTGATCGACTGACAAGGACCATAAACACAAACATGGTCAGTGTGGTTTGACTGAAGCCGTGTATTTGCAAGGATCCTTTGGGCTGTGTGACATAGAGGAGCGCGACAGACCGGTATATGTGTGTGTGTGTGTACAATACATGTATGTGTATATGTATGTGTGTATATGTGTATCTGTGTAAATATAAGCTCCAATGTAGTATCAATGGAGGGGGGAAAGTGTGTGTGTGTCTGTGCACGCGTGTGTGCGTGTGCATATGTGGCGCGTGCAGCGTGAGAGTTGTCCCGGAGTTTACTAATACATTGGCGCACACAGCTAGAGACTGACCCGCTCGTCACACCGTGCGAATACGGCTTAAAATAGCGTTATGAAGAGACCTCCCCTTTTTCTCTTTTTTAACCAACAGCTTTGACCGGTTAACGTTGTGACGGTCAACCACCGGTTAAACAGTCACCGATTTACATCCCTAACCCCAACTGTTGCCTCTCAAATGATATATGATCTAGTGTCTGCACAAGAGTACAACCTGTGCTGTCCAGCAGATATGGCAATTATCTTATTTGTCTTCATGTTCAGGGAAAGTTAATTTTTAAGTTAAGTTTTACTCAAGCTTGAAAAGTGGAGTCATGCTTCCCTTATTTCAGTGTTTTATAATGGCAGTGCTCTGCACACTAACATTTTACAGATTGTTCCAAGTGCAGTCCGGTTACAGTCTTGGCACATTATTAACAGGAGTTATCACTTAAATGAGTGGGAGGAGAAAGAAGGGTGAAGCTGCTGTGACACAGGGGAATGTTCGAGTGAGTCGGTCTTGTCCAACAGGAACCTCTCTGCCTTTGTGCCAGTAAAGCTACAATAGGTTTGTTCATTACCTGCTGTTACTGAAGAACCTAAAGTCTGCAAAGTCACCATTATGTAGTGAATAAACGGCTTCATAGAGAATTACTCATGTCTTCTACTTTAAGCAAATATTGTAATAATTGATTAAAAAGGTTCAAGCGTTTTTTTTATTTATTTTTACTATGAACAATTCTTTCACTTGTTGATCTCTGCAGCTTAAACGCTGCTTTGCACATAATGAATCTTTAACCTCCTTGCACAGTCTTTGTTTTTCATTTGTGAGCCCCAGCTCAAAATCAGTGACTAATGAACTGGTGTGTCCTCAGCGGCCTCATACACAGACAGCTCTGATGATGAGACCTCTCCGCGGGACAAACAGCAGAAGAACTCAAAGGGAAATGGAGACTTCTGCATCAAAAACATCAAACAAGCTGAGTTTGGACGTCGAGAAATCGAAATTGCAGAGCAAGGTTTGAGCTTAAACTTTCCATCTTTATAGATGACCTAGTTTTCCTTTTAAATCAGTTTAAGTAGAAACACAATTTTTCTGAATTGAGTAACAAAAGCCAGAAAGTGTACTTACACGATGTGTCTTTCTTTCCTTGTTTTGAGCAGAGATGCCGGCACTGATGGCTCTAAGGAAGAGGGCTCAGGGGGAGAAGCCCTTGGCAGGGGCCAAAGTGGTGGGCTGCACCCACATCACTGCACAGACTGCTGTAGGTGTCCAGAGGAACTGTTTTGAATTTAATTTAAACATTGGAATGCATCAAGCAAAAGATCACTCTCTGTGTATATCCTCATCAATAAAGGACACATTAAACCTCCTGCAGTATTCAACTAAAACATATTGACCATGCTTTTAATGTTTAACGTTTGTATTAACAGTTGGTCTTACTGCAATGCTAACATGGTTGTGTGCTCAGGTCCTGATGGAGACGCTGTCTGCTCTTGGCGCACAGTGCCGATGGGCTGCATGTAACATCTACTCCACTCAGAACGAGGTGGCAGCTGCTCTGGCCGAAGGAGGTGAGGCCTCCACTGTGTGACACCTGCCCCATCTCATTTGCCTGAGCTTCACAGCGCATTAGAACTCCACAGTAGATTATTATACTGTGTGTGTGTGTGTATATATGTATATATGTATTTTCATCTTTGTATTATATTTTATCCATTGTAGTTGTCACATCTATTTTGATTCTTGTTACTGTTAGTGTGCTTAATATAAAACCCGTCATATTCTATTACAGGATTCAGTGTGTTTGCGTGGAAGGGTGAGTCAGAAGACGACTTTTGGTGGTGCATTGATCGCTGCGTCAACGTTGAAGGCTGGCAACCTAACATGGTGAGATGCGCCAACTCACGCTTATGGTGTCTGATTTCAAAATATAGCCTTTTATTTCAAAGCACTTACGGTAGAAAGCAGTTATGAATGAGGTTTCATTATGTTTATTCCCTAATGATCCCCCACCTGTGTACTGTGCACACAGAAGAACATAAAATCCATGTAACTAGTCACTAATTCTAAAATCAATTTTATGTACTTTCAAAATTGCTCATATTACGTTTTAACACTCACACATGAAAAGATTCCGTTATGTCAGCTTCATCTGGGCCTCATTCAGTAAAACCTAAATAGCTCTCCTTAATATGTGGCAAAGTGAATGAAAGTTGTCTAAATAGATCTGTTGCCCCTTGTCTGTCTGTTGTGGTTAGATTTTGGATGACGGTGGAGATCTCACGCACTGGATCTACAAGAAATATCCAAATATGTTCAAAAAGATCAAGGGCATTGTGGAGGAGAGTGTCACTGGAGTGCACAGGTAACGGCTTTTGCTCTTCATCTCTTTCTGCTTTGTGCTTGTATACACTTCTGCATCACTGCTTCAAATGAAAGAGAGCCTTATTTTACATGAAGACATGTTGAAATCACTTGCAGCATGATGTTGATGCGTGTTTTGTATAGCAACTGCTCCATCTAGTGGTAAAGATCTATAAGTGCTTTGTCTCTTACTGGCTGTGGGACCACAAGCATAAACTGTTGAATTGTAGGTACCAGTGAGATGGGAGTGCATGATGGATTTTCAAGTAGCAGCTGCTCATCAAATAAGTTAAACCATTGAAAGCTGATGAGCTTGTATGTAAACAAACCTATAAAGTCCTCTATTAGACTTTAGTTGGGTGTCCTACGCTGTTCTTTTTACATGGACAAACCCCCTAGCTTTGGTTTTCAATACACTGTTGAATGTCAGATCAGTGGGAATTTGGTATTTTTTGTTTTGTTTTCAAAGCCACATTTTTAACTAAAATTAAATTTAGAAGAAGATAGGTTATTACGTAGACTAGGATTATACATCCTATGATGAACACAAAATTGCATGCATGTTCTCAACACATCTCTGTCTGGGCAATCAAGGCAATGTATCCCTTTAATGGATTGAGTTATTATTATTAAAAATGACATTAATAGTGAGCAACTTGACCTGTTAACCTAATCGATTGTCGCGACACGCGACTCCCTCTGTCTGTACTGCACAGTTGCAGGAGTTTTTGTATCGCAAAGTATTGCCTTGACTCGAAAATGTGTATGTTTTTTGTTTTTTTGCTGTGTATAGAGTTTACAGTCCCTGGTATTAAGCCATGTTTTTCAATGACGACAAAAGGTGCCATGTCCATTGTTGTATGAAATGCCACGGACGCTACACCGTCTGTCATATTCTAGACACCGCGTGTTTTACACAAGTTTGCTTCCTCCAAGCATGTTTACAGCAGTCTCTGCTCCGAGCTGTGCAGCGTTGTTGTGCATGAGATACATGCGAGAGGAGAGGGAGCAAACTCGAGGAGGAGGGGGTGAGAAGACGTGGGCAGAGGAGGAGGCAGACAAGCAGATTGGCTAAAGTAAAATAAAAACATACGAATATGGACAATATGTCAAAATTCATATAGAGTCTCGATGTATCATAAATACTGATATATCACCCGCCCCTATTTGACAGTATTCAAATGTTATTGTATAAAAGTATCAAAGTATTTTATTGACAATCTGTCCAATCTTTATTTATGGAGTGGCCTACACAAAGATTTCTGCTTTTTAAAAAGGATTTTGTTGTATTTACTAAACTGTATTTCATGAATAGTAATATACTATAATAATAATGGCGTTGTGCATGTGTGTGCAGGTTGTACCAGCTGTCTAAGGCGGGGAAGTTGTGTGTTCCTGCCATGAACGTGAACGACTCTGTGACCAAGCAGAAGTTTGACAATCTTTACTGCTGTAGAGAGTCCATCCTCGACGGGTGAGTTGCTCCTTCGTTGGTTACTGCTACTTCTGCTCATGCACACGTACAGTGCCTTGCGAAAGTATTCGGCCCCCTTGAACCTTTCAACATTTCGCCACATTTCAGGCTTCAAACATAAAGTTAAAAAAAAAAATGGTCAAGACTCAACAACAAGTGGGACACAATCGTGAAGAGGAACGAAATTTAATGGACAATTTAAACTTTTTAAACAAATAAAAAACTGAAAAGTGGGGCGTGCAATATTATTCGGCCCCCTTGCGCTAATACTTTGTAGCGCCACCTTTTGCTGCAATTACAGCTGCAAGTCGCTTGGGGTATGTCTCTATCAGTTTTGCACATCGAGAGACTAGAATTCTTTCCCATTCTTCCTTGCAAAACAGCTCGAGCTCAGTGAGGTTGGATGGAGAGCGTTTGTGAACAGCAGTCTTCAGCTCTTTCCACAGATTCTCGATTGGATTCAGGTCTGGACTTTGACTTGGCCATTCTAACACCTGGATACGTCTATTTGTGAACCATTCCATTGTAGATTTGGCTTTATGTTTTGGATCATTGTCCTGTTGGAAGATAAATCTCCGTCCCAGTCTCAGGTCTTTTGCAGACTCCAACAGGTTTTCTTCCAGAATGGTCCTGTATTTGGCTCCATCCATCTTCCCATCGATTTTAGCCATCTTCCCTGTCCCTGCTGAAGAAAAGCAGGCCCAAACCATGATGCTGCCACCACCATGTTTGACAGTGGGGATGGTGTGTTCAGGGTGATGAGCTGTGTTGCTTTTACAAACATATTGTTTTGCATCGTGGCCAAAAAGTTCGATTTTGGTTTCATCTGACCAGAGCACCTTCTTCCACATGTTTGGTGTGTCTCCCAGGTCGCTTGTGGCAAACTTTAAACGAGACTTTTTATGGATATCTTTGAGAAATGGCTTTCTTCTTGCCACTCTTCCATAAAGGCCAGATTTGTGCAGTGCACGACTGATTGTTGTCCTATGGACAGACTCTCCCACCTCAGCTGTAGTTATCTGCAGTTCATCCAGAGTGATCATGGGCCTCTTGGCTGCATCTCTGATCAGTCTTCTCCTTGTTTGAGATGAAAGTTTGGAGGGACGGCCGGGTTTTGGTAGATTTGCAGTGGTCTGATACTTCCATTTCAATATAATTGCTTGCACAGTGCTCCTTGAGATGTTTAAAGCTTGGGAAGTCTTTTTGTGTCCAAATCCGGCTTTAAACTTCTCCACAACAGTATCTCGGACCTGCCTGGTGTGTTCCTTTGTCTTCATGGTTCTCTCTGCGCTTTAAACAGAACCCTGAGACTATCAAAGAGCAGGTGCATTTATACGGAGACTTGATTACACACAGGTGCATTCTATTTATCATCATCAGTCATTTAGGACAACATTGGATCATTCAAAGATCCTCACTGAACTTCTGGAGTGAGTTTGCTGCACTGAAAGTAAAGGGGCCGAATAATATTGCACTCCCCACTTTTCAGTTTTTTATTTGTTAAAGTTTTAACAAAAAAGTTTCGTTCCACTTCACGATTGTGTCCCACTTGTTGTTGATTCATGACAAAAAAGGCACTGTATCTCTTGAGGTTAGTGATTACAATGAATATAATGGTGAAATTTATGTTCTATTTTTAGCCTCAAGAGAACCACTGACGTAATGTTCGGGGGCAAACAGGTGGTGGTTTGTGGATACGGAGAGGTGTGTATTCAAATCTGACGGATTATTTAAAAAGGTTTTTCAAATCAAAGGGAAGTGCATCAACATTCATGGACATTTCTCTCTCCCTATGGACCAATACATATGTGTTCTATATTTTTTGTGTCTTAACTCTTGATTCTCTGATCTGGGTTGGTGATCTCAACGGTTTTGTTAAAGCTGCATTACCTCACTTTATTTTTGTATTCCTTACGAAAGTTCAATCTATATCCATGCAATGCATTGGGATATATGTCCTTTTGAAGAAAAAGTAGCGTGCCAGCGTGTCATTTTATTTTAGATTGAGTTTTTGTGCAACAAGGAAGAACATATGTTTCAGGACCAGATTGTGACCAATCACAACGGACCACTGGCCTCGACTTTCTCGTGTCTTCGTTACCGTTTACTGCTTACACAGCGAAACATCCATCCAAAAGAAAGTCTCGTTCCTCCGCACTTCCCGGTTCTATCATTCTATGGTCACGCCATTCACGTTCAAATGTGCACACCATATTGTGAGCTCCGTAAACACATAAGCACAGGCTGAGTGGGGGGTGATAGCTTCGTGAATGCTGGGAGGGCGAGTACAGCACTCACATTCGAAAATTTCACAAAGTGAGTTAGTGCAGCTTTAAGTCCTCTGAGATGACTGCCGTTGTAATTTAGGGCTATACAAGAATACATTCTATTGTATTGCATCATCCTAGCCTAGTGCATCGGTTCTCAACTGGTCAGTATGGACCCAAAAGCCTTTACTGGGCACTTCCTATGCTACAAAAAAGTCATCTAGAAAGAAAGTGTTCTTGGAACAAGGGCCTTTTCTCCTTAACTTAATTTACTTAAAATGTAAAACTTACCCCATTGGTTCATATCTCAAAATTGGTTACTTCAAATCCAAAAGAAATATAATTCCAATTTTTGTTTTAGTTATTTCATCATGGTAGCTCAGTCCTATTTTCCAGTGCTTTAAAACAATAATTTGTTGAAATATACAAAATACTCTTTAGTATAAATTAGGATTGGCATTATTTGTCCTGGTCTGTTCCAGTTGAGAAGCCCTGGCCTTGTGGAATATAGCTTTATAATAAATAGTAATCCACAGCGTTTCCTCCAATCGTCCAATAGCGTTTCCTCCACTGGTGAATGTAGTTGCTGGTTCTTGAAACATTTCTCTGCTCAGGTGGGAAAAGGCTGCTGCGCTGCTCTCAAAGCCATGGGGTCCATCGTGTATGTCACAGAGATTGACCCAATCTGTGCCCTACAGGCCTGGTGCGTTACGGTTACAAGTTCGTTATTTTTTCTGACTCAGAGAGAGAGGAATTCAGTAACCAGTTTTTCTCTTTAAACCAAAGTATGGATGGATTCCGACTGGTCAAACTCAACGAAGTCATCAGACAAGTGGACATTGTTATTACGTGCACAGGTCAGTCGATGCACTGCACTTTGCTGACTTAAAGGAGACTTACTACAGCGTTCCCTCATTTAAAACAGACCTGGATTTGTTTTTAGCTCCATCCATGCTAATATAGAATGGAGCTAATAGAACTGACATTTGCTCAGTTGGTTGAGCATTGGCCTTTGAGCCTGAAGGATGTGGGTTCCAGCCCACTGCGAGACCTTCTTCCCCTTTGTCCATTTCAGTCAGTGGAGAAGATGCATAAATGTGTGCTAATATTAGAAATAAACACTTCCCTCTTATCCTTTTATCTGAATTCTCCTATTACAAAGTTTCTGATCATTGTGTATTATTGTGAGGATTCATATTAGTCACACATATTATATTAGTATTTTCAATACTAAAATATTGCCACCAATTTGGTTTCAGTATTTCTTCCAGTGACTTTTCATTCGTTACAATAGTGTGTCTTCAACCCTTTTATATACTTTTTTTAATTTCACATAAATAAACTAATATGTACTAAATCGTCAAATATAAAGATACTTTGTCTCAGTCAGTTGTCTCAACACTTACTAACCAGCACATCCATTTCCTCAACTTGATTCTTGATCTTTTCAGGAAACAAGAATGTGGTGGTGAGGGAGAACCTGGATCGCATGAAGAATGGCTGCATCGTCTGTAATATGGGACACTCCAACACGGAGATTGATGTGGTTAGTCAGTTCAATTTGCAACAAATAACACTATTTGCCAGATTATAAATGTGCAGTAAATTGTATTTATTTATTTAGTGCCATGGATACATGACTTTGTAGCTTATTTCTACAACAAAGGAAGGTTGCTCATTTGTACTTCAAAGGTTTTCCAACGTTTTGTGAAAGAACTTTCTCAAGGAAAAGGTTGGTTGCAGGTCTAACGATCCTGCTAGGGCTAACGATCCTAATTAATTATGGGGCGTTTAGACCGCCGACGCTGGGACGCAGCTTCCACGCGCACTGGACGCACATTCTCTAAATGTTGAGAAGTTCTTTGGATAAAAAATAAAAGTTGGTTGGTATTAAATTGAACAAATGGAAGATGACAGCTTTTACATTTTAAAGCAAAAGGAATGTGGAACACATAACTAAAGTAAAACACTTTTTTGGATAAGGGGTGGGACTAAATAAGTTTTTTACTTTCACCCACTCCTTTTCAAACAATTCCTCCGGAATTCATGTGAACTTAAACATTTTGTCAGTATATGCATGTTTGAAACAAACAAATAAATACAAAAAATACAAAATACAAATACATTCTCTTACTGTGGAGAATGCTTAGCAATAGAACATTCTTTGAGCAAAACTTGAATGCACTCTGTACAGCAGCCAGGTTTTGTTAGGCACCTTTAGGAGTCCAACATCAGTCTTTCCAATAGATGGGCACAATGTAGCGCTAATGACCATGGGGCAATTGTTACACTGGTTTAATTTTAAATGGGGATTTAAAGCTGCACTAACTGACTTTATTTTTGTAGTCATTACTAAAATGCTATCCATATCCATGTAGTGCATTGGGATATACGTCCTTTTGAAGAAAAAGTAATGCAGATTTGTGCTGGCGTGACATTACATTTTAGATTGAGTTTTGATGAAACAAGGAAGAGAATGTGTTACGGGTCGCAGATTGTGACCAATCACAGCGGACCACTAGCCCCCACTTTCGTAAGACATCTACAGGTCCGTTAGCATAGACTGCTGAGTTAGCACAACAAGCGGCGGAGCTAACCTGAAACTCTGTGTGTCTTCGTCACCGGTTACTGCTTACACAACGAGACAGCCATCCAAAAGAAAGTCCTGTTCCTCCGCGCTTCCCGTTCTATCGTTCTATGGTCACGCCATCCACGTGAAAATCCATATCCATGTATTATCCATATTGGGAGACGCTAGCTCCGTCCCAACAGTGGGTGTGTGTGTGGGGGGCGATAGCTTCGTGGGTGCGGGGAGGGGAGCAGAAAGAGCGAGGCCAGCGAGTCTGCTGCTTCAAAATCCCAAAGTCTGTTAGTGCAGCTTTAAGTAACGAGAAATGGATTGCTTGTGTGACCTTGACTGAGGTTCCACTGTCTCCATGGTAACTGGCATGAATGCGTGTGATTTCTATTAAAATGAGACAGGAATTTATGTTGATTATTTTAACTCACTTTTTCCCCCCCGAGCATAAAATTATGATCAACTTCTCTATTTTGTCCTCAATTATATACACCACTATAATCGCAACATATATTATGTATGTATCGCTTATTACTTATTATGTTGCCTCTTACCTACGTACTATTAGTTTCAATATGTGTTTTACAAGATAAAGTTGTGGTTACAGTATTTGCTGGACTACTGAGCTCACCTATAAACCGCACCAACAAAGTATTTTTTGTCCACATACAGTATAGGCCACACTTGAATTTATGCCAAAGGATTTGATGTTGTAATGTAACACTTAACCAAGTTTTAACACAAAAAAATTATTTAATAAGGAGGTTTTTAACACACGCTCTACTTGTTGTGAACAATGCTAATGATCCAAAACAGAAAAATGAATACTACTAAATTGTCATATTGTTCTCCAGGCCAGCCTTCGGACCCCTGAGTTGACATGGGAGAGAGTGCGCTCCCAGGTGGACCATGTGATCTGGCCCGACGGCAAGAGGATTGTCCTGTTGGCAGAGGTGCTCACACCACAAGAATGTATTATTTAATTAAAATGCTGCAAATGTTCCTACAGGGTCATTATAGTAAACTCTAAACCGCATACTAGGCTCATTCCCACTGAGCATAACAGATTCTATTTCATCCTTCCTGTCCACCAGAGGCACTGCTTTAACCCTTTAGAGTGCCCATGGTTTTTCCTAAAACGCTCGATTTTGACATAATAATTTCAAAAGGCTATAACTTAAAAGTGATAGGAGATAGAGCCTTTCTGTAAATTCGAGAAATATTAAAGATGGCCCAAAGTTTATGTAGGGATTACATTTACCCATCTAATTTGCGTAATATGACTTCATACGGCAGTGGCAATTGTGGATTTTACCATTTTCATGAAATGTTAGACATGGACATACAGATCACTAGGACATGAACACACAAACAGAACTCATATTGTACCATGCTACTAATTATTTAGGGAACTGGTAAAGTGAAAATCGTTATTGCCCCTGTAAAGTCGAAATGCACTTTCTCAGCTGTTTATCAAGTAATGCAAACCAGGCTAACTTGACAGCTGTTAGCTTTCGACTTTGTTAAATTTCGTTTATTTCCATTATCAACCCCACAGACCAGTCGAGTTGGCCACAGGATGCGTCATTAGCCTGCGCAGGTTTGCATTATATCATATATAGCTGAGGAAGTGCATTTCGACTATACAATAAGTCACTGAGTTACTTACTGCTTTTGCCACTCTTTCTTTAATTGGCACTTTTTATTGTACATAATTATATCCTGCACAGACTTTATTTTTAGCCTTTACTCGTTACTGAAAAAAGTAACGCCGTTAGTAATAAAAAAACATAAAAAATGTGAGACTAAAAGGAAACTCACAAGACATTTAGTAATAAAATTAATACATAATAAAACTAAAATATATATAAAATGCAATAATAGGAGGCCTTAAAGGAGCTATACCCGTTTCTGCAAGGTTTGAATGTTTAGCACCGCCCCCTACACTCTCATTCCACGGAGCCATCTAGTTTTATTTTCGATCTATATGCAAACATTAGCATGAGCGCAACTTCTTGTAAGCTGTACAACAATCACTGATGAAATGGTACAAAAGTAACGCACTGCAACAAAATATATAACTGAAAGATTACCGCTAATTCCACGTCCGAATGTTGTCCTATGCTGCTTTCAGACTTCAAACGCTGAAGCCTCGCTCACCAGACGCGCATTCTCTAGTTTTCAGACGCACGGGACTTCACACCAGAACGTCCTGACAAGTGCCGGAAGTGGCGGAAGTAGCCGGCCGGCTCTGATGCTAACAGAGCTATGCTAGCGGCTTCTTGTGTACAGATCTTCTCCAATAATGCAGCTTTGCAGGGTGTCTGTGTTCAGAAATCTTCCACGGACTTTATATAACAGTAGTATGTGTTCACGGAGGTGCGCAATAAGTTTATTTTATTATTAAACGGTACTTCTGCATCGGCGAACACACTCGAAGCAGTTGCATAAAGTCACGGGAGCATGACAATGCATATATTCACAAGCACCCCATTGTCAACCCTGGTTTTAAGTCGTGGTGTAGCTCAGTATGTTCAATCTGCTCGCTCAGACCACTAATGTCCCCGTGACCACTTTGCGGCTCTCTGATTGGTCGCTGCACGAATGTCCCGAGGAAAGGTTGAGCAAAGTTTATCTCCTGTGGGCGTCGCTTTTCCGCTCCTGCTCCTCCCCTTCGACTTTCCCGCGCAATTCGTGCGTCTATACTGAGTAGTCCGTTTGTGCGTCCCGAGACGTTCGTGCGTTTTGACGCTCGAACACGCGTCACCATTGACTTTGCATTGAAAGCCGACGCAACGCATGATCCGGCTTGAAAGCATCAGCAGTGACGTGTTCAGTCAGTGTCGGTCTAAAAATTATCTACAACTAATTTAGTCAAGATATACATAAGCTTTGTTGAACATGTTTATCGTAATCAACTTAATTATGACTTGATTTTTTTTTTTTGTGAACCAGAGAGAATGAATACTGTGCAATTCATGTAACTGAGCTGTTCACAACTTTATTTCCTCTTAGACAGATAATAGTAATTGTCTGTTCTGGATTGTCTCCTCCCTCTCAAAAATGGTTGCTGTTGAATCTGTGGTAGAGGTTTCATTGTTTTTTATCTAATTGAACTATATTAAACAGTAGATATTCTTAATATAGTAGATAAATATTCTTGTATAGTAACCCACAATGCACCAATTCTTTCCATTGTCCAGGGTCGACTGTTGAATCTCAGCTGTTCCACCGTTCCCACATTTGTGCTCTCCATCACTGCCACCACTCAGGTAACCCTGTAAAATATTGCTTACTCCAAAGGATGCTGTTTAGATGTTTCCTTCTAAACTAAATGTTCCTGTGTTCAGGCACTGGCTCTGATAGAACTCTACAACGCTCCAGAGGGTCGCTACAAACAGGACGTGTACCTACTGCCTAAGAAGATGGGTGAGATCAGTGTTTCCAAGTAGTCCTGCACTATTTGTGAAAAATACTACATGCCGTTTTTTATCAATTAATTTTTGTATAGCCCAAAATAACAAGCCACTGTAATCTCGATAGGGTGTCACAAATTCAAACTATTCCAACCATATCAGGTTGACAAATGCATATGGCTATGTGTCTCAAGTCTCCTGTCCTTACACCCTCTTTTATCTTTTTATAAAACAAATTGTCTTTTGCATACTTGAGTCACTATTTTACACTTTGGGCTGGTTTTCTTTTTTAGTTTCCTGAATAAAAAGTTCCATCTATAAATAGTTATACAGTTGTGTAGCGTTTGAGCTACTGGGACAGCCTCTCACCAGGACGGGAAACAAACAAAGATCCAAATGTTGCAGATTTTCACAAAAGAGGTCTTATTTATTTGGGCAGCATCCCCCCATGCACACAACAGGAACACACCGTTCAAATGGAATCCTCTTTTTATACAGTGGCCCAAACCAAAACCTCCACCCGCCCAGGGACACAACAATGTAGCCTTACACTATTTACAAAATATTTATAACTATTTACATCTTTAATTTATGCAGATATATTATAATCATAATTTATAGTAATTTGAAATTAGTGGTGGTGTTTTTTAACAGGTGTGGTATTTGATGTATGTATATATTATGTTTAGTCCAAATGAAACACCCCTCTCTTGGAGGATCATGGTGGAGCCCAGCTGATTGCTTAGTTGGGTGCACCTGGCATGCACTGGGATGGGCGCGCCTCCAGCCCAGCACCTCCACCAATCACCTTCCAAGAAAAGGGACAAGTTAGGGACAGGGAAAATGAGCAAAGATAAATATTTCAAAATAAAACAGTAAGGATACACCTGTGGGTGAGGAGTGGGGACTACTCCTTCACATTTCCTCCCCCTTCGGAAGACACAACCTCCTGGCCGCGGCTGCACAGTCTCACAGTCTACCCCAGGCCCTCCTTTTGCCATTCTTTGTGACCCTCCGATGCGCTGCTCCTGGACATTCGTTCAAGCCTGAAGATCTTTGGCCCACGCCGGGCGGATAGAAAGTTCTCCACTAACTCTGCTGCTTCACGCCCAGAGGTGGGATTGCGCTCCTTCACCCAGACCCTCAGCTCTGGTGATAGTGAACGGTACAACTGTTCCAAGACTAGGGCTTCACCAAGCTGCTCCTTAGTCTTCTTCTCTGGCTGCATCCACTTCAAATACAAGTCTTTGAGGCAATTATAAAACTCTCTTGGCGTTTCTCCCGGCTGCAGGTCTGGCTCACGGAAGCGCTGGCGATAGACATCTTCATTTATCTCATACTTTATCAAAACTGCCTCCTTCACCTTCTTGTAGTTGCAGGATTCCTCACAATCCATGGCCACATAGGCTGCCCGGGCCCTTCCCGTCAGATATGGGACGAGCCTCACTGCCCACTCGACCACTGGCCATTGATATGCGGTCGCTAGGCGTTCAAACGTGGTGAGATATTGCTCAATATCATCACTGTCCTCCAGCTTTGGAATCACTGAATGGGCCCAGACTCTCCCCGAATGCTCCCGTAGCGTGGGAGATTGGGGCTCCACTTCTTCCTGTTGCTGTACATGGGGGTGTTGAGGACCACGCCTCGCAACTTCGGTCAGGCCTTCTCTGAGTCTGTGGACCTGTACCTCCATCTCCTGCCATCGTTCCTCCTGCTTCTGCGTTTCTTCATTCCAACGCTTACTCAGGTCAGACTGGAACTCAAGGCATTTTTGCAACATACAAACTAGGGTTTCTACGTCTGCACCCATAAGTATCTCTGCCTTGGCAGGCTCTCCTCCTGCAGCTCCGCCCCCTTCAGAATCACCATCTGGTGTGATTTCCGCTTCTGCTGGTTTTGGTACCTTTTTCGGCCCCATCCTCGTCCTGTGAGTCTCAGCAGATTGGCACGACAATCCCACTTCTGACACCAAGTGTAGCGTTTGAGCTACTGGGACAGCCTCTCACCAGGACGGGAAACAAACAAAGATCCAAATGTTGCAGATTTTCACAAAAGAGGTTTTATTTATTTGGGCAGCATCCCCCCATGCACACAACAGGAACACACCGTTCAAATGGAATCCTCTTTTTATACAGTGGCCCAAACCAAAACCTCCACCCGCCCAGGGACACAACAATGTAGCCTTACACTATTTACAAAATATTTATAACTATTTACATCTTTAATTTATGCAGATATATTATAATCATAATTTATAGTAATTTGAAATTAGTGGTGGTGTTTTTTAACAGGTGTGGTATTTGATGTATGTATATATTATGTTTAGTTCCAATGAAACACCCCTGAAACATCCCACAGGATCATGGTGGAGCCCAGCTGATTGCTTAGTTGGGTGCACCTGGCATGCACTGGGATGGGCGCGCCTCCAGCCCAGCACCTCCACCAATCACCTTAGTGACAGTTAGGGACAGGGAAAATGAGCAAAGCTAAATATTTCAAAATAAAACAGTAAGGATACACCTGTGGGTGAGGAGTGGGGACTACTCCTTCACAAGTTGAAAACTAGTTATTGAAGTAAACCGTTTTGAGCATGGGAAACTAGTTAGATGGATTATATTACGTACTAATATACTATTACATTATAATATTACATGTCTTTGTTGTTTGAAAGTTGGGTACCCCTGCTTTAATTATTAAAGATGGTTGCTTCTGAATGTAAGTCAAATTCTTTGTTAAATAACATGAATTAGAATTATTTTTGACTTGGAACATAGAGATTCCGTTTTGGTGCACTAATACGAAGCAGAGACCGTGCCACAAGTTAGATACATTACCAGTGAAGGACCAGACAAGAGCCGAGCGGCAAAGAAGTCGACAGGAACGCGTTCTTACGCTGTTTGAGCTCCATCAGACAGCCTCCAGGTCAAACGCATTTAATTCTCTAGAATGCGCCGTCTCATCTGATGTGGATGTGAAAGGCTGAGAAGCACGTTGTTACACTCGAATGCTGTGTGCTTGTGTGTCTGTGCGCAAGTGTGTGTACACTTGGGATCCTGCCATCTTTTAACAAGCACACATAGTAAGAGGAGAATGTAGGTCAGTCTGACAGTGGTGGCTGCAAATACCCCATGTGAAGTTATACAAACACAATTCAACATTGTGTTATAGTAGTGTAATGCAAATACTGTATGTTTACAAGGGCTGGTCTTTGTGTAGCAATTGTTTACATTGGGCCTGCGAGAAGTTAAAGATTTAACAAAGGAGTAATCACAAGACTATATGGCAACATAATTGATGGTCACAGCCCATCACAGTTTATAACTTGCAACATTTCCTTGCTAAAGGTCTTGCTATCCCGTGTTTTGTCCCCTATAACCATGTGTAATAGTGTGTTGGATTCTTATAGATTAGCCATGCTTTTGAGGTGTGTTCACTGTTCAAAGCATTTAAGTTGGGTTACCTACATTTCTGGCCTCTGTCACATCTTTAGATCAGTTCTTCAGACAGAAAAGTGAAAAAGAGAGCACCACCCTCACTCAAAAAAATCTCTGAACCCAGAGCAGCAAATAGTGACTCAAGGCTCTTTCAGTCACCAGTCACAATATGTTGGTGTCTGGTTTGTTCACATCCTTTTACTATAACATATGAGACTGTTGGGACAGACGATATGGATCAGTTATAAAGTAAAAAAAGTTGGGTACCACAGCTTTTTCTAGTGCTTGAGCCCTTTTATGCATGGTTCCCGTTTATATGACCTATATTGATACAATAGGCTGCCTTCATGTGATATCTCAACATTCCAAAGAGCCTATGAATTAAAATGTGGTGGAGAGCAGCTGAAAATATTTGCTGGTAACTATCAGAAAGGTCATCTGGTTGCTTGGTTCTTAATTTCTCCCGGGCCAATCCACATGAAACAAAAACTGTTTCCTTTGTGCAGACGAGTACGTGGCCAGCCTACACCTCCCCACGTTCGACGCACACCTGACGGAGCTGAGCGACGAGCAGGCGAAGTACCTGGGCCTGAACAAGAACGGGCCCTTCAAGCCAAACTACTACAGGTGACAACACACTGAAAAACTCTTGGTTCGAATTGTTTTTTGGATCAGCAAAAAAAAAAAAAAAACAAGACAAAGAAACTTTTTTTATTTTGTCTTTTTTATTGAATAATTTGAAAGTGTTAATTGAAATTTATGAAATGAACTTGCCATGTTGAATACAAATTAAACTCTGGGTTAATAAAGGACAAGGAACGACGCTTAAAACTAGGTTTAAATATGAAATAATAAAAACAAACAAAACTTTAACATAGGCATTGTCACTTTAAGAGAATACAAACGCTTGCTTCCTGCTAGCATTAGCTGTCATTGTTGTTCTTACTGGCGTATGGGCTGCTTAAATGCGGTTGTTAAGCAGCCTTTGTTTTCACTCACTTTTTTTTCATAAATAAATCCGCAGATCAGGTGCTAGATATTGATCTAGATATTTGATAATGTTTTTGCAGCATTATTTGTGACTTTCTCAGCCATTCTTCACTGTGAGATTATAGGTGCTTTTTACAATTTATAGGTACAGCCAGAGATTTTTTCCAGACGCAATTTTCTTTTTTCTTTTTTTTTGTGGGAAATTGTCCCTAAACTATATAAGTAGTTAAGTTATCATGTGTTTTCAAATAGTAATGGAATTGACCAGATACCTATAGTCTCCAAAAATGTATAAAACATATTTTGGAGCGGACCGATACAAATAAACCAATGGAATTCATTCATCCCCAACGAACCAATGGGATACGTTTACCCCCTTCACCCTCTTCCTGTTTCTTGTGAGTGCCCGCACCTGAGTTATCGTATTTTTTGAAACCCTAAAAGAGCTGAACAGAAAATGCCAATTTCACATTTGCCACCCACTCTCCCTGTTGTGACAAAGAAAAGAAAATGCTGGATGTTGAATTTGGTGGAGAGAGGAGGGTGGAGTGGTTTTGAGTTGGTGCTACGGCTAAGCTTACAACTGCACCTCTAAAGAGCATACACTCAAATTCTGTATGATACAATCATACCATTTAAATAACATGAGGTGATTTTATATCAGATCTGCCCTGGCACAAAAATCCCTTTCCTTCACTTTTAATCATGTAGTACATTTAACAATGTTTGACTTTGAAAGGAAGTTTGTCAGTAGCTTTGCCGTGTTTATGAAGAATAGTTTGGGATAATTAGTTTATTTGATCAATGATGGATTTAATAAAATCCAATGGTTCTTTATTAATGGTGCTAATAAAAGATTTTATTGTAGTTTTTTTGTCTTGGTTGAGGGGTCAGCACACTCAAACCCAGTCGGTAACTGGCCTTTCTGTGCGGAGTTTGCATGTTATCCCTGTGTCTGCATCAGATCCTCCAGATCCTGAAATCTCAGTCGGTTTAAATAATAGTAATAGTTAGAATATTTAGGGAAACATGTGTGAGAAGCCAGGTCGCTGGATAGATTCCTGGATACAGGTGCTTAAGACGTTATTCAGTGAATGGTTGTCCTTATAGACTTGCACTGGGACTGAAATTCAACTCTCTAATTCATGTCTTTCTTTCTTTTAGGTATTAAACGGAGGCAGATGGGGTCAGATCCTACCACTTAATAAGCGCACAGACTGGTCTAACAGAAGTGGGAGAGTGCGAGACAGGAGTCTACTGCTGGGAGGACAGTAGTCACACACATCTGCTTTTGTCACTGGCGGGACGTCCTGCACATGGGCGGAAGGGGCCCAAACCTCTTCCACTGTCAGGGCGGGAGGGGCAGAATCTCTAATTTATTCAAGCTTGACCACACCTCCTCTAACTTTCTGAAGCTGCTCCTACCATTTGTTCACCACCCATTTCACTTACTTTGGCCGTTCTCTGCACCCCATAGCCTCCCACATGCGTGTCAAGTTGTACGTGTAACTTTCCATTCTGTTTAACTAATTTTTAAAATCACCCTAAACGCTACAAACTCTTTAGATGAAAAAACGGTCTGCATTTTGTGCGGAAGATGGGCTATAGAGATTTAACGAGGGGACTTTTCCTTTTCTTTTTCTTTACTTCCCCTTTTTATGTTGTCTTTTCTACTCGTGATTATTTCTGATTGTTTGTTTTTTATCTTGTGTCAATTAACGTGGGCGGGGTTAAACATAGTGGGAGGAGGATCTCAGGGTCCAATCATATCAGTACTACAATGAGATTCGTGTTTTAATTTTTTTATCGTTTTTTTTTTTGACTAAACCAGCCTGTAATTTCTCATTCAAAATCATCTCCTCTTGGCCCTTTGCAACACCAGTGTTGTATATTTAGTATTTTGATTTAGCGTGTACTACTACTACTTATAACCATTTACTGCTGTAAGTATTAGACGCAAGAATCCATCTTGACAAAATGTTATCTATTTATATGTATGATTATTTTTGTTTCTTTGTTATATCATTAAAACATACTTGGTGTTTTAGATCTATATGTGTACAAAATTAAATAAAATACATTTTGCTCACTATTAAAAATACTGTGACAAAAACATTTAGATAAACCAAATACACAGAATACTGCCATAAATGGTACTGAATGAAGTATTCAATCAGGTCCTCAGTCATCCATCACACACAACCATCACTGTCTGGTACTTTTGGGGAAATGTAATGTTAACTTTATGCTTGTATTTGGGCTAGTTAATTTAAAGGGGACGTATAGTGGAAAATCTATCATTTTTGGCCTGACATGGAAAATGTATTTGTTGGGACCATTAATGTCTGAAAATGTCTTTTCACCTGCCATATGTTTTTCACCCACCCCAGCACATAGACCTGGAGCTGGAAGTACTGAACTGCTTGTTTCATTATCCCAAACAGGGGGCTTTCCCCAATCTTATCAAAATATTGAAGAGTACATTATGTGGATTGCATTCGAGATTAATACAGTTTTTGTGTGTGTTGTCTTTGCACCAACTCCATTTGAGGAATGACTGCTTTATTTGGAAAAAAAAAAGTCAGCCTACGGGAAGGTTAAAAACATCCTATTACTATTGTCAACAACAGCATGCATAAAAAATCACTGCAGTGCAAAGTCACGCTCAAAAGTGTTTTACGCCAGGCATGTGCAAGGGCCCAATGTTCTCTCGCCCTCTGCTTTGCTAACCCAAAGTTTACAGTGTCTTCTACCAACTCAGATCCACCAGTTAGACATGCCATACCTCACTATACAGCTCAGAACCTCTTTCTTTGACTACCAAATCCAGCATTTGCCTAAAGTTCTGTTTTGTAATACTTTAGTCGCTAGTAAGTAAAGGTGTTGTTCAGCCAACTTCATCTCCGTCAAATGTGAATCAGAACGGCTCTAACCAATTGGAATCCATTCCAAATTGTACAATCTGGGTTGTTGGTTCCTGGACAAGGCTGGTGAACTAAAGGTTTGGACACCCCTGCTCTGGATGCAGTAGTCCGAATACCTTGTGTAGGCTATATAACATGTATTTTTAATCAATTGTACAATGTTCTGTGCACCATGAGCTCAAAATGCTTTAACTATCCAAAAACCTCTTCCAAATTAGATTGTATTTATTCAATACAAGGACTTTACAATATTACTGTAGAAAACGGAGTAAAACTCCCTGATGTTATTGAAATGACTGAGGAATCAAAAGCCAATTTCTTTTCGTCCTGTTTTTCAGTCAATTTCACACCATCAAATCTCAATTTTAGGCTTTCACTCTTGAGTTCCAGAATGATGGCTGTCGCTCTTCTTATGGAGTTAAGAAAATCAAAATTTAAGCATAGAATTTGTTGTGCCATTTTTCTTCCATTGTGAAACCTTTAGAACTGGGGTGTCCAAATATATAGATATAAACCATGCGGAGGGCTAAGAATCTGTGCTTCATTCCAAAAGTATTTATAAGTTGCTTCTTTTTTTTTTTTTTTAAGATGTTTTGTGGCTGCCATTTCTTAATCCAGTCTAGATATACTAGATGGTATGTATTCTGCTCGTAAAAGGTCTTATGTGGGCAAATTCTGGTCCACGATTTGCCCCTGGGCCATAGTTTGGACAACAATAGCCACTACTTACAGCGTATATAATAACCAGATCACATTAACATTGTTGTGCAGCTCCAGTTCACACACAACCTGGTTTTCTGCTTCACAATCCAAATTCAAAATATCCAGCATCTCATGCATGAACTCAAACTAGGACTTGGGTCAGTACTTTCATGCCACCACCACCTCCATTGTGCTGTATAATTATGTAACCCCCTGCTGTTTTAAAATCTCCCTTTATGAAATATGAATGTTTTAGACTCAACGGCTCTGCTTAAAAATAAAACAGGTAGATGTTTGAAATATATATATGCACCAATAACAAGCTCTGCAGTAGGGCTGCACAGTAAAGGCAAATTGGTAATTATTATTATCTCTGTAGGGAAAAAGATGCATCCACAATAATCCTTTTATGGAGAAAGACCCTTACAATCTTGCAATAAAATCTGTTGAGACATTGTGCAGCCCTATTTTGCAGTGATCATCCAAAAATGTGTTTTCAGAGTAAACATTTATAGACCGTTTTCAGTTTAAAAAAATAGATTCCTCAGGATCTTGTGTCTTTGGAGTAAACATGTGGAGGAGGGGCATGGGAAACACCAGCATTGTACATGTATATATAAACGATACAAATATGACAACTGTTCAAAAGTAGAAAAGTGGGGAGTGTATTTATTGTATTTTTTTTTCCTCATTAAATTCTCAAAGATTCTCAAACATGTTTTAAGTTCTTATGGAAAAACCCTATGTTTTAAATATTGCTAGTGATGGTAGATGAAGAGCAATAATTCTGTAATCTCAATGAATAAAGATGTAAAAAAGTGTGTCTAGTTTTTTCTGGCTTTGTTTTGATAGAAAAACAGGTTGCAAGTATCTTCCTAGTGTCAGTATTTTAACTGACTACTTTTTGTACTTTTAAATACGGGTATCAACATTCTTGTTACATTTGACTGTTTATATGGTGACAGGACTTAAACGGGTTTCTAAGTGAATATATTTATAAATGTATGGGTCTTCATTTGTATAGAATGTAATGGGACATGTCAGCACTCAATGTCTGTGTATGCGACTATACACTAGGCTTTAGTCATGAGACTGAGGGGATGTCTGGTAAGACAATAGACATGTGTGAACAACATCTTTATCATGAGACTATACTATAACATGAGGAGCATATGAATGTCCGGTGATGGTTGTAAAGTGTGTCTTGTGACTCCTAATTTCTACAACTGCTCACTGCTTTGTGTGTTCGGGGTCATTTTTGCCATCATTCTCGGAATTGACTCAGGCTGGGAGCGCTAAGCCTGAATTTGACTTAATGCTATTCTGATTATGCCATTAAACTCTTGAATACATAACTCAAGAGTGCATTCCTTTTCCAACGCTACACTGGTTTGTGCGAGGAACCCCATCTTCTGCTGATAACCAGTTTTGATTTTGCTACTTTAAGAGCGACTAAACACCAAATCCACTTTTTTAACTCATAAACTGCATAAATGTTTATTGTAGTGCTCTCTACATATCCTGGTCATTTTTCTGACATTTTAGTGCAAATTAGATAAAATCTCACTTATGAGCCTAAAAACGTCTGTGTGGCCCCCTCTCAACCTTTTCGGTGGTACTACATTTAAATTTGGTCCTGACCTCTCCATTGACTCATACTGTGTGACGTGCGTCTGTCTGAGCCAGTGATATAAACCCATCCAACTCTCACACACGCCCCAGCAGCAGGTTGGAGTATTCTGGCGACATCTAGTGGATTAAAATTAAATTACATGAGTTGACCACCCATGCTGCTGAGATAATTCAGTGGCTTAGGTTCAGGTGTGTAGCTCTACAATTATCTTGGTGTGTAAACAAGGGTGGAATGAGACTTTCTGATGTGTAAACTATTGCTTTAAGCAGCAACAACAACTCTTTTTTTGTGTGTGTGTGTGTGTGTGACAAGTAAGCAGCCCAGACCACGCCCAACTCTAAGCCCCCCTTCTTGTCCCTTGGTCCCCCAGGCAACGCCCTTTTAAGAGAACATTTTCAAATGTTCATGCAAGTGTGCGGAGTAAGGCTGGGCACAGGTGTTTAGTCGCTCTTTGAGCTTTCAACTGTTTCTGCAGCTTCTGATTTGAATCCTGCCCTTGATCCGGTACTGCAAGTGAATGTTATTTTACTAATAACAATTTCACTTTAAAAATACTCTGTCATTTTTACAGTTGCTCCAAATGAAAAAAACACGTTAACCAACAACAATAAACACCATGTTTTTGGATTGTTTTCATAGGCTTAGAAATTAACTAATAAACGTGCATGAGGACTTTCAATGTCAATATGCCATCTTGAAATACAGTGGTTGGTAAGGGACAAAAGGGAGTTTGACCACTGTCAAAGACGACATATTGTCCTGCGAAGCTACCGTAGCACTGTAGATTAGGATATATGATCTCTATGCTAGATGGGAGTAAATACTACAGTGTTTAAGAGGGTAGTTTTGGATTGGTGTTTATGTCCTGAAAAGAAGAATAATGTAAAGAATCCCACCTATAGACAGTGTTTTAAGAGAGGACTAACATTGTGCTGACATCAATTGTTTTTGGAAAATGCGGAAGAGGCCAATTAGAACTTTATAAAGCTGACACCAATTTCCTCATGGGAATTTCCTCCACAGAATTTGTGTTGCAAAAACTATTGATAAGGCAAATTGTAGCATCTGATTGGTCAATCCTTATGGCTCATATCTGGTTTATTTTTACAGTCTATGATCTGGTTTTACAAAGACAATATAAGCAAATATAAATACCAGTATCATAGTATCACTCACAATGCTGAGTGACACAATCTATTACTGAGCTGGAGGAGTTTACTTTTCAAAGTCAGACTTACTGAGCCAGAGCCATTGTAGCAAAACTTTGTTCATAAGCACCCCCCGATTTGGGCTTCATCGAGTGAAGGGTTAGCATTTTTCATCTTTGTACAATCTGTGCTCTCATTCTATTTTCATAGTTTATGTTTTTATGGGTCCAGTTTATTGAAAAGGTGCCACTTCAAAGCAGTTTTTTTAACATAATTCATCTGAACATGTCAAAATGAACACCCAAAATATTATAAACACATATTGTAGTTATATATTCTGGATAGCAGCATATTAAATTCTAGTACTACTTTAAACACTTCCCTACAATGATGATCAGGCCAGTCCCAGACACAACAAGCAGTAAACCAACCATGCAGATGACAGTCACAGTCTGACCAAATCACAACAGGCTCCAACAGCGCCATGAGCTACCACCAGATTAGATACTCATATGATTGTATCTGTGATGCCCATACATCATGTGAAAGGGAAGAAATAGATAAAAAAAACATAGAGAGAGATGGACACAGCTATAGACGGATAATTACAGCTCTTGAGTTGCCCATTGCAGATGCAGGAGGGTCTGAGGACAGTGGTGGTAATCCAGAACATTCAACAACGTTTATGGACATCAGTCATCTGCCTCTTATGGACCAAAGGCTCTGTGTTATTTTATTGATGCATTTCCTGTGTTTTTGAACTGTATGATTCTCTGATCTGTGTTGGCGAATCGACAACTTTGCATGGTCTTCCGAGATTGCTACTGTTGTGATTTAGGACTATACAATAAAACAATTGAATTGAGTTGAAGCTATATCCTTGGATGACCAACCTTGTATAATACTTTAAAGCATGTCTTGTGTTGTATATGGACATTGGTCATCTGCCCTTATGGACCAAGGGTTTGAATTGTTTGATTCTCTGATCTGTGTTGGCAAATTCAACGGTTTTGTAAAGTCCTCCTAGATAACTACTGTTGTGATTTAGGGCTACACAAGAATAAATTGAATTGAATGGATAGTGACATACCTTCACTATCCATTGTGACATACCTTCACTGGTGTGCAGCTCAGTCATGATGCAGTCCCCTGGTGACTAGGGTGACTTGTGTACTTGGGGGGGGGGGGGGGGGATGGGTTTTTCTGCAGCTGCTCCGGTCACTCACACACTCTGACCTCAGTGACAGAAAGAGACATCTCCGCAAGCATCTACACAGGCCTCAGCCAAACCACAAAAGACCAAAGTACCAAACCAGCACCGCTTTTATCTGCAGACCAATCCATATCAAGTAAAGAAACCCCTCTGTGACAGAATATGACAGGTTGACCCCTCGCTCATTATTTCAGTGACAGTGGAATGTGTTTATATAGAGATGCCCTTCAGACCCCTCACATCTCGGTGTCAATAATTCAGGAGGCCGTCTGCAGGGGGGCAGGAGCAGATGGAGCTCAGAGCTGTGTGGATGAGAGGGTAAGTGGATACTTGGAAAATATATGTACAAGTCCTTCTCAAAAAATTAGCATGTTGAGATAAACTTCATTATTTTCTGTAATGCACTGATAAACAGTAGACTTTCATATATTTTAGATTCATTACACACAACTGAAGTAGTTCAAGCCTTTTATTGTTTTAATATTTATGATTTTGGCAAAAAAGTAAAGAAAAACCAAAAATCCCTATCTATCCGACCAATAAAAGACAAGTGTTTTTAATACAAAAAATTTCAACCTTCAAATAATGAGGAATCCTTTTGTAGAGATGAATGCTTCAATGAGGCGTGGCATGGAGGCAATCAGCCATGTGGCACTGCTGAGGTGTTGTGGAGCCCCAGGATGCTTCGATAGTGGCCTTAAGTTCATCCACAGTGTTGGGTCTGGTGACTCTCAACTTCCTCTTCACAATATCTCACAGATTCTCTATGGGGTTCAGGTCAGTAGAGTTGGCAGGCCAATTGAGTACAGTAATCCCACGGTCAGTAAACCATTTACCAGTGGTTTTGGCACTGTGAGCAGATGCCAGGTTGTGCTGAAAAAGGAATTCTTCATCTCCATAAAGCTTTTCAGCAGATGGAAGCATGAAGTGCTCCAAAATCTCCTGATAGCCAGCTGCATTGACCCTGCCCTTCATAAAACACAGTGGACCACCACCAGCAGCTGACATGACACCCCAGACCATCACGACTGTGGGTACTTGACCCTGGACTTCAGGCATTTTGGCATTTCCTTCTCCCCAGTCTTCCTCCACACTCTGGCACCTTGATTTCATCCTAAAAAAGTACTTTGGACATTGAGCAACAGTCCAGTGCTGCTTCTCTGTAGCCCAGGTCAGGCCCTTCTGCTGCTGTTTCTGGTTGTGATTTCTGTAGCCCATTTCCTGCACACACCTGTGCCCGATGGCTGTGGATGTTTCTGATCCAGACTCAGTCCACTGCTTCCGCAAGTCCCCCAAGGTCTGGAATCGGCCCTTCTCCACCATCCTCCTCAGGGTCCAGTCACCTCTTGGGGTTGTGCAGCGTTTTCTGCCACACTTTTTACTTCGCACAGACTTCCCACTGAGGTGCCTTGATACAGCACTCTGGGAACTGCCTATTCGCTCAGAAATGTCTTTCTGTGTCTTACCCTCTTGCTTGAGGGTGTCAATGATGGCCTTCTGGACAGCAGTCAGGTAGTCTGACCCATGATTGCAGTTTTGAGTAATGAAATAAATAGAGTTAATTTGTTGGTTCAGATGATTAGGTTAATGGCTCGTTTAGAGCACCTTTTCATTATACGCTAATTTTCTGAGATAGGGATTTTTGGTTTTTGTTTACTTTTTTTTAAACCAAATTCATCATTTTTAAAACAATAAAGGCTCGAACTACTTCAGTTGTGTGTAATGACTCTAAAAAAAAAATGTCTGTGTTTTTTCTGCTTAACAGGTTTATCGGGCCGCTAGACTCGGGGTCACATCAATTTAGTTGGTGGTTTCAGTCATTAGACCAATGTTGGAGGCCAAATATAAATAAAATCCTTGTTTGGATAAGTGTTAACACTAAAGGCAGTGTATCTTGCCTGTCCAGTGCAACTGTTGTGTCCTTATCAAATAAATACATTCAAATATATTACCACATATTAATGTTATTTTTTTTTCTTAAATTTGATATGAAATGATGAGACCTGGAACTTTATGAGATAAATAGGATTGCTTAACTCAATACCAGAAAAAAATGAAAATATGAAGAGTGCAAGAACAGATGTCTTTGTTTTAAGACATGTGCAATGTATTTGAAAGAATGTACTAAAGAAGGGGTGGAACTTTATTTTTATGGAACTACAATAGATCTGGCCTTTAAATATGCCACTTGGAAACGGATACATTGTAAGCCTTTCAAGTATTTGTCTACTGCAAATGGAACTGTTAGGTTTGTGAAGCCAGGTCGCTGTTCAGAAAGTGTCCTGGATTCAGTAGCTGCTTGTGACGTGTCTTCGTAAGTGTGTGCGGTGCAGGTCAGACGGATGCCCTGCAGGAGCGTCCCGTGATGAGAGCTCTGATCAGATCCACGCGCTCACAATGTCTGACCCCGCCCCTCGGGCCACGCAGGGACACGCACACAGGACCAGCGCACGGAGAGCGCGGCACAAGCGGCAGAACGGGAGAGGAGGGACCTGGACCCGTGTGTGTGCGTGTGTGTATATATGTGTGTGTCTGCGTACGTGCGCGGAACGGGCTCTCGTGGAGCGCGATGCCGGTGACCGCTTCACACAGGACAGAGTGAGCGCGGACGTGGGGCAGGATGCAGGCGGACGACATGGAGGTACCTATCATTCATAACCTAAAGGAGAACGGCGACAGGCACAAGGCCAGCGCCAGAGAGGTGCTGAAGGAGCCGCAGAAGGACTCGGAGGTAAATGCTGCGCGGGCTGTTGTGTTGTTGCTGGGGAGCTTTGGCTGGACGTCCCTTTGCGCACAGAGCGGCTCTGCTCTGGCTCTGCTTTGGAGCGTGGAGTCCATGTGCATGCAGACCACAGGCTGAGGCAGAGGGTTATTTCTGTATGCTGCTTCTAAAAATAAGACTGCAGTGGTACAGGTGCATGTCACAAGACCACTAGACATGCCTCTCCACAGTGTGAGTGTTTGGGGGTCTGCTGCTGCTGCTGCTGCTGCTGCTGCTGCTGCGCATTACAACACAACCATTCTACACTGTATCTGAATACACATGTGAGCACAGGGGCTGCTCTCCTCCTACAGCTGACCAGCTCTGGGACCATTAGGTCTATGACCAGCTCTGTGACAGGCTACTGGACTGGAGTTTCACTACAGGTTGATTTTGTGTAAATTGCAATTTGCAATTTTATTGGCCATCTGTACCCTGTTAATCCAGTAACAAAGCAAATCTGTGAACACGGTGGCTGAGTGGGCAGGGCTCTCATGCCTCAAAGCAAGATGGTCATAGGATTGATCCTCTGTCAACCTGAGCTTCTGTGTAGAGTCTGTAGTAAGTAAATAATCTTTTTGCAAAGCATCTTTAACAGACCAGAGTCACAAAGCACTTTACAAAGAAGTCACAAAGAAGGTGCTTGCCAGACCTATTGTACGTATTTTTATTGGTAGGGGAAGCCGGAGCACCAGGAGGAAACCTACACAGACACAGGGTAGAACATGCAAATTTCCACCCAAATTATAAACGTTGCAGTCCTGTCCAAGCCGAGCATCTGTAGATGGGTCCCTGAACCACTGCTCCTGCAGAGGGGCTGCAGGCAGTGTATTCTAACCATTATTTGACACAAACTTTTTGTGAGAAATGATGATAATTACTGTAGCACAATCAGTGACTCAGAATACAATACTAGAATGAAAGTTGCATATGTTGGTTCTTCAAATCAATAAGAATATTGGCATTGGAAGAACAGGTTTCTTCATAGGGACAAGGAAAGTGTACATTTAAATACGTTATATGAGATTGACGTGGATTATCCCCCATAATTAGTGTTTTTTTGTCCAGCTGTGTCCTTATTTGACATTATTTCTAGACCTACTTTATGATAGACTCAATCTCTGTTACATGTTTTTACGCTGCGTGTCACTCCTGATATTTATTGGCTGATTCCACTGCTCTGTGTCCATTAGAGGAAAGTATGACAGATCGATAAATCGCAGCGAGTATGAGAGAAATACCATTTGTTTTCCTGCTCTGGTTCAAAACAATGAAAATGTATCTTTGCAATCACATAACTCAACATGTTAGTGTTTTATTGCATACCAATTAACAAAGCTTTCAAACAAATGGACTGGAAATACAGTGCCTTGCGAAAGTATGTGGCCCCCTTGAACCTTTCAACATTTCGCCACATTTCAGGCTTCAAACATAAAGATACAACATTTTAATTTTTTGTCATGAATCAACAACAAGTGGGACACAATCGTGAAGTGGAACGAAATTTATTGGATAATTTAAACTTTTTAAACAAATAAAAAACTGAAAAGTGGGGCATGCAATATTATTCGGCCCCTTTACTTTCAGTGCAGCAAACTCACTCCAGAATTTCAGTGAGGATCTTTGAATGATCCAATGTTGTCCTAAATGACTGTTGATGATAAATAGAATGCACCTGTGTGTAATCAGGTCTCCGTATAAATGCACCTGCTCTTTGATAGTCTCAGGGTTCTGTTTAAAGCACAGAGAGAACCATGAAGACACAGGAGGAAGGAAGGAACACACCAGGCAGGTCCGAGATACTGTTGTGGAGAAGTTTAAAGCCGGATTTGGATACAAAAAGATTTACCAAGCTTTAAACATCTCAAGGAGCACTGTGCAAGCAATTATATTGAAATGGAAGGAGTATCAGACCACTGCAAATCTACCAAGACCCGGCCGTCCCTCCAAACTTTCATCTCAAACAAGGAGAAGACTGATCAGAGATGCAGCCAAGAGGCCCATGATCACTCTGGATGAACTGCAGATAACTACAGCTGAGGTGGGAGAGTCTGTCCATAGGACAACAATCAGTCGTGCACTGCACAAATCTGGCCTTTATGGAAGAGTGGCAAGAAGAAAGCCATTTCTCAAAGATATCCATAAAAAGCCTTGTTTAAAGTTTGCCACAAGCCACCTGGGAGACACACCAAACATGTGGAAGAAGGTGCTCTGGTCAGATGAAACCAAAATCGAACTTTTTGGCCACAATGCAAAACGATATGTTTGGCGTAAAAGCAACACAGCTCATCACCCTGAACACACCATCCCCACTGTCAAACATGGTGGTGGCAGCATCATGGTTTGGGCCTGCTTTTCTTCAGCAGGGACAGGGAAGATGGCTAAAATTGATGGGAAGATGGATGGAGCCAAATACAGGACCATTCTGGAAGAAAACCTGTTGGAGTCTGCAAAAAACCTGAGACTGGGACGGAGATTTATCTTCCAACAGGACAATGATCCAAAACATAAAGCCAAATCTACAATGGAATGGTTCACAAATAGACGTATCCAGGTGTTAGAATGGCCAAGTCAAAGTCCAGACCTGAATCCAATCGAGAATCTGTGGAAAGAGCTGAAGACTGCTGTTCACAAACGCTCTCCATCCAACCTCACTGAGCTCCAGCTGTTTTGCAAGGAAGAATGGCCAAGAATTCCAGTCTCTCGATGTGCAAAACTGATAGAGACATACCCCAAGCGACTTTCAGCTGTAATTGCAGCAAAAGGTGGCGCTACAAAGTATTAGCGCAAGGGGCCGAATAATATTGCACGTCCCACTTTTCAGTTTTTTGTTTGTTAAAAAAGTTTAAATTATCCAATAAATTTCGTTCCACTTCACGATTGTGTCCCACTTGTTGTTGATTCTTGACAAAAAATTTAATTTTTATATCTTTATGTTTGAAGCCTGAAATGTGGCAAAATGTTGAAAGGTTCAAGGGGGGCGAATACTTTTGCAAGGCACTGTACTTCCTGGAAGCTGCAGAAATACAAACTATAACTCTATTACACTCATTCAAACTGTTTTTTTTAGGTATGTGAAAACAAAATACATGGCTGAAATGTTTAAAATACATATATGTCACAAATAACTATATATTATAATTATATGGCACAGTCTATGCATACAAAGATTCAAGCAAAAAACATGAATGAAAATGTTCCTTTCAGGCCAATACAACAAAAAGCCAATAATGTATCACTAATACACTGTTTTTTTGTTATTATTATTTTCCAACAGCTTAAAACAAACAAACACACAGCTAAAGATATACTTTTGCACAAGTATGCCAATGTGGTTTTGCTGCAGATAGCAAAACCCACACAATCTATTCATAAAAAAAACTGTAAATTGCAGCTCAAGTCCTGACTAGAACCAGGAAGTACGACCACATTAGTCCAGTCCTCAGGTCTCTGCGCTGGCTTCCTGTGGCTCAGAGAATAGACTTTAAAAGAGCTCTGCTTGGTGCGAGGCCATGGAGAGACTTGTAACAAAGAACCTCTGTGACATGTTAGTGCCATATGAACCAACATTTCAGATTTACAGTCTTCCTGAAAATGTGAAACAGGCTTCTTCTCTGTCAATGTTCAAAACCTGGTTAAAAACATTCAACTTTTTAATGTACTGTGAATATTTAAAGCCTTGATATTAATGTATCTTTACCTTCTTTGACAAGCACTTTGAGTTGCCTTGTGTATGAACTGTGCTATACAGTGCTCCTTGCCTCAGCGCTGCTCCAGATGCCGATGGTAGCCTCTCTGGTGTTATGCATACGTCCTGTGGAAGATTCCCATATCATACTCTTTCTTTTTACGTTACAGACAACATTTCCAAAATGACATTTGGTGTTAGGACAATATCAAGGGCTGCGCAGATTATTTCTATTCATAAATACATAATTCTTCCAGCTCTGAAAGACATACATTGAATAGAAACATTGAAAAGTGCACCAAACTACAGCCGTGTAGTTTGGTGCACTTGTGAGTATTGGGAGGGAGCTGGAGCGTATTCATGTGTCGTGTGGCTTTAGGGGCCGCTCTGATGGGATAACAGATAACAGAAGCATTAAACATCAAAGCATTGTGTTTTGTGTGAAAGAAGCTGCCAGTGTCCCAGATGATGATGAGAGGCGGTTTCAATGAGATAAAGATGGGGTTTCAAACTCTTTTCATAAATAATACATTTTGTTTGCAGAAGATAATGTTGAGAACAAATTCGGCCATGACACAATGCCTTTTTCCTAATATCAAACACTATATTTTTTCCATACCTGAATATGTTTGGCCGAGTGTTTTTCACTTTTCTGTTTGAAAAAGCTGATGTGACAGAGGCTACAAATAATTGCATGTTAATTACACAAATGATTTATCTTAAATGGGTGGATTTTTGTATTATCTATTGTTACCTACATTCTCCTTTTTGAATGATGGCACTTTCAAATGTCCTTCTTATTTTGAATATTTTCACAACACACTTTTGAAATGATTATCAAAATAATCATGAGTTTCAGTCCTAATTGTGACACACTACACGTCTACACCCATTACACTTGTTTAACTTTAGCCAAACCTGCATTTCTGTCCAGTGTTCGTGCTAGCTTGTGCAAATATTTCCAGAGTACTGCAGTGTGACTTCTCGCAGGTGAACTCCCTCCAGGTTTATACTGTGATCTAAAGCACACAACACTCACCACCACTGCACACTTTATGCAGCAAGGAGCCCACTATTTATAAATGTAATGCTTTGACAATAAACTGTCCTTTTAAACTGAGCTTATTATACTGCAATTAGGATGTTTGGGCGGTTACAGCTTGTCTTTCACAGCCTGAAGGTCCTGGGTTTGATTCCACCTCCAGCCTCATTTAATTTGGCACATACTCCACAACCGAGTCTATAGACGGTGCAATAATCTCTCCTACGGGATCAATAAAATATCTATCTATAAATAAGATTACACATACAGTCACGTGCTGTGCTCCTAAGGCCAAGAAACATATTGGATACTGACAGAACAAGACAAAATTCTCCTTTTTTCTCACCTACATGCTGTACACCTTCTTGCAGTGCTGTATTTATGGCAGAATGAGCAGCGCAGAGTCTGACACAAGCGTATTTACAGTGTGCTGTTCCCTGGGGCGCGTTCACACTGTTAAACAAACCATCAGTTACTGTCTCTCTGCAGCCATCTCTGTCACGCCGAACTGTTCCCCTGATTCATGCAGGAAGTATGGACTATAAACAGTTACATACGATAGTGAGTAAGTCATCTTTATTTTTATATACACTGTAAAGAATTTCCTTGTAGAAAAACGGTAAAAAGCTGGCAAATATGGTTCCATGGATTGACCGTTTTCTCAACATGGCATCACCGTTGCTAATTTTAACGGTTAAAGACTGTTTCACTGAATCACATTATGTCTTTGCGATTTCAGGATTTAACTGTATGTTCCTGTTAATTCACATGCAACAAAAACAGCATTATAATGTTCATTTTGTATTATTACACCATATGACTGTTTCTGTTTCTAATTAGTTTCACTGAACAAAAAAACTACACAGTTTAATTTTGTTTTCCTTTAATGAACACAACTTTTCAATTATTTTTTTACATCTTTTATAACATGCTTAACGCAAAAGCATAATTTTAACAAAACCAGGAGTTTACACCTCTTACACTCATGGTTGCTTGCTAGCAACAAGTTGATGTTAAATTACGGTAATCACATTGTGATTTTATGGTATTGTAACGTTTTTGTAATCACATTTTAAATGTGGTAAGAAAACGCCACTGGATCTATACTTAAATTTGCATGTTTGAATTGTTTTCCAAAATAACATTTGTCTAGTATTTAAATTTCATTGTAATTTTACAGACATTTGTTACAGTGTAGCGCTTTTCACAGACCAAGGTCACACAAAGAGCTTTACATATGGTCAATCGGAAGAGCAGGGTCTTTCTGAGTGGGGTTTGCATGTGCTCCCCGTGTCTGCGTGGGTTTCCTCCGAGTGCTCCGGTTTCCCCTACCACTAAAAAAAAAGCGAAATAGGTATGAATGTAGTGAGTGAGTGAATGAATGGTGATGGTTCGGGCTTTGATGCGCCAGTGTGTTCAGCGTCTCGCTTCTGTTCATCACTGTGTTTGGAGTGAGAGGAAAAATACCGTTACATCAAAATTGTAAAGCGCTTTGTGTGACCTTGGTCCGTGAAATGAGCTATATAAATAAAAGATTACTTACTTCCTTATCACCACGCAGCTGATTTCAGCCAAAAATGATGTCATGTCTATATGATAAACATTCTGTAGTCCATTATAAAGTGATTCCCTCTGGCCCTGGAAACCAGTACAGTTATTTTATCAGAGACTTATTTTGAAGAGGTTTTGTTTTTCCTCTTTGCTGTGACATGTTCATGTCTACCACGAGGTGAAAAGCTGACATGGGTCGAAACAACTCCCAATCTTTCACACATGTGTTAAGTTTATTTATTTATTTAGAGGATAAGCCCCTTGAGATGAACTATCTCATTTTCGAGGGGGTCCTCGAGATTTCACAAAGTGACAGATGCAAACAAAACAAAAATACAAGAAAAAAAAAAAACATAAAAAATACACACACATAAACCCTCAATCAATCACTCACATACACACACACACACGCTGTGACTGCACTGTAATTACACTAAATAAGGATAATACTATTAATAATAGTAATAACAATAATTAGGAGACAATAAAGACAAGATTAGGTCTCATAACCTAAGATCAAAAACATTGACATGAATTCTGGAGATATTGTAGCAGAGCAGATTTAAACAGAGGCAGAGAAGTTAGAGAGCGAATAGACAACGGCAAACTGTTCCAGTTAGACGGAGCTTTAAATTCAAATGCATGTTTTCCAGCTTCTTTTTTCACTCTTGGGACGACAAAAAAAGACTGATTTGCATGACGCAAGTTGATACACCATTTGTCCTATACTAGGCTTGACGTGTGAAATACTGTGTGTGTGCACAGGCTGTTGTGGCCTGATGCGGGTGTCTCTGTGTGAGCTGAGCTGACGAGAGGTCAGGGCCTCTGGACACAGGTCAAGTCGATGTGACCCTGGTCTGAGCACACAAGATGATCTACTTCCCCACAGGCTCCTTCTCTCTCTGCTCGCTGATGCAGATGCAGTGCAAGAAACTCACAACATTCATGAAAAGGAGAATATAGACTGCACACTACTAAAGCAAACTCAATACGCAAACCTACCATAAACTCTAAAACAAAAGCTGGTATTCCTAATCATAATATATATATCAAACCTATTCACATGTTTCTGACATCTGGTTGTCTTCGAGTGTTTGATCTAGCAAAATCTGTCATTAGTATCGTAACTATTGTCCACTATAGATATACTTCAAACCCAGTCATAGAATCAAAATAACTTCAAGGATCCATCCATTTTATACGCCTTAATCCATTTCTGGGGGTGTCAGTCAGTGATGCCATCCAAGTCTCATAGCACCGACCCCTCACTGATCCTTCTGCAGGCGGTGAGACCACAGGAGGATGGCCGCTCTATGGCATAGACTTGATCTTTCAGTGGGGGCTTCAGGCAAAGTGGGGTAAAGTGTCTTGCCCAAGGACACAACCACAGCAGACATCAGTGGGAGTTGGTGGAGAAGGTCTCGTGGTGGGCTCGAACCCACAACCTTCTGGCCCAAAGGCCAATGCTCTACCAACTGAGCCACTGTTGCCCCCTATAGTATATTGGTAATGTACAAAATGCAGTGCAAGGAACAACCTTTCTCACCTGATGAATTAAAAACCTGTTTAGATACAAATTCCATAAAAAAAATAAAATAAACCCCACTGCAAAAGCACGTGAAGGAGAAAGAGCAATTCCCTGAACACAGATGGCGGAAACAGCGAGTTGATTGAGTTGGAGCAGGGTCAAAGAGTGTCTGGACCTGTGTCTTGTCTGATTGTGTGTGTATGTTTGTGTGTGGGTGTGTGTGTCTGTCCTTTGTGTTGTGTGAATGAGAGGGCTTGGAACCAACTAAGTGGCTGCCTCATCCAACCCATTTTCAAGCTGGGTTTTGCTGCACATGTGTTTGTATCCTTTGTTGACGTTGATGTACAAAAGAGTTTTGAACCACATTGAATTGTTTAGAAATATCAAATCATATTAAATTGTAAGCTTCCCGTATGTAGACACGCTCATCGAGATATTGTATGGCAGGCGACACTACACCACAGCTCACACTCACAGCGTATTTGCTTGTGTGTTGTTGTTGACAATAGTGGCGTTAAAGTGTTCCTAGCGAGTGGGTGGAGTGTGGGGTCCAAACCAGCCTGTGTGCATCAGTTCTCTGTTGTGAACTCCTACCTCCAAGACAATATGCTTGCACGTCTGCTTGCTCGTGGGCACGTGGGCAACTGCGATTTCGCCTGAGTAATATATCCACACTTAAAGCATGTGGGTGGTTTGTTTTCACAGGGCTCCATGGAGTCTCCCAACCTGGAGTTTGAATACGGAGACACGGACACACTCACCGCCGAACTGTCAGGTAAGGTGAGAGATTTTGAACATATTGCGTTCAAAATCTCTTTTTTCTTACTCAATATAGTTTGTGTATACTGTATATGTTTTGTTTATATGTATAATCACTTTAATAACAATTAGTCAAATAAATGAAATAATCAATCCATTCAGTTATAATTTAGTTTGTTTGTGGCGGAGCATAAGGTGCCGTCCTGAAAATAATTTTGTATGTGTAAAAATATTGTATCAGATTATATCAAATTGAAAGTCCCCTGTATCTTGATTTATATCGTGCCGAGTGTATTGAGATATGTGTCGTATCGAGATATGTGTCGTATTGGTGGGCTCTGAAGATTCCCAGTCCTATTCCTGATGATTTCTTCTCTCAAATCTGTCTAATAATAATTTCTGAGAACATTGGAGGAGCTTTGACCCAGTGTATTACATTTGGTTATTGTGTTAAAACTCCCCATCAGGATGTCATCAATCACAACCAGGAAATACAATTATGAATCTATAAAAAGGTGGACTCAATCATGGTATTGTCGTGGCTCATCGCATGATCCAGAATACTATACATCAGGGGTCTCCAACCTGTAGCTCAGGAGCCACCAGTAGCTCGCCACCCTCTTCCAGGTAGCTCGCCAAAGGATTTAGAAATGAACAAATCAAATAATAGACTTAATATTTCAGATTGTATTATTTATTATCATTATTTATTATTGTAAATGCACTTACTTTGTCACTAGTAACCAATATATAATGATAAATAATGACTGTACCCAACATCAGGCTCACTCTCATAAAACCACATTTTTCCCAGGGCGTCTTAAAGGGGTAGCTCTCTGCATTTATTGTCCTGTGAAAGTAGCTCTCTACTACTTTCACAGGACAAGGTTGGCGACACCTGCTATACATCTATACATACAGGCAGTTTTTTTTTTTCAAAACGTGCTATGTCTAGCATGTGTATAGCAGCTGATATAACAAGGTTAGTCATACCAGCTGACAGACACACACGCACGCACGCACACACACATGCGCCAGTGCTTTTTAGGTTCAACAATGACTAATGTTCTAGTGACACCTATATTTGTGAAGAAAATAAATGTCAAATACCAACACCAACTTATCACTCATACTTAGGCCTTACTAGTTGATGGAAGAAATTATACATTTTGAGGTTCAATATAAATCCCTAATGTAATGTATATTGTCTTCTTCATTTTTGTAATCTGATGAGTTTTAGTTGGCTAAATATGACTAAGTATTGAGTAGTTGAGTATTTCCTTATAAAATTCAAAAATGGCTGGGATCTTGCTGCTATATTGAAATTTTTTGAGGGGCAAAAAGGTTCTATAATTTACCGTAAGATTTTTCTTAAGCAACACATCATTTCCCACAATGTGTTCTTGACAGGCCTAAACTCGTACTAATACATTTGAAAGGTTTGCAATTGGATTTCAGAAATCTGCAAAAATAATCGATCCAAACAAAATGGGACAAACATGGCGATATTATTTGAGAAATCTTCTGTTATCGTGATCTGTAAACTTACACCTTCGATGAATCCTTTTGTGTTTCTAGAGCTGTACAGTTACACAGAGGAGCCGGAGTTTGCCTTGAACAGAGACAACTTTGAAGAGGACTTTAAGAATCATGGTACGTCTATATTTCATAACTTATCTTAGCATTTTGTGGGTTCCAATTAAAAGCTTGTCAAATAGCTGCATAATTTGTGATTCTCTGGGTTCTGGGGATTTACATAGTTCAAATACATATTATGCATTATTGTTGGCCATGGAGACTGTTTACTTTGTTGTGTTATTTCATGTACTAGAAAGGGAAATTTTAGGTTAAAAAGTAGAATGTTGAAACAAGTGAGTAAGTTCCTTATGGTACCTCGGGAGGGAGGAGTTGATTTTATTTGTTTTTATTTCCAAATGTAAAAATTATCTGCTGAAAACACTGCCATGTGGTTGTAGATAATGTAATATATGAGCAATACTTAAAGAAGCTATACCTGATTTTTTTTCTAAGTAGTTCATACAAATACTTATTACTACATACTAGTTGTATTATAATCCATAATTTAATTGAAAACTTGAGCTCATTGATTCAGGCCTTGAAAAGTGCTGAGTAGAGACTAAGAGGGACGCTCGTTCTCCACTCGCAGAATGAGCCTGCGCCCTCTAGCCTCCACAGCGCTGGTAAACACTAGGGCTTTGACTTCAAAATTCTAATATAATTCTAAAAAATATATATTTATATATTTGAACGAATATTAGACAGCCCTTATAATTTGAAATGTATTTAATGACTGCAAATAAAATAGTTAGCTCCCAAAGGTTTCGCTGTGACGCGCTAAGCAGGTAACAGCTAAGCTAGCTAGTTCAAAAACTACATGAAAACTGAACAAAGAATTCTGATCAGCGGTGAGTGACCCATTTATATACCGAACCTAAATCCATCAGATCCTCTTCAAATGTGTGTTAAAACGTTTGCTTCATGTTAATGGTTACTACCGGTTTTATCGCTTTTTGTCACATTAAAACAGTAATTTTGTCATGAAAACGTTAACAACAAATTCTGAAAACTTCCGTGCATGTGTGTTAAGGATGTATACGTATAATGTATTCTCCGACTAACATTTAAAGGTGCTGATGGATTGATATGTATTTGTTTATTGAGCGTGGCTAACTCCGCTAGCTCCGCTAGCTTCTCTCCACAGACAGAAGTAGAGTAATGTTAGTATTTTACACACCTGAATTACAAACAGAGATTGCGTTACCAAAGGGCAGCGGCCATTATTGGTTTTAAGAGTTCTGTTAAAGAAAAAATGATCTGTAGAACGTTTTGAAATTACATTCAAGTCAATGGAGTGTTCTACTGCTGCTGTGAGGAACTGTATAATAAATTATAATGAAATATATTCTAATGTTTAAATTAATACATTTGGACGCGTAACTAGCGGTATTCTTTTACCTATATATTGTGTTAGCAGTGCGTTGCTTTTGTACCATTTCTTCAGTGATTGTTGTACAGCTTACAAGAAGTTGCGCTTATGCTAATGTTAGCATATGTATCAAAAATTAAACTAGATGGCTCCGTGGGAAATGAGAAGCCTGTGAGCGAGTTGGGTGCGGTGCTAAACATTCAAACCTTGCAGAAACGGGTATAGCTCCTTTAATGTTTTAAAAGACAGAAAACTGCTCTGGGTGTGATGTCATAGTGGTGCAATGACATCATACTATTACAGGACTGAGACTGGAGCTTTCACACAGAAGGGACGGAGAAACTTATTTGTGCCTGAAGTTCCTGATCATACCATCTAAAACCAACTTGTAACATGGTTAAAAGAGAGAGATAATGAACCAAAGTGAGTAGAGGGGTAAAACTTCACCCATGAGCACTTCACTATATACAGCCGTGCCATCCTGCTGAAGCTTACAGCAAGATTGGTTTTATCATGGTGTTGTTTTCACTGTCTCTCATTCTATGCATGTATAGGTGAAACTCAGAACATTACAAGATCACTCACAAGTAAATGTATTTCTGTGACACTTAAACATGAAAAAGACTTATTACATTTATTTAACCTGACATTAACTGAGACTTTTCTATAATTATGATTATGGCCTACAGTCCATTTTCAAAACATTTTCAACTGTGTTTTTTTGGGGGATTTTTATAACCTGTGAGCCATTTATCAACATTATTACAAACAGAATCCTGACTTATCTGACTTTGTGTGGAATGACTCTTATAGTAGTTTCACGTTGAACTAAATTAAGTAAATTGACCTTTGAATGATTTTCTAATTTTCCCCTGTACATGCCAGTCCACTGAACCCTACTACATTTTATTTTTTCATTTCTAAATTTTGGTCAGTTTTTGTTGTCTATTATGTATGTTTGGATTTTGTGCATTTCTCTGACACCTTCATTCCAATATGCATGGGCGTCGGACTGGGGGGGTAAAGGGTACCGAGTACCCAGGGCCCAAGGCGGGGAGGGGCCCTCTAAAGTGTGTATTTATATTTATATGTATTAGGCATTATGGTATATTCATATTATTACAATTTGAATGAAAGGGGCCCTGTATAAAAATAACCAACGTTTTAACCTCAGTTTTCCTCTAAAAACAAATTTGTATGCTGTATCAGGGCCCTGCCACCCCCTTACAAAAGATCAAATGGTACGACCCACATGTGCGCTTGTTGCTGTGTTGCTGCCGCTGCAGCGAGTTGACTTGTTTGAGCAGCGGCAGAAGCGGGAAAAATAGAAATGTCTTTTCCAAAGAAAAGAAAATCAGGATTTCAGAAAAGAAAAGAAAGACAGGACAGGGAGAAAAAGTGTAATGAGGGCAAGCAATTGCTTACTCAGTTCTTCCACACGAGAGGTGAGTAAATAGAGACGTGTTAAGGCCACATCAGGAGAAAACCCAGAGACATTTGTTTCTGTATTCTAAACTCACGGAGAGCTAACAGTGTGCTGTGTACGTGGTAAAAAAAAACCTTATCCAGAGTGACACACACAGACGCGCAGCTGTAAAGGGAGCTCACACACACTGCTGTCCACTTCTCCTTCAAAGGCAGGCAGCAGAGTTATTTTCATGTAACCCTGTACCCTATATTCCCCGTATTTGTCATAATCTGTCCGTCCGAGTCTTGCAGTCATAAGTCACGGGTCACTCACTGGCCTCTGCATTGGATCATCTGGTTATAACCATACAAATCACACGCCCCCGCACCGATTTGGAGGTTTCTGGTGACATCTAGTGGTCAAAATAATGTAAATAAGTCTAATGGTCTAGGGTGAAATGAGACTTTCTGGTGTGTAAACTATTGCTTTTAAGCCAGAAATGACAACTGACAATCACAGCCCAGACCATGCCCAACAGTAAGCCCCCCTTCTTCTCCACTGGTGCCATTTTTACAGACAAATTTCAAATGTTCATGTGGGCGGAGTAAGGCTAGGCACAGGTGTTTAGTTGAAAATGGAATAGGCTTATTTCAAAAAAGATTGCATCGATTGAATTTTCACAAAGTCTAAATTAGTGGATAATAATGAACCATAAAAAGTATTTTGTTGTATGTTTGTACAATAACAAATAAGTAACTTACCTACTCATGGTCCATACAAATAAGATAAAATATACTATATATTTTATATGAATAGCCATATACACATATCACATAAAGGCATGCAGGCATATACGTAATAGCTATACACTGTAATGATGGAATATAGTATCTGTTTGCAACCCATTAAAGCTACTTTATTTCAGTTTCAGGAAGAGAAGCATCATGGCCAGATGAAGGCACTAGTAGTGAGGGTTTGACAGTGAGGCATGGTGAGCATTTATCAGTCACTGATTGAACTGTTTTCAATAAGTTAGTAAGTTATTACTTTATAAGTTTTACTGTATACACTAATTCTATATCATTTTTGTCTGTATATAAGAAACGTGTAGTGGGGGCCCATTGAGACTGTTTGTACCCGGGGCCCTGAATTTGGTGCTACCCCCCTGCCAATATGTATTCTTTTTTGTTATTTTTATTTTTACTGCAATCACATTACACACAACATGCTGTCTGTGAGGCACGATCATGAAGGCATCTCCGCAGTTCAATTTGGAGAGACGTGAAACAAGAAGCTTTTGAGTATTTTATTGGGAGGAGGTTTGGCGCCCTAGGCCCCGGTGCGGCCTTCAGATCGGAGGCGCTCCGCGATGGAGCGTGCCAATCCCCAAAAAGGTTGTGAGTTGATGGAGTTTTGCAGCCTGGTTTGGAGGGGACAGACGTCAGGGCTACTCTATGCTGTGACCGCTATCGCTATATACTGTGACCGCTATCGCTATATACTGTGACCGCTATCGCTATATACTGTGACTGCTATTTGCTGTGACCAAACTTGCGGATACTCAGCTGCAGCCGCCACCAGGAGTTTAGCGAGTGTTTTATGGAGATGCCAAAAGCCGCTGGGCTGCCAGGATGGTCGAGGTGTCAGGCCTGATGTATGAGGAGAGGGCCGATGATGACCAGCGGCCCAGCTGCTGGAGGGCGAATGGGGGAGCCCCAGTGACGCGGCGCGTGTGGCGGCGCCTATCCGGAAGGAGTGAGCTGTGTAGAGATGGGGAGACAGATTAAAAAGCAGCAGTACGGACTTGAGTTGGGCTCTGAACCAGTTGGGGGACATAGGGAGGTTTTCAGGGGTAAGAAATGACGGTCCGTTGAGATCTCCTTTCCGAGAGCGGAGGCGAGTGTAATGCATCATGGATCGTGACAGCAGAGGGCGGAATGAGTGGAATGCAGTGGGCGTGACAGAAGCTGGAGTAGACTTTCCACGCGAAACTGTATGATTTCAGTGTGGAAGGTGAGAGACCCATCTTCATGTAGGATGCAGCGGAGGAGATGAGGAGGTGAAGAGACGGAGGGACTAGTCCAGGGCGAGGGATTCCATGCAGGGGATCTGGCATGGTGATGGGTTGGCAGAAGGGCAGAGGCGTCGGAACTCCTGGAAGTCGAGATTATCGCGCATGACGGAGATCCTCTTTCTCTGCCAGGTGTGATTCCGCCGCGCGCAGGCCACGACCACTGGGAATATCTCGTGTAGGGCAGAGGAGATGCTCCGGTGGAAAGTAGCGGCCACGGCCCGGCAACCCAATGGTCCTGGAAAAAACCCCCAAAACCCACGGAAGGGGCAGCGTCCGTGTAGAAGCGGAGACCTGTAGGGGCAGAGACATGTCGGAGAGGGCCATTGATGTTGCAGGCGCCCTTACGCTTAGAATCTTGGGTTGGAGAGTAGATAATCAGGATAGTAGGATGGTCGGGAAAAGCCGTGTCTCGGACCGCATGAAGGTTGAGTGAGCAGTAGTGAAACGCTTATGCAGAGAAGCCATAGAAGGCGAGCAGGAAGATGCTGCGAGGAGGGCAGACGTGTACTTGGAGATGAGCCGGAGTTCAGCGCCGCTGCAGGATGGGCAGCATGATGGGGAGCCTGCGATCAGAAGAGTGAAGAATACAGGTATGGATGCCTTTGATTAGGAGTCCGATTGACGGCTCAGCGCAGCTACTTGGCCAGCTGCATCTGATAGAATCGGAAGATTAAGTAGAGCGATGAAGCATGACCGCCGAAGCGACCCTGGGAGCATAGGTGCGAGTCCAGCGCAGCGCGGCATGCTCGGCCGGGCTGCATCCATTAGAAGCAGGATAAGCTTCTGAGAGAGTGGGTTGCAGCAGTAGCAGTAGCAGTAGCAGCAGCGGCAGCAGCAGTAACCTCGGATAATAACGCAACAATCTTGTATCAAGCCGCGGCAGCAGCAGCATCCGTAGATAACAACGGCAAAAATCCTGTATTGAAGCCACAGCGGTAGGATATGTTGTAGCTGTTTAGTGTTTCAGTAAGAGAAGCGAAGTGAGGAGAGATGACAAAGTACATGAAGCAGCAGCAGCACGGCAGCAGTAGCAGTATGAAGCAGCAGCAGCACGGCAGCAGTAGCAGTATGAAGCAGCAGCGGCAGCAGTAGCAGTATGAAGCAGCAGCGGCAGCAGTAGCAGCAGTAGCGGTAGCAGTACAAGAAGCAGCATTAGCGGGAGCAGCAGCACCACGATGCGATTCATACGAACAAACAGACGTGTCACGCCAGCGTGCGCCGCTTAACTCCGTGAGCCAGGTTACGTACGCGTCTGAAGGAGCCGAGCCGTAGAGACAGGTGCAGCCTGGGAGCCTGTGGAGCGGCAGCGGCTGCTTTGGTTATGGCAGATACGCATGAACGATCACTGATCCATGCGTTCATAGCTCCAACACCACTTCACACCCATTGCAGATTCACATTGGGCCCTTTTTCATTCTGCTGCACTTTCAAAATGCAACAACTGCAGTTAGTTACCTAATTTAATACCAGCGAGCTAGCTATTTAAATGCATGGTTTTACTGCAAGTGGCAGAACATGAATCTGAATTAATGCACTTTGCTCCTCTTATATCCCTCAGACAATAGAGATTGATGCCATTTAATATGCATTGCCCCTCGGTTAGCTCAAACACATGTGAAACGGAGCCTGCAGACCAAGCACGGGGCAAAAAAACTGACGCCTGCAGTCAAGTGCGCGGGGCAAAAACCAATCGCCTGCAGCCCAAAACTCCGGGATTAATCCGTCCGCGGTCGGCACACTCACTGTACTCACATGCCAGGAGACTTGGGAAAAGCAACGGGACAAACAAACCAGTGCAGGGACGCGGAGGAGGAGCAGACCAGTGCAGGGACGCGGAGGAGGAGCAGACCACAAGCAGCCAGACGGAGGACGCCAGGGTCGCGCCGAGTAGCGTGAGTAGACGAAAACGATTCCTCCAGACGATTCTCTGCAAGGCTTCGAGGGCTTGCGAGGCTTCGAGAAGTGCAGGCTTCGAGAAGGCAGAGAGTGGGAGTTTCTCCGCTTTTAAGCGGCTTGCCTGGCCGGTGCGGTGATTGGAAGGGGCGTTTGCAGCGCGATAGGCTGGGGATGAGAACCGGCCTGGAGGGGTTACCTTTGGCTGACGTCTACCAAATTGAACTTTCGCTGGCTGCATCTCTGGGTGGGTTTCCTCTGGGCGCTCCATAGAAACATTACCGAGAGCATGGTTCTGGGTGTCAATTCAAAATGAGAAGTAGAAAATGACATTGGAAAGGTATATTTTCAGTTTTTTAGTGGAGTGAGTTTGGTAGAGACACACTCCTCCGCATGGCCTTCACATCATCGGTGTTTGAATAGTCTCTCACTCGGAGCGGTTTGTCGTCGCTGACTTCTCGTAGCTCCCTGCCTTTGTGAACGTCTCAGTCGCAGAAATCACATTCATTATCTAGATGTGTGTCTAAATCTGGCTTTTCTCTTTGCAACTTCTTCCTTTGGTGAGTACAACAGAAACTGTGAAGTTGATAATCATTGTTTAATCTGATTGTAATGTTTGGGATTTTCAAAAGAGACATTCTGAAAAATCAACCTTTTTTGAATTTTTAACCATGTTACAACATTGGTCCCACTTCAAAAACAGACCTGCAGTTGTTTTTAGATCCATTCACACTAATATAAGGAACTTTTCATGTAACTCTGCCTCTTAATAAGCTCCTGTTTCAGTCTTGTATTATTTTGATGTCGCTGTACTACTGTGTGTAGTGGCAGTATCTCTCTCAAGTGGAATGACAATCTTTACAATTAGATTTTTGGGAAAACTACCCCAACACATTCCATTTACTCTGGTGGTAGCCTGGAGAGTTACAGGCAGAAAGCATTTTTACTCTTCATACTTGTTTCACTATATATTGTTATTATTATTTGTATGATACTTTCTTTTTCAGCCTGTGTGTACACCTATTCGCAAACGATGATAGTTTCCAAAACATGATTGATCGTTGTGAATTCTTTCCTGCCATTTTTTCTACACAAAAATTAAAAAATACATACAGTGAGACAAATGTGTCACATGGACAAGTTGATACAGGCAAACACCAAACACAATAAATCATCATCACCAAAATGGGCTGTATTTAAAAATGGAAAGGTGCTGCTGTTTGGCTGAATCAAACACAGCTACAGAGAAAGCCCGGTCTCCTCTGGTGGACTGTGAGAAGCAGCTCTGCTCAGAGCTCTGCTGGGACTGTGGAGCAGGAGGAGCTTGGAAATTTGGGGGCATTGGCTATAGGCAGAATCAATATCATAATTTAAAAGGGGTCCTAAATGTCTCCAGTCGCCAGAGGAGCGAAGCCAAGCACTGGGGTTATGTGCTCGAGCTACTGCTGTAGCCCCTGGAGGCGCTGGAGGGAAGCTTGGTGAAGGTTAAAGCAGGGGTCTCCAACCTTTTTTAGAGAGCTACTTTTCCAATTGTAGTATAATAGTTGTCAATTTAATAAGTTAAACTAGATATGTCATGTCTCAAAATGTAATCAATGTGTTAAAGCTGGAGTACTTTCAATTAGTGCTTCACAGTAAGGTCCTCATGTGTTCAATTCTACCTCTAGACCTTTCTGTATGGAGTTTGCATGTTCTCCCCGTGTGTGTGTACAGTAGGTGAGTGTGACTGTGGGATGGATGCAAATCAACCCCAATTCCCAGAGGTGTGTTCATTAACATGCCATGTCTCAACCAAATAAACAATAATTAATGAGTTCATTAAATTCTTAAACCATGTAACTAATTCATGGCTATAAAACAGTCATGCATGTATTTATGGCCTCCATCACATCTCTCGATCAGAAAAGGAGAGTACCAGGCCTCACGCAACCAATCAGCTCGCAGTATTTCCCACGTTGTTGCCTGATTTGTTCCAAAAATGTTACAAAAAATCTGACCCTTTCAAAATCCTTTGGGGAGCTACTTAAAAAGAGACTGGTGAACTATGGTAAGCAAGCTACAGGTTGGAGACCCTTTTTTTTAAGCAGTAGGGAATTTGTTCTCTGCATTTGAGCCATCCTGCATCCCACAAGGGAGAGCAGTGTCTGAGGTCCATCTCCAGAGGTTGATGTTGGGCTTGGATTTTACGCATGTTTTGGTGATGCAGGAAACCAGAGCATTCTGTACATGGCATTTTGAAGGTGAATAATAACATAACATTAACAATAACAAAGACATAACATAGATAAAATCAGTAAAGAAAAAATCTATTATGCAGTGAAGTTTTGATCCTGTGCCGACTAAAGTGTGTGTTGTGACAGCCAAAGGACGGCGGTGGACAGAGCTGCAGCTGGAGGAGCAGAGAGCGTATGTGATGAGGCTGCTGGACGCTTTGGAGGTGACCGATCGAGACAAAAGGCTGAAGGTGGCCCGGGCCATCCTCTACCTCACACAGGGTAAAGCTCCGCATGCATAACGGACTCTGCCGGGGAGACACTAACAACAACTACAGAGAATGCTCTTTCATTAGTTTAGTCAATGAATCGCTCGAGGACTCCTTAGTGGACACAGTTTTGTATTCACTGTTGTTGATTTTATTTTTATTATAAGTTGTTTTATGTAATTTGAAACTGTATTCACATTCATTATAAAAGTAAAGTTTATTTATATTGCATATTTACAACTTCAAGAGCCCAACGTGGTGTACACGCCATAAAGGAGTAAGTAGTGGTTGTAATTAGAATGTAATAATAATAATACATTACAAATTACATTATTTTGAAAAATTAAAGAAAATATATATATGTTTTTTTTATTCCTAAATAGATGTTTTTGTGAGTAGTTTTGGCCAGGATAAAATAATCAGTGTTTAAGAGTGTGTGTGAGTGAGTGTGAGTGAGAGAGGTTGGAGCCAATAAGGCATCTGCTTTGTATTCAAGCTGTGCATATTGCTGTTTTTTATTTTTATTGCATCTGCCTTGTATCTAAGTTTGAAACACTTTACAAACTAATTCTCCTGACTCCTGCCATCTTGTTTCCTCTCTCCTTGCTGTAGGCGTGTTTGATGAGTGCGACACAGAGGTGGACGTGTTGCATTGGTCCAGACATAACGTGTTCCTGCTGTACGACATGGGCATCTTCACTGCACTGCTGGAGCTGCTCAACATGGAGATAGAGTGAGTATCAGTGCGAGATCAGTGCGAGATCAGTGCGAGATCAGAGCGAGATGAGTGTGAGATCTTGTGTGTGTCTGCAGTAACAGCCAGGCGTGCAGCAGCGCCGTGAGGAAACCCGCCATCTCTCTGGCCGACAGCACTGAGCTCAGGTGAGCACGCGGCCATATGAGAAAGCATGATTAAAGGTGGGGTGCCTAACTTTTTATGTTTCTGAATTAAGCCAAAAATACATGCTTTCTAAAACTATAGAACCAGTTAGAATGAGTTATATTATTACGTTAATAGCTGAGCTCCTGGCCCCTGCGTTCCCACTGATTTAGACATAGAAACAAAAAGATTAAAATTCACTAATTCTATAGTCCCATTCACACATAAAAATAAACCTTAAGGCCAATACTTTATAGAAGCTCGCACTAATGATATGTGTTTTAATGTGATCAAAGATGAACAAAGGGCTTGATTTTTACAGCAATGATGACATGCCATTGCCTTCACCAGGTTTAATCCACTGGAAACTTTGAAATGTCCTTTTTTCGTCTGTGTAGTTTGATGGGCTAATGCAAATGTAGCCCATCAAACTACACATGTACTTTTTGTATTTTTCAGAGTGTTATTGAGCATTATGTACTTGATGGTGGAAACGATCAGAGTCCAGACTGAAGACGACAGACTGGAGTGGAAAACTGCACGAGAATCCTTCAAGAACGAGCTGGGTTTGTGTCCTCATCACACACAGCTACATTTGCATTAGACACGACAGTTCCAAAGCATCCAAAGTTTCTTTCCACATCTCCACAAGTTAATTTTTTAACAATCTAATTTGTGTTGTCCTGAATCTGTGTGTTTGTGTGTGTGTGTGTGTTTATGGTCTACGGGATAAATCTAATACAAGAAACGTGGCTGATGTAGCAACGATAAAGTGAATGTCAGTTACTGTTTGAAATGGGAAGAAAGATTCTTCTACAAAGCAGTTAGACCGACATTCTCACACCTACTGCTTCCTGATTGGACGGAAAAAATTCTCCTTGTTTGATTCTCCAAATGCCAAATAAGCGTCTGCTATACAACCCTATTTAACACTGTGTATTGCGCTTTATATAATTGTATTCTGTTTATTGTTTTTTGTCTTTTTTGTAACTTTGACTACTACTCTTTTGTAGGTTCCCCTCTGTACAACGGCGAACCTTTTGCTCTCCTCCTCTTCACGATGGTCACTAAGTTCTGCAGTATGAACGCTCCACACTTCCCCATGAAGAAAGTCCTGCTGCTCCTGTGGAAAACTATTCTGGTATGTGCAGAAGAAAAAATATTACGCTTCACTTTTTGATATTAAAAATTATGATAATTATTTTGTAGTTTTACAAATTTTGTGCAACAAAATTTGACTTGCTCTCATCCTGCTCGAGCAGTGCTGTGATCAGCGGTGCTCTCATTGGTCAGAACTCTCACATGTTACTCTGGTCCTGAGGGAGTAGAACCACTGAGAACCTACTGCGCAAGAACCTGAACCTTGTGCAGCAGGTGCTCAGTTCAGAACACGTCACTCCCGCTATTGTTTGGGACGGCCTTTGTGCGACATGCGCCGATGAGCACAGGCCGTTGATTTGAATGAGCAGACATCTTGGAGACCCAGGGCCTGTTAATACTTCATTGACCATATATTTTCTACTAAAGAGTTATTTCAAATTCTAAAACATAAAAAATACAAAAGAAATAGTCTAATTTGAACGGGCAAAATAAATGCCAAATATTTTTTTTTCTAAAAGTAAACACTACATAAGCACATGCAATGCGCCTGATCTGTATTCATGTATTTCTAGTTCACACTGGGAGGATTTGAGGAGCTGCAGGAGATGAAGGTGCGTGGCAGGGAGCGCCTGAACTTGTCTGCGCTGCCTGAGGACAGTATCCAGGTGGTGCGCGCCATGAGGGCCGCGTCCCCTCCAGCCTCAGCCATGGAGCTGATCGAACAGCAGCAGCAGCAGAAGAGAGGCCGCCGCAGCCGCAGGGTAAAGAGCACAGGGTTTACAGGCTTCAAAGGTACTGCTAGGTATCATCCACATGGACACTTTATTTTGTGAGTGCAACATTCAATTTCAGACCCACGTTTTTGGAACTACAAAAACAAGTTAGATTATTGATTTACCAATGCAATCTATTGCTTTGTTTTTTGCATTATTATCCCAGATATTTGCTTTTCCTTCCCTCACAAGATGTCATTGAACATAAGGAAAATCTCTCTAGTTTCATCTTGTTGTATTGATCAAAAAAAAAATTGGTCCGTCGATATTTTCAAGCAGCAGGAAATTTAGTCGACTTTGAAGATACTTTATGTCACTTTTTGGAGGAGTGCCTTCTTATCTGGTTTCCATGGAGATGCTGTTGCTTTACTGGAATGTTCCACAGTTTAGCATTGAAATAACCGATCGTTCTAACTGTAAAACTGTAAACATGTTTTTGTTTCAACGTATTGGAGCTACAGGGCACATTTTTGACGAGATGAATACAGATGAAACTCGTCATTCAAAAATTCATGTATTTCTGTATTTTAACCAATATATGATGTAGACTCATGCTTTTCAATGCATTTTAAAAAGATTCAAATTTGCTGAAACATTTTATTTGGGGCGTTTTTACAAGCTGTGAGGCAGTTATCAACATTTTAATACATTAAGTCTTTGTCACATACGTCACAGAGTCTGATATTTATAAGTTTCACATTGTAAGTCGAAGTACAGAAGTGAATGGACTTTTGAACGATATTCTATTTTTATGTTTATTCTTGTAATATTATCTATCAATGCAAGACTCACATTTCCCACTATACTATAACCCAAGCTCTGATATTATGGCTTCTAAGCAACACTGGGGTCCCAATATTAAGAGTATAAGTTGCGTGTATAGTAATTGACACGCCTCTCCTTGTGTTCTTACAGAGTGCCTTTGTTGATAGCTTGGAAGGAGACAGTCCCTTTCCCAAGAAGCAGGTCTTTACCATAAATGCCGTCTTCCTTTTAAAACCTCTGCATCTTTTGTGTGCATTAGCTGGACTGCTCTGCTCTCTCACATCCCGCTGCTGTTGCCTATACTTTGTCCAGTCTTACTGCAATACAACTATTCCGCCACAGCTATTTATAACAATTCAGTTCATTTGATGGCAAAGTCATGAATATGTATGGGTGAGTTGTGTCCAGAAAATTGTTCAGCATTTTTTTTGTTTCATCCATAATTATGTATTATTTATAATCCCCTTGACATACTGTAGAACTGAAAACTAAAGTAGTGTGTTCCCCACGCATAGTTACTACTCCGGTTATTTTAAACAGCTTCATTTGAGGTTTATGAGAACTGGTTTTATAATTCAGGCACAGTTATACTTGTAAATGAAAAAAAAAAACAATCAACTTGTATAACTCCATTTTGGACACTTCACATGGCATTATTCATTCACTCCACACACACACTGATAAACTTCTGTAGCCACAACTGCCCTGAGGCTGCGACCACCATAAGCTGCATTGTGGGTGTCTTGCATAACCAGACCCCGCACTGTTGGGCTTCTGAGATCTGCAATATCAGGCATAGAAAAGAAAGTATGGCCACAGTTTCATTAGATGAAAAGACTGAAAATACAAAATAACAAAATGGGTCCAACTGTGGTTTTTATCCTGAAAGTAACTCCAAGCAACAACTGTATAAGAGTTAAGTTAAAACCTTGCCGGACATTCGTTTGATAGTTACACATTTGAAAAAATATATTTTAGGATTGTGGGGAGGTTCCATCAGTAAATCCTGGTGTTGGTATAAGCCTATATCTAATCACACAGTGTATACTCTTCTGATTCCAACTTTTTTTTCTTTCTGTAAGTGATAGTTTTGTTTTGAATTGTTCCTTTTCTTGACACAACTTGCCCTACTTCCTTCTGATTCCTGTCGTTGGTGCGGGGTTTGAGAGACAGGGCGGGCTGCTGCTGGTCAGTGTCCACTGTCCCACATGAAGACACTGTAGAGTCCATCACACGCTGCAGGATCAGCCTCAGAGCACTTTGCACGGTTGGACTCGGGGCTAGTGCCAATACATGTTTCATTCAAGAGGTGAATTGTGAATGCCTGGACACGAGGTGATCAGTTGACCTCACACAAAGGCAAGGCACTACAGATGAAGCTCTTCCATTTTTTTTCCAGTTTTATAAATCTATGACTATGGGTACGTTCACATTTGCTCCTATTTTAGTAACATGGAGTTCTTTTTCTGTCCTGCTTTAGTTTCAGTCTCATGTATTTTAACAGAACGGTTTGATCAAGTTAATTGTATTTCTGTTCATTCTGCTCATTCCTAAAAAAATGAGGCAAGAAATGAATGTATTTGTAACTGTATATCCATTGTCATAATCAATTTATGAATACATGAAAACATAGATGAATTTATAAATGAATGCAAATGAATAGATTAAGGTATGTCTTAAAACAGGTTCGCAGTAAGGACTAAGATATCAAGCAGCATCTTTCACTCGGCCAGGACACTCGGAAAAAAAATACACTTATTTTTGGAGTGCTGAAAATTAGAAAATAATTCTGCTGATAGTTTAAACCATTGGTCTCAAACCTATCAGTTGCTCAGAAGGTTCTTCCAAGGAGCTATGGTGTAAATTACATATAAATCATAGAGATGCATTGTTTTAGGGTACATATCTATTACTCTCTACAATCAACGACAACACACTCAGAGCAGCATAAAATAGTGTTTGGAAGGGAAATTATGATATTTGCTCTTTTTAAAATTTGAAATACAAACTAAACTAATCCTACCCCTCTCTCTGGTGGATAGGGGCAGGTGTACATTTGTTATCCTAGATACTTGTTTCACCATCTATTTTCTACTGAAGCTATTATTTCCCATTCTAAAACTTTAAATGACAACGTAAACTGTCTCATTCTCATTTTCAAAGAGCAACAATCATGCATAACACCTCTTCCTTTAACCAAACTGTCAGTGTGTGCAAGCAAATGTGAACGCAACCGTAGACCATCCATCCATAAGAACATCTCAGTGAAATGAATCCAATAAATGGCTTTCTTGATGGAAAAGTACTTGCTGTGGAGTCTTGCCTTACATGGATGACATTAAAAGTATTTGCTCCCTAACCCCAGTAGAAAACCACAAAGTTGTTGCACATATGAATGGCTTCTGCACAGTTCCACCTCGTGTCTCGTCACGTGTCCACCATACACTCCCACATAGAACAGTAGACATATGTCAGTAAATACATATTGTTAACACTGTAAAGACCCCCATGCCTGATGCTTGCACTGCCACGGCCGTCCCACTTTAGACTGTGTCAGTATTAGAGCTAAGTTTGTTTGTCAAAGGAGAAATTCAGTCTTTTATGGTGAATCGTGTGTGTGCACTATTTGGATGCAGACGTGTGGTAAGTTTGATCAGGGATGCTGCTTGAGCTTGCTGTGAAATTAAAAATGTACATTTGTGATTATGATGAATGACTTTAAGTAAGCTTTGCATTTTGATTTTCAGTATTTTGGATAACTGCTGACTTAAAGGCCCTGTACCTGACTCTTTTTATGCTAACAACTATTGGGAATTGTGTTTTTTTTTTGGGCTCTCAGATTACAATGCAAAAAATTAGAATTTTTCTTTTCCATTTTTATTAACAATGACAAACTGTAATTTACTCAAGATGAAAAAAACACTTCAAAGTTTGGAGATCCCTTCTCCATGGAACGTTCAAGTTGTTCTTTTTAGAAAACTGCACAACAGCTTTAATTAATTTGTTGTTGTCATGTTTTGATTTAATTTTGACGTCCCTAAAATACATTTTGCCCATAAAATAGAATATGTACGTTTTCCTTTAGTTCAAGCATAGCTACAATATTGACAGAATATTTTCATGCACTTCCATTTGCAAATCATAGATTTTATGATTTGTGATGATATTGTCCAAAATCAGGTACAGGACTTTTATGTATAGTTTCCCATATTCATATAAATAATAATAATATTGTCATTTGGGGTCGCATGTCTAAACCACTGGAAGAATGAAAAGCAATATAATATGTGGAAAGAAATAGTTTACAGTAGTCAGCGCTGTGTGGTTATAGTATATTTTTACTAAAATATTACTGTGAAAAAAGGTTTCTGCATGAAAAAGACCACTACATCCTGATTCGAAGGACATCGGTTTGATGTACACTGGAAAAACTGAAAAAAGATACTGTTTTAAATGCTTTTAATTTAGTTGTTTTGATCTTGGTTACGGTACCTTTTACGGTCTCTAAACAACATTTTCCAATGGAATGACCAAAAATAGGGAGCCATTTTTTCCCATCCCCATTTACAATTGGAGCAGTAATTAGAAACAGTTGCTGCTTGTTCTTTTGGCAAATCTTGTTTTAAGACAGACAAAATGTTCTAAAGAATAATATCATCTAATTCAAGCATTTGTTTTACTCACTTTTGGTCATTTTTTGCAGTGTAATTACACAGAAGCAGTCCACATTTAAAACATAAGGACCTGTCATAAAAGTGCCATATAATCTTGAACTAAAACTGTGATGTCTAATAACACCCATTTTCAACTCAACTCTGTGCTTTTTGTACTCTGGCGTGCGACCGTGTCCTCTACAGTGAGTTATCAGATTTCTCTGCTCCCATTCAACACCTAATATGTCTTACTGAAACAAAAAACCTTGTCAGCAATGAACAAAAATATACATTTATAAAATGCACAAAGTTTCCATATCACTCATAATATAACAATCCGAGGTCTTAGAGCAACTGCAGAATATTCTAAACATGAGAAATGAGAGTGTAGAGTGGCAGCTGGGTGAAGGACAGGTTCTCTTGAAGAATGTTTTGAAACTAGAATTGTTACTGTTGGGACTCAATTGTATTAAAAAGATTGGCTTTAGTAAATTAATTAAAGCTATGTAATTAATGAATCACAATTGCAATTAAATACAAAACAAAACAATATTTTAATATTTTTTGCACCGAAATTATTAAATATCTAGACACCTGAGTTCAACAACAAATGTATTTATTATTAATGTTGTTAATCTGTATTTAAAAAGGCAAAGTACACTTGTACTTTTTGTTTTAGGAACTCGGATCTGTTTTAGGAACTCTGATCATAATGCTGTATTTATAGAAAAGCCAAAAATGAATAAAGCAAAAAGGCCATAAAACAGCTATTTTGTGTTTGACAATGGCTGTAAACAGAAAACAAAGTAAAAAGAACTCTTCCGACTCGTGGGAAAATGGGACTAATACGATAAATTCAGTTTTTAAAATGTATGTGTTTAATCATTAATAATGAATTAATTAATCAAAATGAACGCGTCTCACAACAATACTATATACATTTACAACTGTGATAAGAAATTAAATATACAGTAATAGTGGAAATGCCTTCTATCTGTGTTATTTTGGATGATTTGATACAAGAAATCTGGTGCATTTGCAGCTTTGAGGACATTCAAAATCTTTTCAAACATATCAATTAATGATGAGATATTTTGTGGCTCAAAAGTTACTGCTGCTTTGTGATGGTGCTCACATTATGGACATGTTGGTAGTAATAGGATAAGGTTTGAGCTGTGGATGGTTGAAGTTATTTTTGGTATTATTTCTGTTGGGTTTCTGTAGGAGCAGCCCTATTCCACTGGTTTAAAATACTTTTGGATGGACACATTGACTATAATCATACTCCATTTACTTTATAATAAGTAAAACAAGATAATAAAGTAAAATAGTGATTATTGTTCATGTGCAAATGTTGAAATCAATGACTTTTGAAGAAGAGAAACAAAGGTGAAGTTAAGGTTCCTGTAGCATTTGTTCATGATAATAGCAGCTGAGGAACCAAAACGTCCTTCTTGTATATAAATTAGGGCTGTAATTAGTAATCAATAAGTTGTTTAGATCCTGAAAGCTCAGTGAAAAGTGGATTTATTTTATATTTGGTCAAAACAAAGTCATTATAGAATTATCTAAGTCACAAAACCTTAAAGTCTATGTATGGTTCAAATAATGATTAATTATTGACTACATTAGTTGTTACAGCCCTGATTTAAATACATTCCCTAAAACCAAAGCAATTTTATTTTAAATCACATATTTTTAAACCATATTTTAGAGCAGAAATGGTAAAGTGAAGGTCTGCTACTTTTCAAAGTGTGAAGATGGAGAGAAGTCAAAAGCAAGTGGCATTTGGACCCGCCCCCACAACTTACTGATTGGATGCAATATCAATTAATTGTTTTAAAAATGTTCATAAATTGAGTCTTTAATCTTGAATCATGGTTGATTATCTCAGACTTGTGATTAAGAAGTTAATTATTTTGAATCGATTCCCGGGCCTAAAGAAATATGACTACCTAAGTTGTTTTTTCTGTGTTTGGTCCATATAACCCGCGTGTCTGACTATGTGTGTTCCTCTGTAGCCGCTGGTCAAACAGGACAGCCTGGACACATACAACGAGCGCGACCCGTTTAAGAATGACGATGCGCGGGACGAGGAGGAAGACCCGGAGGACACGGACAGTGGCATAGAGGGCGAGGTGGACCCCCTGGAGAGAGATGCCATCATCCAGCCTCCTCCACCACCTCCGCCGCTCAGGCCTCCAACGGACCGGGTCAACTTCCCCAAAGGACTGCCCTGGGCGCCCAAAGTCAGGTCTGCTCACACCACAACACGGCCACATGTTATAGTGTCGTCATTTATTTTCTAATACGGCAAAAGATAACAACAATAAACAGGACACAAAAAATAAAAAGTATTATTATATGACTTGGACCGTACGCGCGCTCTGATTGGCTTATCTGATATTTTCCCATCTCGGACCGTTACCATGACAATCGGTCCGCAGCGCGTATAACAAAACACAATAAGGAAAACCAAGTCGGACATGAACATACTTCACAAATATCTCAAAAGCATTGGTAGAGACACAGACGAGAGTCATATAATAAAACATTTGTTAACCTCGCCTGCTCGGTCTGTACAGAGAAACATCAGACCTTGGCCTTTTTGCCACGGCCCGTCTGAAATTTCTCCGTACAGACCTTGCGCTCGGTTAATAAGCTGTTAATACGGTTTAGAATATGGTTTGGTGGAAGAACACGCTTATTTGGTTCTAAGCCCTCTTACGCAAAACACAATTCAATTCAATTACATTTATAATTGTATAGCCCTAAATCACAGCATTAGTTATCTCAGAGGACTTAACATAACCGTTGAATTTGCCAACACAGATCAGAGAATCAACCGTTCAAACTCAAGTATGTAATGATAAAAACACATTGGTCAATTGGTCCATAAGGGGCAGATGACCATTGTCCATAAATGCCCATAAATGTTTTTGAATTTTGAATTGAATGACCCAAACCCTTTAATTGGACCATGCCTGTCTTTATATACTTCCATTAAAAACCAAACAAATAGCCAAACCTTTGCACTATGCACAATATTTGAGCTAATTGCAGTGACACATGAGTGAGTGTCCTTCCACCTAAAGTTGAGTGAGTGAAACTTCCCAGTCCCAAATCTGACTTATAGAGGGACTCATGGATACCTATTCACTTGTTGGGTGGCTTTAAATCCACAATGTCTTCAATATCTAAACTACATAAGAGTCATGGCGTGATTATAGAGAAACGTTCGCATTTATAACCAAATGAGAAATAACTCCCGCTTGTTTCCTGTGCGTGTGATTTTGGCTTGATTAAAAGTCCCATTAAAAGTGGTGGCACGCATCAGGCTGCTGTGTCTGCCTGATGAGACTGTGCGAATGGCTCATTCAAATGCAGCTTCTACAGTATCAGCAGGAATCTCTGAAATCAACCTGAAGTCTTTGTCGTCACAGGGAGAAGGACATCGAGCACTTTCTGGAAACGAGCCGCAACAAGTTCATTGGGTTTACTCTTGGGAGGTAAGTCTTCTGCCTGGGTTAGCATGACATTTGTGGGGACTTAATGGATTATGCATCAATCAAATTTATATAAAATGAGACATTCATTCACACTCGGGGTGTCACAATTGTCCAAATCCTCGACTCGATTGGATTTTTGATTTAAAGGTCACAATTCGAGTCTCGATTTATTTTCTTTTTCTTACAGCACATTGTAGCGTACGGTAGCGTGGCTGAAGTACGCTAAAGCTGAGGTCTGCAGAAGTTTTTTTGAAAATGAGGATGGAATAGTGATGGTGTTCTCCAAGTTGTCAAATCTACATAATTGTGAATGTGTTCTCGTCCTGCCATGTTCGTAGTGTTCCCTCTGACTGGGCATGGTTCACACACATTGCATATCTTAGCATATCTTTCACACGCGGCAGAGAACGTTGTCAACATATCTCATTGGGAACGCAAAATATTTCCACACTGGAGATTTTAGAGAAGCAGAAGCGGCTTCAAGCTCCGATCCTGAAGTCTCCTTTATCTGCACTTGCCATGATGTCATAAACTGCAGTAGTAAGTAAGTAAGTGATCTTTATTTATATACCGCCTTTCAAAACTGCAGGTTAGCTTATTTGTGACGTTGGCTACAATATGCTGCATCGTCATGTATTTTTACCTCTCTGCACACCACCCTGATGTGTGTAAACCTGGGAAGAGGTGAGTCTCTCTTTGATTTCGATGCTCGAGACCATGACGTAATTTGGATTGATTTCGGCAAAAAGAAAAAATCTAAATTGTGACACCTCTAATTGACACTAAACAAAGTTACACAAAGAATACATAGACAGAACCCACACACACAAAGACAGGGGCCCTGTCATCAGCTACATGCTCACATCAAGATGGATCAACGAAGAGAGAGAGACAGTCTCCACAACGTTATACAGCAACTGTGGTATCACACAACATTGCAAGCTTTGAGTCAGTTGATTGGTCAATTCATGATGCATGATGCCCCCCAGGGAGAGAGCTAACTGATAACAGAAAATCCAGGAACCTTTTTAATACAACAGATAAATACTTACCAAAGCCGGTGAACTGGAGGTCATGACATTGGTCTGTCCAATTCCATGAAAAACAAATACTACTAGCAGAGACGCCCTGACTTCCCTATCCACACACACTTCCTCCAGCTCGTCCGGGGGGACCCCAAGGCGTTCCCAGGCCAGCTGAGAGACATAGTCCCTCCAGCGTGTCCTAGGTCTTCCCCGGGGCCTCCTCCCGAACACCTCCCCAGGGAGGCGTCCAGGAGGCATCCGGAACAGATGCCCGAGCCACCTCAACTGGTTCCTCCCGACGTGAAGAAGCAGCGGCTCTACTCCGAGCTCCTCACCCTATCTCTAAGGGAGCGCCCAGCCACTCTGCGGAGGAAGCTCATTTCGACCGCTTGTATCCGCGATCTTGTTCTTTCGGTCATTACCCAAAGCTCATGACCATAGGTGAGGGAGGGAACGAAGATTGACCGGTAAATCGAGATCTTTGCCTTTCGGCTCAGCTCCCTCTTTACCACAACGGTCCGATACAGCGACCGCATCACTGCGCACGCTGCACCGATCCGCCTGTCAATCTCACGCTCCATTCTTCCCTCACTCGTGAACAAGACCCCATCATGTTATTATGATGTATATTAAAGGGGACCTAACTTTTGTGTGTCATAAATAATCCATCTCAACAAAAAGATCAGATGATTCAGAATCCTGGTTGATCCAATCACAACAATAATGATCTCACAATTGACTAGACATGTTTTCTCTTTCTGGATTTCATTTTTCCTGCTATATTTTTTGTTGCAGTGACATAGACACTCTCGTTGGCCTTCCCAGACCCATTCATGAGAGTGTGAAGACTCTGAAGCAGGTGAGGCGAGAAATCGTGTCCCTAGAGGAGCGTAGAGTCTCTTACTGTTGGTTACTCTCAAAAACATACAAAAAATTTGTTTTTTGCTTCAGCACAAATACATTTCCATCGCTGAGGTTCAAATAAAGAGGGAGGAGGAACTTCAACAGTGTCCAATGACCTTGGTGAGTCTTCAGTGGTTCTTATGTTGAGTGTAGTTCTGCTCTGTCTGATTAATACACTATTTTATTATATAACAGGGTGAAGAGGATATAGAGGAATCACCTGCAGAAATTCTATATTTGGGCATGCTTCCTAATCTCTCTCAATATGTGGTAAGGAGATGACTGTTGTGCATCTGCGCCTGTTTTTGTCTTGTTGACTCTGAGCTATTGGATTGAATCATGCAATAGTTTAGAAGGAGAGAATATTGATTGCATCACGATAGTTTATTGCTGGAGTTTTAATGTGATACTTAAAGCTGGGGCTTTTCTGAACAGGAAGTATTTGAAATGTCCTAAGCCCTAAGAGTCATTATTTAGTCATCTTTATTTATATTTAGCGCATTTTTTCAGACCATGGTCACCCAAAGCGCTTTACAATGTTCACAATTAATTACTTTTTGAGCTGACAGAGGCCAAAAATCCACGCCTGTTAAAAACTAGTGATAGAATCTGTTTTGAAAGCAAAGAACTGTTTGGTTTTGTCCCCATTTTTTTGTTTTAAAGATTTAAAAAAAACAGACAGAATCTCTGATGGATCGCCTGAGTTGTGTGAGTAATGTTATGACGGTTCAATTATGTAAAATGTGGAAGTCAGAGTACAATACAATACACAATACAATTTATTCTTGTATAGCCCTAGGTCACAACAGAAGTCATCTCAGAGGACTTAAAACCATTGAAATCACCAACACAGGTCAGAGAATCAACAGTTAAAACACATGAAGAATATAAAGCACACACAGAAGAAAATGTCCATACATGTTGTAGAATGCTAAAGTGTCCTGATCATCACCAATCCTTTCTGTTGGACACTAACTGTCCAACAAGACCCTCCTGCATCGACAAGGAAAAACTCTTAAAAAACCCAGTGGGAAAAAGTGAGAAACCTTGGAGGAGAACTAGGGAAACCCACAGGGAGGGAGACCCATATGAGAAAGGGATCCGCTCCTCCGGACGGACAGGCTAATGATCTAGGACAGCTAGCTACAGAACGTGGACCAGTGGCCGCTGAACGTGGACAGGTCCGGTGCAGGACTGAAGCACTCCCAGGCGGGTCGGGCGGGGCAGTCCGCAGGTGTAGATGGAAGAGGCCAGGCTCAGAGATCCCGTCATCGTACCATGAAACAGACAATGGGACAACGGGTGAATAGCAATGAACAAACTACAGTCAGAATCCTAAAAATGCTAAACAGATAAAGTAGGAAGGAGGAGAGGATAGTGCTCAAGTTACCATACTTCTCCCAGCAAACTGACTCCCTATGCAGCTTGACTAACACTCTGAGGAGTTTAACCTTCTCCGAGTCTTACCTTCCTAGCCATATGCTAAACTAAAGAGGACTGTTTTAAACCTAGCCTTGAATAAAGAATAACATACAGCATAATATATAACATAAATATACAACATAACACAATACATTATTGAATAATATATAACATAATATATAACATAATACAGCATATATATATAATATATACACTACATATTATATATTACCTAATTATATGCTAAATTAAAGTAAAGTGCTTTAAGCCTGGCCTTGAATGTGGAGACCGTATCTGCTTCCTTAACATAAATGGGAAGCTGATTCCACAGTAAAGGAGCTTGGTAGCTAAATGCTCTGCCGCCAACAGTGACCTTTGAGACCTTAGGGACCACCAGACGTCTGGCGTTTTGTGAGCGCAACGAGTGAGTGTTGCAACGAAGAGTGATATCAAGCATTTGTTTATAAAGTGGCTGCATATTTTGTATTTTTCATATTTTGCTGTTCAAAAGGGAATGTTAACCTTGACCCTCTTTAGAATTGATGTGAGTGTTTACTGTGGCCATGCTCATTAAAAGCCTTAGAGTTAGGGTTAAAAAACAAAATCCACCCCGTGCTGCCATAGATCTGATGTGTTATTCATGTTGGTTTCAGATCGCTCTCCTGAAGCTCCTTCTGGCCGCTGCTCCCACCTCCAAAGCTAAAACTGACTCCATCAACATCCTGGCAGACGTGCTGCCAGAGGAGATGCCGTAAGTCACCGTCCTCACTACTCGACTGAAAGAAAACATTGTTGAAGAATATCACTGCTTAAAGGGACAGTATGTGTGATACTCTCAGTGATTTAATAACAGTCAATACAATCATAATCACACTTTTATTGGCAGAATCTTCCTGTCTGTGACATATGTAGAATTTTACCACTGCTTACAGATGCAATCCACCTGCTGGTGTTTAGCAAGAAATGGAAAAAACCTTGTATTACCTTTGCTTACCTATTTTTGTAGTCAATGTTTATATTTTACAATGACTAATGTTCTATCATCATAATACTGCAGTGACACTGATATTTGTAACGAAAATAAATGTCAAATACCAACATCAACTTCTCACCCATACTTCGGCCTGCCACATTAGTTGATGTACATACTATAAGTTAGGTACTCCAGCTTTGAATGTATTTGGCTGGTCTTGAAAAAGTTTTGGGGATACTTCATAGTCAGTAGAGAATGATAACATATATATAATCTATATATATAATATGTAATCTATATATTATTTACATACATACAGGTGAAAGTCTGAAAATTATGTTGAAAAAACCCCTAATAAAACATCTCAGAAAATTAACAATTATTTAGAAATAGCCATAATCCCCGAAATTCTAACATTCTTGACATACGATATCCTAATTTTCTATTTTTTACCTTTACAGCTTACTTGTTTGCAAGAAAGCAAAATGAGGAGTGTACAAAAAGAAGCCTATATTTTAAACTCAAAGTGAATTATTTTCCAACTATTTGTCAGGCACTAGATAATGGATTGGACCACATGAACACACATGTGAACAAATGTGAGCTATGATGTGGTTAATTTGGGAAAACTTTGACCCTTACAAAATTAATAAAATGAATGCATGTATCTAACTGAGTGCTATAAAATCTTATTATGATTGGTTTTCTGGGTTCTGTTAGCTCTTGCTCTTGTGTCTTGGCAGTGTCCGTTGGCGTAAACACATCATCATCTGTTAAAATGCATGACAGACAAATGGCCACTTGTTCAGTAATGAGAATAAACAGCTGAATGTAATGTATTCATTCCGAGCTTTGAAGTGCTCATGACTGTTTTTTGTCTTTTTCTATATTATTACTATGTTTGGTGGAACAGTTTCACACCAGGTAATTAGCCTTTTGTGAAGAAAAGACCCCAAAATAAGTTGAGCGATAATGAAATAGAGTGGCCTTTTGTTGTCTTCAGCCTGTAAAGCAGTCGTATTCTAATCAGCATCTCAATATGTGAGGCGGGACGGATCGTCTCAGGATTTAGAAAGATTTGTGAACAAAATTTGATAGAGATGACTCATAGAGCTTATAGGGGGTTTTATATTTTCTGGTTGAACTTGTGAAAAGTGGGAACAAAAAGTACTGTGTTCATATTTGTTTATTCTACAGAAATAATATTCAATCAATCAATCAATCAAAGTTTATTTGTAGAGCGCCTTTCATGCACAGGGCAACACAAAGCGCTTCACAGTCCACATCACAAATCATCACATAAAACAAACACCAGAATCACAATTAAAACATTAAAATCACACAAAAGATTAAACCACAATTAAAACATTAAAATCACACAAAAGAATAAAACCATTAAAACTTTCAAAATTACACAAGAAATTTAAAAAAATAAATAAATGACAGCAGTGCATTAGAAATGGAGATAAAATCCTTCAGTTGTATGCACAGGCAAACAGAACAGTCTTTAACCTGGATTTGAACATTGACAGAGTAGACGCCTCCCTCACATTTTCAGGGAGATTGTTCCAGATCTTAGCTGCATGGATCTGAAACGCAGCCTCCCCATGTTTGGTTCTCACTCTGGGCACCAGCAGGAGGCCAGTCCCTGTGCTCCTCAGAGTCCGGGCCGGTTCATATGACACCAACATGTCACTAATGTATTCTGGTGCAAGGCCATGGAGAGACTTGTACACAAGCAGAGCTGTTTTAAAATCTATTCTTTGAGCCACAGGAAGCCAGTGCAGTGACCTGAGGACCGGACTAATATGGTCATACTTCCTGGTTCCTGTCAGGACTCTAGCTGCTGCATTTTGGATGTACTGCAGCTGCTTACAGGTCTGTTTGGACAGACCTGTAAGCAGGCCATTGCAGTAGTCTAGCCTGCTGGAGACAAATGCATGGACAAGAATCTCCAAGTCTGCCCTGGACACTATATTTCTAACTTTGGCAATATTCTTCAGATGGTAAAAAGCTGTTGATGTTATTGATTTTATGTGGCTATTGAAGTTTAGGTCTGAGTCCAGTATTACTCACAATATTGTATTTGTGAGTGTTTAAAATATGTTTTCCTTTCTTTCTGTCAGCATCACGGTTCTACAAAGCATGAAGCTGGGGATCGACGTCAACCGCCACAAAGAGATCATCGTGAAGGCCATCTCTGCTCTGCTGCTGCTGCTGCTCAAGCACTTCAAGCTCAACCACATCTATCAGGTCATTTTTTACACAATCCTTCAACATTTGGGGGATTTGGGTGTTTCTCTTCAATTACACCGGCTCACTTAGTTTTCTCATTCCAGTTATCAAAAATCACTGTTTGTTACATTCCTTGAAAAAAAAAACACACCTGGAGTTTCAGATCCATCCAAGCTAACATCAGGAACTTCAGACACAAACATAAACGTAGCCTCCTGTCACCGTCGGTAATAGTGTGATGTCATCGTACCACTATGACTTCACACTCAGTTTAAAGAAAAACAAAACAAAAGTATTGCCCATAAATTGTGGTAATTTATTGAGTAAAAAAATCATTCTTTGCAATTCCATGGCATTGTTTGCACAAATGTTCAACATTCTAAAGGTCTGTGACTTGCTGTTGCTGTTACTTTTATGTTCAGTTATGGCGCCCCCTGCTGGTTACATAACATGTAGCTTGTTTAGTTGAATATCTTTACATATTCATCTCCAATATATTTATACATGTATATATTCATATATAAAATATTTTTTGTATATTTGCAGTTATTTGACTTATTAAATTCAAGTTTATGTTAATTCCTGGTCTGTAGTTTCTCTCCTTAATGTAGGCCTGTTACCAAGAGAGGAGGATTTTCTGGGCTGTCTCGTAAGAATGGAAATGCTGAGGTCCTCTTCTCACAGGGAAAGTCGTTGTCAGGGTGACAGGATTAAAGGATGTGGGATTATTTTTCAGAAATTCTGTTTCAGATTATTTCCTCCGAGGCTTCTCCAAGATTATCACAGATGAATATTTTGCTGCTCAAAGACAAACTACTGCTCGTAGTTTGTCTACTAGACCTGGTTTATGGTGAATCGCTTCAAACACACTCATAATGTATTTTTTTACATACTTAAATGGGACAAAATACAGACTTTGCATGCAAAGTTGTTTTTCAAGTAATTTAAGAAACTTAAAAATGTAGATCCACCTGCTTTTAAATCGCTATTTCTCTAACTATCCTCATTTTCATCACGTCTTCAAGCTGGATTTTCTAATTTTGTTCTTGTATATAAAAAATGTTGTTTGTCCCAACAAAAATAATAAATTTTGTTGTTTAAGTAAAAAGGGATGTGAGTCACTATTTGACATTTTGGGCTGAGAGTTAATTGGCTGAGTGACGGTGGTCCTCACTTTCAACTTTTCTGCCTAAAAAATCTGATCCAACAAAGCCAAAAATACATGCATGTGACTAATTTTAGTGGATTTCATTTCTTTGTTCTATTTTGTATCAACGTTAGGTTGATTAGTTGATTCAATGCAGGTATTTTAGTATTGTAAAATAAATATGGCTACCTGTGTCCTCGTTCACATTATTATTATGAGTTACAGTTCTGTGGAGAGGCCCACACTTTTTATCATTTAATAAAACAAAAAAAGGTTGTATTATGAACATTAGAACAATGCAATCTGATTTCTATTTCCCAAAACCAAGTGAATTTTTAAGCATTTCATTCAGATTTGTTGTGTTTTCTCCTTACAGCAACTCCAAAACAATGAATCATGATCACTACCAACATTTAGGTTTCTCTGTTTTCTTTCTGCAGTTCGAGATTGTCTCTCAGCACCTGGTGTTTGCCAACTGCATCCCACTCATCCTCAAGTTCTTCAACCAGAACATCATGTCCTACATCAGTGCTAAAAACAGGTAGGCCACGTTTTAGTTAAGACAAACACTAAATAATGGCATTGTATGAATTTATTTCAAATCTAACACGCATGCAAAAAGCATGCATATAGATACAGTACATGTATATAAACAATATAAAGGGCTCTTTAACATAATATGGGTAGAAATAAAAGACATGTATTTTGCTACATACACTTATCCTGAATACAATTTATTGAAAATTGTTGTATTCTAGTTTTAAAACTTGGCATTCTTGTATATTTTCTAAAATGATTTTTAAAACTGGACCTTGGCTGATTTTGAACTACTATTCATATACTACTGTCCCACTGATGTATGTGTAAACATTTTCTCTAATGTTTAGTATCTGTGTGCTGGACTTCCCTCACTGCGCAGTCCATGAGATGCCGGAGCTCACAGCCGAGAGCTTGGTGAGTCAGCAATATCTCTGCAAAAAGTGACAACAAATTATTATAATTACAAGTACGGAACTGCTTGAATTAGGGAAAATGTATCATATTTTATATACATTTTGACTGTCTTAAAACAAGATTTGCCTATAAGACAAGAACATTGGGCCTCATTCACGAATAACTTCGTAAGAAACTTCTTAAATTTCTTCTCAAGTTGTCCTTAAGTAGATTTCTAAGAAGTCCCCACGTGGGATTCATCAACGCGCTCGTTAGCCGCTGAATTGTTCGCAGCTGTTCTCTCAGATTGATGAATCCCATTTCCTCGTAAGTAGAGCGCGCGTGCCAGGTGCTTCATTAGCATAGGTACTTAGCATAAGTAACCGCCCACTAATGCCCATATAAGGGACTGCAGGGCCGTGTGCAGACGGCAGAGGAAACAGCAACAGGCCTAAAGCAAAGAGTTACACGGAGCAAAAGAGTCACCCTTTTTTCTTCTTTTGCCAGACTGAGAATAAAGTTATAAAATGTTGATTTAAAAGTCGAAATATTATGATAATAAAGTCGAACTAGCAAAATTATGAGATTAATCTAAGAATATGATGAGATTAATCTCAAAATGTTATGAGCTTAATTTAAAAATATATTATGTATTATTTTAAAGATTAATCTCAGTATGTTTTGAGATTAATCTAAAAATATTTTGGACCTGGGAGGAGATCCAGCGCGGACCAGCGCTGAGACCAATGCAGACCCGAGGAGAGACTGGAGTGATCAGCACACAGAAACCAGGAGAGACCGCATGGACTGGAGAGACCTGACTGGAGAGACCAGTGCGCAGAGACCAGCGCGGACCGAAGAGAGACCACATAGACCATAGACCATAGCGAGGACCCGTATGGATCCAGGAGCGTGCAGCACGGACCCGTATGCAGAGACCAGTGCAGACCCGTATAGATCCATGGGAGAGACCAGTGCAGACCCGTATAGATCCATGGGAGAGACCAGTGCAGACCCGTATAGATCCATGGGAGAAACCAGTGCAGACCTGTATGAATTCATGGGAGAGACCAGTGCAGACCCGTATAGATCCATGGGAGAGACCAGTGCAGACCCGTATAGATCCATGGGAGAGACCAGTACAGACCCGTAAAGGGAGAGACCAGTGCAGACCCGTAAAGGGAGAGACCAGTGCAGACCCGTATAGATCCATGGGAGAGACCAGCGCAGAGACTCAGAGCGGACCCTGTAACCTCCTGCAGCAGCACTATATATGCCATTGTTCTGTGGCCCGTGGATAAAGAAATGCCCCATATAAATAGGAAGGGGTCACTAATACACGGCAAGATTTCCAATGTATTTGATAAAGCGTTGGCACATTTCATTTCAAAATGAATTAAAAAATAGGCTAAATTACCATTAACAATTAAATAAATAAATACATACCTCAATACAATGGACATATCACTGTAATGTTGTGTTTTATTGAACTTCATAACACCAGCGTGCAAACATGTCGGCCCTGAATGCGTACGAGTGCTCCTGAGGACTCGTAGGATTTGTACTTACCCAAGAGAAATTCTGGTTACGAGAAAATTTCATGAATGCCACAATCTTCGTAAAATCTTTGTAAGTAGGATTTACGCACAAATCTGTTCTTTAGTACGGTTCGTGAATGAGTCCCATTCTCCGTTGAAATGAGAAATAAATAGCAACTGAGCTTGAAAAAATACTAAAGCATTGGTCAAGTCAAAATGTACTAAATTCAAAATGAAAACCTTCTTGCCTTGACTTGTATTAGTATTTGTGTGTTTGGTAATAATTGAAATGACTAAGGTCTAGTATATGTATTTTTTTGCAGGAAGCAGGAGATGCTAACCAGTTCTGCTGGAGGAACCTGTTTTCATGTATAAATCTTCTGAGAATACTGAACAAGCTGACCAAGTGGAAGCATTCCAGGACCATGGTCAGTGATATATGCTCAAGCATTTGCACTGTTTACAGCTGACAACATGCACCCAAACTACCAGCAACTGTGGTTGTATGAAATGGAAGTACAAAAAGACTGAAATATGTACAGTGTATGGGACACAATCTGATCATTAACAGCCTTCATAATATAGATAGATACATTATTGTTCCCCCTGTAGGAGAATTTAAGGCTACACAATCTAAACACCCCAAACTACCTACATAACCTGAAGTCGTCTAAACTTTTCTGTGTTACATTATTATGGGAGTAACAGAAGATGACACTTTTGAGCCTTCCGACTCACCTGCAGTAGGTAAAAACACTTTCCCGGACTTCCTTGTTTGGATTGGGATGTCGTTCTTTTGGCACCTCCTGCCCCGCTTATTTTAGCCCAGTTTGACCATAATAAATGATCCCAGACCTAAAATACCCAAAGTTAGTCAGCATCCCGTTTTCAAACTACATATTTGAATTTTTGTTGCAGATGTTGGTGGTTTTTAAATCGGCTCCAATCCTGAAGCGTGCGCTGAAGGTGAAGCAGGCCATGATGCAGCTGTATGTGCTGAAGCTGCTGAAGATCCAGACCAAGTATCTGGGCCGGCAGTGGAGGAAGAGCAACATGAAGACCATGTCCGCCATCTATCAGAAGGTCCGGCACCGGCTCAACGATGACTGGGCTTACGGCAACGGTACCAGCTTCCCTTTCTTTGTGTTTGACTGTGTTGCGTTAGAGAGAGATTTGTCTTTAGAGCTGTCGGAAGGTGGAAATGTGTCCAAACAGATTGATGATATGATTATTATATGCCAAGTGATGTATGCCAAGCGTTTGTTGATGATTATTACAGTCAATTTATAAAACATTGTAATTTTGTTTTATTTGGGGTTTCACAGGGGGTCAGCCTATCATCAACATTATAACAATTATGCTTATGATTATTATATATCACTTAGTCATAGTCATAAAGTTTATTATTTTCACATTGTAAGTTGAATAAATTACAACTCAGGTTTGTATATGTTTTAAATCATCTGTTCTAAAGAGTAGTTCCACGCATTGAGGTAATTGATTATGAATGTTATTATTAAACACAAATGATTAACTGTTTACTCAAAGCAGTCTGTAATTAACAAACTAAAGCCTCATTCCCTCTGGCCTCTTCCTTCCTCACATATTCCACAAAATCAGCTTTTGACTAGACTTGGGGTAGGTCTTTTTAACTTGCTGATGTTAAACTGTTGCTTTTAAATGTTGTCAATATGAAGCATCCATCCATCCATCCATTTTCTACCCTTTAATCCATTTCTGGGTCAGGGGGGTGGCAATCAGAGCTGCCACCCAAGTCTCATAGCACCAGCCCCTCACTGACCCTCTGCAGGTGGTGAGTCCACAGGAGGACGGCTGCTCTCTGACTGTGAGCATAGCCTTGATCTTTCAGTGGGGGCTTTGGGCAAAGTGGGGTTAAGTGTCTTGCCCAAGGACACAACGACAGCAGTCATCAGTGGGAGTCGGTGGAGAAGGTGTAGAGGTGGGAATTGAACCCACGACCTTCAGGCCTTAAGGCCAATGCTCTACCAACTGAGCTACTGTCGCCCCATAATATATATGAAGCACTGAGTTTAATTTGTGTGAACATTTTGATTGTTTGATAGATTGAGGCTTGGAGTAAAACTTGATTAAAGCATTTGACTATCGGCTCTTTGGCTCTGTGGGTCAGGTGAAGGAGGTTGTGAAGCTACACACTCGTCACACGCTCTGTCTTCCCTGTGGTGAAAAGCCGACACGGGTCCACACAACACTCACACATGAATCTGCAGAATAAAAACAACTCAAGTAATGGCAACCACTCAGACGAACACATTTTCTTTTAGACAACACATGAGCTCATGAGACCCACAAATGATATATACCGCGTTGATAACAAGTTTAGACCTGTTCTAGATCTGTTACAACTTTTGCCAAATACTTACTTTTACTTTATAGGAATCTGGACTGGGCTTGTTTTGAGCCAACTATACATTTATTTGGTCACCTTGTAAAGCTCAATTCATACAGGAAACGTCTATGCGATTTACAGAAAAAGACTTTTGATTGATTTATTTAATGTGAGTGCTAGAAATCCTAATTTGTGTTGACATTTTTGAGTAGACTTTTAAAAATGCATACAATTTCCTTTAGTTAATCTTGGGCTGTCATAAGCAGGGTGGAAGCTGCCACTGAGGTATAATCTGACACTTGACAGCAGCACCTATCAAACACTTGACATGCCAATACCTTTATATATATATATATATACATACGCACATACATACGCACACGTGTAAGCACACACAAGAATACACATACACAGTCACAGTGAGACACTAAAGAACCAAAATAAAATAAAATGACACAGCATTAATAATAGTAGCAGCACCGTGAATAACCTAGTGTGTTTTCATACCCCAGTTTCATCCCTGTATCTGTTAGAAACATGCTCTTTATATTTTTATTTAAACTGTTTTACATTTACACTCCATATGAAAACAAATTAGAAGAGATTCTGCATTGAATGCAGAATCTCTTCTAATTGGTTTTCATTTTGACTTTTAGGTTATTTAGTGCGAAAGCACCCATAAGTATTTTTTTTTACTTCTGCTTGCTCCTTTTGACCTCTATACATTCTGTTAAGTTTTGATTGTATCCACAACTGCAGTTATGGTTTGACTCTGTATGTACTGTTTAAATAGGTCAAATAAAGTAAACAAACAATTTAACCCCCATTATTGATCACCCCCATCTTGACCCCTAAAGATGTTTTTCATAATATTTTGAGGGACATGGATGTGATCCGGATCAAATGTGTTGAATAGAGCTGCTTTTCTAGTTATATAGAATATATTTTATCGAATGACCTTTTAAACACATTTCTATCGTATTAATTCACATTAAAAGTGGTATTTGTCGCTTGCTCTAAACCACCACATAAATGACAGCCACATTGCGACCTGGTAAACACGCTCCTGGTAAACACGCTCACACTACTGCAGTGCACGCTGTGAGGTGTGTGTATGCATGTGTGTTTATGTGCGTACACGCGTGTGTGTGCGTGTTTCCCTGTGCGCTTGTATGAAATCCAATCTGACTGGTGGCCCTGTCCTGCCCCTGTTGCCATGGCAATGAGAAAGAGCGCGGTGTCGGGGGGTTTTGAGGAGAGCTGTTTGCTCTAGTGCTGTTAAAAAAAAGAAAAAAAAAATGATTTAATGATGATGGACAAGAATAAGTGTGTCACTATGTGGAGCAACTGAATTTGCTGACATATTTGTCAAAAAAACATGGACTAACAACGACTTTGAAGATATTAATAGTACATTCTTATTCGATCATGACCATACTGAAGTGTAATACAACATGTCTCTCTTTAAACCACTTATAGTATGAAGTGATAACTGGTAGATCAAAAATATGTAATATAAAGTAGGCTTTATGATGGTAAGGGACCTGTATGTCCTGGAAAAAACATGATCATAATATTGGTCTGTCATCTCATACATAATCTAAATAAAAGGGGATTTTTTTGTATTAATCAGTTATTTTCTTTTGTCTAAAGTACTTTGCATTTCCCTCAAATCTCTTCACAGTTGATAAGAAGCAACACATTCTCTTTTATTATTCAAAACTGCTTTGTTTTCTTAGACAATGAGCACAAAATGTCACACTGTCATATTCCAGGGTCACACTTATATCCACACACACTTCCCCCAGCTCATCAGGGAATGCTGAGGCGTTCCCAGGCCAGCTGAGAAACAATTCAACCCCAGTGTGTCCTGGTTCTTCTATCTAGACAGGTGTTCGGCAAGCTTCCTCTCCTGGTTCCTCTCGAAGTGGAGAAGCGGTAGCAGCTCTACTCTAAGCTCCTTTTGTGTAACTGAGCTCCTCCTGATCCTCCAGTCACTCATTTGGACCGCTTACTCTAGTTATCTTGTCTTTTCGGTCATTACCCAAATCTCATGACTATAGGAGAGGATGGGGAGCTTTGACTGCAGACACTGCTCCCGCTTCAACAAAACAGTCAGACTCAGTGACGGCTGAAATATTGTTTGTTTGTGACAGAGAATTCTATTAGATATTCACAAACACATGCATGATCATAAGAGGTTAATATGGCTACTATGACATGTGATACATCACCGTAAAGCAAGATTTCCCAATTAAAAAAGCACCTTATCATTTTTCCAAAATATTTAACTCAAATAATTTGTTATATACTCAGCCTTTACATTACGTTCCGTTTTGGTTCAGGCCAAACAGAAGTGAGGATGGAATTCTTGTCTTTCAGAAAAATAAACCTAAAATATGAATATGGAGAAATAAGCACAAAATTAACTTTAAACTAATTTTCCACAAATAAATCAACGGATAGCTTGATTTAAAAGTGTATCCAAAAAAACCCCTGACAAAAAATATTTGTTTAAATGTTTAAAAAGCGAATCCATGACATTTGTTTTTACTGATTCCATTTTCATCCGCAGATATCGACGCACGGCCATGGGACTTCCAGGCCGAGGAGTGCGCCTTGAGAGAGAGCATCGAGAAGTTCAACAGCCGGCGCTATGACAGAAACAAGAACTGGGACTTCACACCGGTGGACAACTGCCTGCAGAGCGTTCTGGGCCAGAGAGTCGAGCTGCCCGAGGACTTCCACTACAGCTACGAGATGTGGCTGGAGAGAGAGGTCTTCTCTCAGCCAATCCAGTGGGAGGGGCTGCTGCAGAGTCCATAGGAGAGGAGTTACCAAGCTCACGTATAGGACAGAAAATTATGTTTAGATTAATGGAAGACTTGCAAAAATCTTGTCAAAGGAGATCAGAACAAATAGGGATCAGCAGTGGATAGTGGAATTTTATTTATTATATTTTTATTTGATAGTGACAGAACCTTGACGGCAAGTCCCAATATTGTTTCAGCTGAGAACTACTAAATTCAAATAAAAACAAAATCTTTAAACAACCTCCTTCTTTTAAAATAACTAATTTTATTGAAAATGACTAATAATTACTATCAATACCTTGGTTGACGTTTGAAGTAAACGAAATGGAAAATTGTCACGGTTTTTGCAGTGCATTTCCCTATCATGTCATTTTAGTGGTACAAATTTGCTGCATCCACGTAAGGATTCAAGCCACGGCTGATCCCCCTTTGAAGAAGCGCCTGTCTTTCCAGCGCACATGATAAAAGACACAGCGGAAAAGGACTTTTGCTGAGCAGTGCTTATGATGACTGAATAAAACTGGATGTAAAGTAGCAGCTAACGCCACAGTAGCAGGAGACAACTCTACTGCCCCTTTTCTCCATTTGCAACCTTCATCAGACTCTATTTCTAAACCTCGGTGCTGGTTTAAAGACTGACATTATTTACTATTGTGTTTGTATTTTCAGATCATTTATTTTTAAACGTGTACAGCTGATTGAGTTATTATGAGGGTATTTTAATTTTGGACATTTTATACCAGGGTCTGGTATTTATCGGCTTGTATTTTTACTGTCACATTTGAATGTTTTCAGAAGCTTTTTCTTACAGGGGTTGAAGCCTACCACAGGGTGTAGAAAAGATATTTATGACAAAGGCAACAAATATTGGTGAAACCAAAAGTGAAACTATTGTTTTTGGCCAGAGAGTAAATGTATAATGTAGTACATACAGTCGTGTTTGAAGTTTGCAAGAATTTCAGGGAAAAAATATTATAAAATCAATACATAGAAATATATTGACTCTATACATAAATATATATTGTCCCTTTACTATAGTAGGTTACTTAATATGACAAAACTATTATTTAGCGTAAACGTTCAATATATTTTGTTTGATATCAAAGAAATAGTCTAGTTAGATGTGCACATACTTTCTAATTATGGACACATAAGTGTCCTGGAATAAGCTAACGTCTTGTATTTGAAATAATACCATTTGAAGACAATAATGATCTAAATGCAAGAGTGAATATTTTTGACCACAACAGCACAATAGTGAGAGTGAGCTGCTGAAGTGGCTTTTGTATGCTGCCACACTTGCTCAGAAGAACACACATCTTTCCTTTAACTACCTAAATGGCACTTCTAAGGGGAATATTTATCAAGGGTCTGTCTGTGTGCAAAAATCATTAGCGCCTTAAAGCTGGGGCACGTAACTTTTTTATCATATAGATACTAGATTTTGTTTTTTCCCCAACAGAACAACTCATGTAAAAGTAAATGTTCAGATCACAACATGCTTCTTTATCTTAAAAACATGTTAAAGAGCCGTGTAAGTCACTATTCAACGCTTTGGGCTGAGAGCGGATGGAGAGAGGAGAGACGGTGGTTCTCTCTTTCTCACTTTTTGTCTGAAAAATCTGCCATAAAATGCATGTATTTGAAAACTAGCGGAATAATCAAACTTTTTTTCTTTTGTAATTGTTTTAATGTATCTGTTATTATTATTATTTTGTTAATAACACACACACAATATCCTTGAGCTCATGGCGACTAAAATAACATTCTTCTCTTACCGTTGCGTACCCCAGCTTTAACATTGGATCAAACTGCACATGTTTGATCAACAATGCACATGTCTAATAGAACTAAAACACAGAACTTGCACACTCTATTTTTACTTTGCACCTGGTTTGATAATTATACCTCTACTTAAAGCTACTAAGTGTTTTCTGTAAAAATGATATATTTGGAAACACTCACATGAGCACAGAGCATGGGCACTGGTGCGTTCTACTGTGTATTTACTGCAAATGCCATATTGTAGAAAATTTGTCATGTAGTTTGTGTACACAGTCACAAGCGATAAATATGTCTCAATATGTCTTGTGAACGCGTGCATGGCCACAGTCTTGTCCATTGTTAAAATTTTTGTATAGGCTTTTTTTTGCCAAACAATATTGCAAAACTACTCCAACAGTTTGTCTTCTGAAAAACAATAACTGCATAGACTCAGGTTAATGGAGAAAAAGTACAAGCTTCCATCAATATTTTTGTGGAATTCAAACACCACCTCAACATTTTGTGTGCGAAGCTATTGAAAAGTTCATGCTGGTGCACAAATCATATATTCACTTTTGTATCTTTTGTGCCAAATTCCAGTCCCATGTTGAAGTCTGCATAGCCACCCTTTACTTGCTACTAAGCCATCCAAGCTTGCAATACAATAATTTTGTACTTTCAATGGAAATAGTTTCTCGTATCTGATAGAAGGACATGTTTGGCTTATTTGATATGTAGGTCATGTGTGTGGTTGTAATTTTGTATGTTATTTGCATTGTTCAGGAGTTATGTGCAATTACAATTAAAAAGGCATTATACAACTGAATAATGTACAGAAAAACTAAAGTTGCTTATTAAATTTTGCTGAACAAATCATGGTGTTAATGACTTTTTTGGGACCAAAGAAGCAAAAAGAAAATTTAAGCACTGCACAGTCATATGTGTCAGACTAAAGACACAAGATTCATGACTCCTCCAGGTGCTCCGGGTGTGTCCAATAGGTCTGGCGTGTGCCCCCTGTATGGCAACCCCGCTGCCATCTCTGTGTGGAGTGAGAGGAATAATGCCCACAACAATTATAAAGCGCTTTGTGACTCTGTCTGAACAAGGTGCTATATACACAAAGATTACTTACTCAATTATCACTTCATGATGATACCAAAAATAATCGGAATAGTAATAATTTTACACCACTACACCCAGTGCAATTAATACAAGCAAAAAGTCACTTGATTAATTACTTTTGAAATAAATATTTAAAGAGGAATATATTTATATATTTCAAATATTCATTTAAAAGTTTTAAGACAACAGCATAAATTTTAACATGCACAATTTAAAAGAACCCATTTATTTAAACATAAGAATAACATTATTCTTATTTTAATGTTGATAGTGAATTATCATTGTTTATGCATGCATCTGTCTTATATCTTATTCGCCTTCAGCTTTTTTCCATGGTTGTTTATACTCAAGTACTAAAACGTCCATACAATCATAACTCAAGTACAAAATAACAGTTAAAACATTCATTCATTGCATTAATATTCCTAATTATTATGCTTCAGCCTTAGACCCAGAGCTGCTCTTCCATGAAACTCCCCCATCCACACCAGTCCTGTCGAGTCTGTGAAGGATCCTTGGCCCTCAAACCTGCAACATTTACATACATTTAAACTAATTTGGTTGAGTAGCAGGGAGATGAGTCCTGAACATGCACCTGTTCTGGTTAAAGTGTCCGCTGTAGTGAGATCCATCTGGAAACGTGTACTTCCCAGTGCCGTGAAACATACTGTCTTTGAACTCTCCTTCATAGTGCGCTCCAGTGGGCAGCTGCAGTGTCCCTGTCCCACTCATCTGTGAAGGACATGTGCAGAGTGACCGGCCACAAAGACCATCTGTAATGAGGGTTAACCAAAGCTAAAAGACCTCACTTTGTCCTCGCACCACTCTCCGCTGTATATGACGCCAGCTGCAGAGATGTGCCTCCCAGTGCCACCCCTCACCATGGCCCCTGAGGCCGACCTGCAGCACTGACCTTCTGTGACAGAGAAGATCATATGTAGACAGGTATAGGTTCCTAATTTGGCCTGTTATTTTCTGTGTCCACAGTTCACACACAAGGCAACGCAAAGTGGTAACAAAACACAAATAGAAACTTTAAATTCATATCAAAAGAGTGATGATACATTCATTCAGTTGTATGCACAGCTAAACAGAACTGTTTTAACCTGGATGTGAACATTGTCAGAGAAGAAAATGTCTCACATTTTCAGGAGGTTGGTTCCAGATTGCATAACTGCATTAATCTGGTACTCAACAAGTCAGGTCCGTATGTTCTGAGACATACAGTCTCTAGGTAGGTTGTTGATTAGGAGAAAAGGTTGCTGGTAGACAACTTTTTCAAGATTTTTTCCTATAATTGTGAGATTTGAGATGGCATGGTAGTTGTTAAAAATGTTGGCATGCGGGGGCCTGGTGACTACAGTTTTCAGATGGAAGTGGCATTTTCCAATCTGCATGGTAAAGGTAACTTTAGAACTTGGGACCCTTCTCCAGATGTTGATGCTTGGCTTGGTCAGGTTTTACCAGAACTGGAGGGGTTTTTACCTATACAACACAATTACCAAAAAAGGCCTATCATCCTGATTGGGCCAGTGTCTGTAAACTCATGGAAACAGTACAGAGTAAACCTCAAACCTGATTTAGCTTACCGTATTTGTCTCCATTGGGAAAAATGTAGGAAACTGACACCTCCTGGATCCCTGAAAATATTAGAAACATGTCACTAAAGCTAATTGATTAATGAGTTATCAACGTTACAGAAGTCAACAACTAAAATGTATTTACCCCTGACAGCTTACATACCTGACATTTTGAATCTATGTGCACGCAAAGGACAGAACGAGGACGCAGACTGTGTTTCCATGGTAACAAGGGTCACAATTGTTTTCTTTATTAAAAAATTCTATTGCTTATGTAAATATTGTGATTTATATAACCATATCACACTATTACTTCATAAAAAATCAGGTCATAAATAAAAATTATTATTACTAACTGGCCGGAACCGAAACTTTGAACTTTGCAACAGGATGCACGTCATACCGGCTAGTGGTCATCTGTGAGGTTCGTTTATCCATGGTGAACTTTTAGAGACTTTGTAAACATTTATATTATAATTCCACCTTGTCAATTTATTGTCCCGTCTTTCTTTTCATCTCACAACCAAACACTCGCTTCAGTACGCACCCTTTCTTACGCAAAGTGAAGAGAGCTTATGCTGGCTAGCTGTTAGCATCGAGGCTAACCTGTTAAACTATTTGCCTCTGTCATCCATTCATTGCCCTCCAATGAATAAAGTTTATCCAGTGGCCACATAAGGTTCCGCATTGTCTGTCAGTGACTTGTGTAAGCTCAAGTCTTTCCGGAACCAGCCACCCGTGAAAAGATCCATCCATCCATCCATCTGGTTGCATAATTGCAGCCACCAGCGCCTGTGTGAGTGTGAGAGATGTGCCCCTGCCCATAGCTATGTGCGACTCAGCGGCACAGCAGTAGACACTGACTGCTCGTCCTGTGTGCACATTGTCACTTGAGATCTGCGTAGAATCTCACCTAATACTATCTGCATCTATTACCCTCTTCGCAGTTTTGTTTACTGCTATGACAAGACATTGATTGCCGGTAAGATATAATTATTTAACTATGTAGCTTTGTTATATGTGATTCCCGTCTGTCTCCAGCAAAGCAGATATTTCTCTTCCTGGTGTTCGTCACAGATTATAAAAGCATTTACAGTTAGCCTTGTTGATTCCTTTATTAGTAGTCAAATTATCATTCGGTATACATTTTAGTGTCTCCGCATTTTATTCTTGGTTTGTTCCATGTTTTGAGAATACGTTTTTGCTGTAGAGGGGTAAATAATCCCTTTTTATGAATTGATATCACATAATTCTTCTGACTATTTTATGAAGTGGAAAAATCTAAGAACTACTCTTGGTTGCTATATAGTTATTATTAAGGAGTATTACAACATTATAGTTTATTAAAATGTTTTTCTGATGCAATATATTGCCCAAATGTGTCATCTGGACAGGTTTACAGTAATTACAATACATGCAATACTCACAGTTCACAGAGCTTGACACATCTCTTGAAGTCTCTTAAAAGTACAATGGATTTGTATGCAAATTATCTTTGATGGCAGTTTGTGTAAACTCTCCGTCGCACAGGGATTAGTCAAGCAAAGGAAGGTTTCTCACCCATCATCTGTACTTCTTAGTAGGTTTTCCCGACGTTTTGACTTTTTTTTGAGAACTTGTGTGAGAACAAGCTACTAGCTATTGTTTTTTGAGTAATGTGAGTTTGTGTTTACAGGTATGAGCACCAGGAGACGAGGGGGGAAACCAAACAGGGGAGGTGGGAGATTCTCCAAGCCTAAAAGAGGTGGTGATGGACGAGGAGGAGGTGGTGGTGGAGGAGGAGGAGGAGGGGGAGGAGGAGGAGGAGGAGGAGGAGGAGGAGGAGGTGGCCGGAAAGGGGGAGCCTGTGACTGGGAGGATGGGGATGATTTCAGCCTTGATTTTGGACCATCCAGGAGTAGCAGGTACTTTATACAGTAGCTTTATTATCGCTTTAGTAAGCTGTGAATATGATATTGTTCTGCTTTGGATTGTTTAGTGTGAAATATACGTGAAATCAACTTTCATAGTAAAAATACATCATAAGAATAATGTGTCATAATTGTGGTGAATTAATTTAAATACATTTTATATTAGTCTTATAATAATAATAATGCATCGGTTTTATATAGCGCTTTTTTGGACACTCAAAGACGCTTTACATGTTATTATTCTTTCACTCCACACACGGTGGTGATAAACTACTGCTGTAGCCACAGCTGCCCTGGGGCACACTGACAGAAGCGAGGCAACCAGTATGTGCCATCGGCCCCTCCGACCACCACCAACCATTCACACACACACCAGACTCATTCTAGGAAATGGGGGTGAAGTGTCTTGCCTAAGGACACAACGGCAGTCTTCTGTTAAATAAGTGATACAATATAGTCAAAAGAACGTTCTTTACTTTTTAATGATCATCTCCCTCTACCACTTTGGGAACCGCCTTAGTCAGTGCAAATTTTCTACGAAATTATATTATTTAACTAGAATCCCGAATGACCATCTGAACTGCCTTTGTGCGGTGCACACACTTCTCCAATGTTATACTGGATTTATCCTAAAACATAATTTTCTTGCATCTCCTCGTTCCTCATGACCATGGATTATACCTTTGTCAAAACTAATTTTCATGTTCCTAATCTGGCTGATCTTTGGATAGTGACATAGGTCGTGATTAATATTAGTTAAGTTCAGATTCAAAGTAGTATTCATCTCACCTGTTGTGTTTTAATTACCCTATGCCCTAAACAAGACTAATGGACATGTATACTAAGTCTCAGATTCTCTCTTGTTTGTTTTTTTGAAGATCTCTTACCATTCGGTTAGTGAACTGATTTTAAGGTATCACATATTTACCAAACCTTTGTCAGAAGCAGGACATAAACCTCATCAAACTTCCACTATTGTATCGTATTAATTGCAGCAATAACAACTTCATGTTATGCTCAATGTCATTAAATGTGGAAAATACACAGCACACTCGGATAGATGTCCAAAAGATCTAGTATTTATTAACGTTTCGGCCTTAGCCTTCGTCAGATCATTTTTATCTTGTTCATTTGGATCACAACCAATGCTCAATGTCATAACATGCCAGATGTAACTCATGTATTAAAAAAAAATGAACTGTACTTTCCCCTGTGGCTTAAACAGACCTAAACCTCCTAGAGGACGTGGCAGTGGCCGTGATGGAGCTCGAGGAAGAGGAGGAGAAAGCAGAAACTTCAGAAACAGTGGCCGTGATGCAGCCCGAGGACGGGGAGGAGAAAGCAGAGACTTCAGAAATGGTCGAGGAAGAGCATTTCCTATATCTCTGGCAAGAGACAGACCGAGCTTTAAGCTGAGTGACACCACTAAGCTGGAAGGAAGCAGTATGCCGCTTCAGAAGATCTTCATGACAAATGAAAACCAGGAACAACTGAAAGAACTTCTCCGGGAACTCCAGACGCAAGATTTTGAGCCGCATGAGTGAGTTTGTTAGTAACATACCCATTTCATATCCTATATTTTATATATTTGGAGTGAATTACTAACAGATCAAATACTGTAGTCCTCAGTAAGTTAGTAAATATATGCACCTGTGTTTATCACAGATGCTACGTTGCTCTGATTGGTTGTTGGACAATCCTCATTCTCACCAGAATCATGAGGATGACATAGTCAGGCTAGAAACCTACGTAGACCTAGAGAGAACGTGCAAACTCCACACCTCTGTCTGGATGTGGAATCGAACCCAGGACCTTCTTGCCAGTGGGAGCAGTTGGCTGTCCAATCACAGCTATAAGAAAGTGGGTTGCCATCTTTGCAGTCTGGCTCCATGCCTCTAGTTCTGACTGTGAATGGAAATACACAGTGAAATTCCATGGCAACTTTCCCTATGTTAAAAATGGTTATAGAGTTTGGTTCAAAACCAGGTCTTTTCAGCTGCTATGGATTTTTGTAAGTTTGCCAAAACTGCCATTTTGAGCCGGCGGAGATTTGGCACAGATACATTCACAACAACAGCAGTTACAGCCGCGCATCACTACACGATTTGTGCTGCTTTGCACATCCAGCAGGGGTAGCTGAAAGCACATGGCAGCTCATGGGCTCTGCATGAATGAAGGTATATTTCTTCTAATGAGAAAGATAGGCTACATGCAGTCCATAACATTTACTGTCTATGGTTCTTGAGTCATTCTTGTAAATGCAGAAATGCAATGAATTTACCACAATAATACAATAATAAAACCTTGTTAAAAAATATGATGAGGATAAATACTAAGATATATTCCAGTGAATCAAATTCCGATTACTCTGGTGATGAAGAGGAAGAGTATGATGAATTGGACCATCGGGATGATGGTCAGTTTTGGGCGACACAAGACGATCCTGTGGAGAGTGCTGAATCGCCAGACTATTATGACTCGCTGTCCGATGAGGAAAAACCCCCTCCGGAACCTGTGATATCCTTATTTGCCATAGGAAAACTCTGCAGGTAACCCTCAGCTTTCATTCAAATGAAGTTTGTGTACTGTATGTCACGGATTCTAACGTTGACTCGTTCATGCAGGTATGGCTTTGACAGAGAACGCAGCAAACAGGCCTTGGAGTCACATGATGGAGAATTTGGGTTCACGTTAGAACAGCTCCTTCAGGAAGTTTTCAGTGAGCGTTACGGCCAGAGAGTAGTGTGTCCTCATGACCTTGACAATGTGCCCATGGATGAATGTCTGAGCCAGCGGCAGGAGGAAGCTCTGGCCCTCACAGCTATTTACGGTGAGCGCTTCAACGAGAGAATCGCCAATGCAGTCTGGACCATATCCCTCGATGTACCTTTTCTCTCGCACAAAGTTGCAACAGGCCAAAAAAGTAGCCAAAAGGTTCATATTCGTGATGTCTGTAGATTTTTCTTAAAAGGCCAGGGCTGTCGTTTTGGGGCCAAATGCAGGTTCAAACACCAGCTTCCGACCAAAGACTCCTTTGAAGCAAGTGGTCCAAGCCAACCAGGCATCAGCAGCTTCTCTCCCTCAGAGTATGAACTGGAAATCCGGTTCCCCAAAGGAAACCGCTACCCCTTTCAGGCTCCGGTAGTTGCCTTTAGCACCAATGATGAGTCTGTGGGGGCAGCAGGAAGGCTCAGTGTGACAGAGAGACTGTATGAAGAGGCGCTTTCTGCTGCTAAGAGCAGTGAGCCCGTCATTTACACTCTGATCACCTTGTGCGAGGACGAAGATGCAATGAAAAAGTTGCTCGCTGTCGGTCATCATAAATATAGCACACCACCTCCAGTTTTGTCTCCCCCTCCTCCGCCCTCTCAGTCTGCTATTAAAGGCAAGAGCACAAACAACAACGGATCTGCAGAAATTAGGAGCATCTGCGGCAGCAGCAGGAGAGTGGCACCCCCCAGCAACCACAAATCTACAGACGGTAAGTCCACGTGTCAGTACAGTTAGGGCTGTTGTTTCAATTGTTCCGTCTCATCCTGTCTGAAACATTTACTTGCTTCCAGATAAAGACACAGGAGGCACAGAGGAGCTAGATGAGAAGGATGAGGGGGATGAGAGGGATTTGGAGGATGACCAGGCTGTTCCAGTGGAAAATGAAAGTTATGTCAATCTAAGGAAGAGAATGGTAAACAAGCACAACATGAAAATGGACAATCTTCTGCAAGAAAATGGCAAGCTTTGCAAGGACTATCAGAAGAAACTTGTGAGTAGTTATCGATGAAATGAAATGACTTTCGCAAGTAATAGGATATATTTACTATTACTATTACTATACTATGTATTTGTACAGAGCTCCAAAAAATTCAAGTCAATGCTGGAGCAGAGAAGGAATCTTCCCGCTTGGCAGGAAAAAGACTCTATTCTTGCAATTCTAGAAGGATGTCAGGTGTTGGTAGTTAGTGGAATGACGGGGTGGGTTTCATACTTATTCACTCAAAAAATCCCTTTTCTGTAACTAACGCAGTTTGATCCGTGCAGGTGTGGTAAGACCACTCAGATACCCCAGTTTATCCTTGATGCCTCTTTAAAGGGCCCTGCAGACCGTGTTGCTAACATTATCTGCACTCAACCTCGAAGGATATCTGCCATTTCTGTGGCTCAGCGAGTGGCTCAGGAGCGGGCAGAGTCACTGGGAAAGTCAGTGGGCTACCAGATCCGCCTGGAGAGTGTCCGCGTATGTACATTGTATATGATGCCTTTCTCAATCTAAATCTAATGTATTTTTATTTACTTGTTACTTTCTTTTTCAAGACCTCTGCTACCAGACTTTTGTACTGTACAACTGGTGTGTTACTAAGGAGATTAGAAGGAGAAGCAGATCTTAAAGACGTCACACATGTGATTGTTGATGAGGTCCATGAACGAACAGAGGAAAGGTAACCTATTTAAACAACATTATTGTGTATACTTTTGTATATTGTGTACATGTAAAGCGCAAAGGAATTACATGCAGCTCTGTCTTTTCTTCCACTTTTTAGTGACTTTTTGCTTTTGGTGCTGAAAGACCTAATTCTTCAGAGACCAGACCTAAAGATCATTTTGATGAGTGCTACACTTAATGCTAATCTCTTCTCAGAATATTTCTACAACTGCCCCACTGTCCATATACCAGGTACAAACAAACTCTCTAAGATGCTAATAAAGAATGCTTAAAAACTGACTATTTAATCTGTTTTAAAGGTCGAACTTTTCCAGTCGACCAGTTCTTTCTCGAAGATGCGATTGAAAAAACGGGGTAATTGCACTATTCATTATTTCCACATGAAACCCTCATAACTACTGCAATATAAACAAGATGACTCCTTGTTTGTTGTGCTGCTTGTTCATCCTTGCAGTTATGTCATTGAAGACGGCAGTCCCTTCATGCGTTCAGGCAAACAGAGCGGCTCTAATGCTGCTCCTCGAGGGCCGAAGAAAGAGTCCAGGGACTTGGTGGAGGATTTAAGTGACGACGTGTGGAACTTTATGTCCTTCTCCAAAAAAGACTTTGTCAAAGAGTCCATCCCTGACCAACAGCTCAGCTTTCAGGATCTGACATGGAGATACAAAGGTGGGTGAAAATGCTAGTGTTTTTTGTATGTTATAAACTTAAACTATGATGAAATTACTGCAGATAGAAAAAAGTCTGTATTGAAAACCATGGCTGCTATGGACTTGGATAAAATAAACATGGACCTGGTTGAAAGCCTCTTGGAATGGATTGTTGGGGGCAAGCACAACTATCCTACTGGTAATGCAATGTAACACTCATATCAAGCATTCTTCTATATACTGTCATTGACTGTCTCTGAAAATAAAATAAAAACAAAAAAAGTCATGAAAATGTCTAGGTTGTAAATTGTGCCAAACTGGATGATTCAGTCAATCTCTAGTGTGATGTCAGCAGTTCTCAAACTCCGCTCTATAGTTTCTGTAAATGTCCAAAAATGTATTTTTTAGAAATTACAAATTATATTTTAAACTGAAGTGATAACAATTTACAACAAACACATTTTTATGGCACTAATGAATCACTCAAACACACTCCTGATAATATTAACCAAAATGTAGTGCCGTAATATTATTATTATTACAAACTTAATATTTTTTACTTTTCCAGGTGCAGTCTTGGTCTTCATGCCGGGCCTTGCTGAGATCAAAATGCTTTATGAACAGCTTCAGTCGAACCGAATGTTTAACAACCGAGGTGCCAAAAGGTATGAGGCCTTAAAGACGAAACATTATGGATTATTTGTGGCCTTTACAAATGATAATGAGATTTTTTTACTTGAAATTACATGTTTTAGAATGTAAAATAATATCTTCAGTTGTAGAAAAATATGTGGTAAAACAAGTATGCAGGGTAAAAAGGATTTCTACTTGTAACTCCCAATGCTACCACTAGAGGGAGGAGTTAACTTTGCCTTTTATGACTGGCTGCAAACACAACCATGTTGTAAAGGATGTTATTTCACTTGAGGAATTGCCAAAACTAATTTATGAGCAAACATTTTGTTTTAAAAGGCAGAAAACTATGTGTGCGTGATGTAATTTAGGTAGTATTAGAGTATTGGAACTTTTAGACAGAAGGGAGTTATATTTTTGCCAGAAGTTTTTTATATAATCGTGGCGGAGCTTAAATCAACTGCAGGTCTGTTTTCTTTTTTAACAGGAAACAATGTTGTATCTTAGTGAAAATCTACAGCTTAAAAGTAATGTCTTCTTTAAGTTTAACCCTTGTGCTATCCTCGGGTCTAAATTAACCGCCACAGTGAAAAAAAGATTACACTATTTTTTAATCACTGTGACGGGTCAGTTTGATCAGTGTTTTTATATTTTCAAATGTGAGGATGTTTTGCCATCAGGTGCGTGGTGTATCCTTTACACTCCACTCTGTCCAACGAGGAGCAGCAGGCCGTGTTCAACCGCCCTGCGGACGGTGTCACGAAGATCATCATCTCCACAAACATCGCTGAAACCTCCGTCACCATTGATGACATTGTGTTTGTGATCGACTCTGGAAAGATGAAGGAGAAAAGGTATTTCTATATCATCACAGTCACACTACGACTATGTAGTGTTGTATAAATATTCAGAAATGAATATATTTTAAAAAGCTTTTCTCATTTCTGGATTGGCCATACATACACCATTTTTGAGATTTATGTGAGATAGACATAAAGTAGAGCACTGAAATATTAGAGAAAGATGGCAGATAAGAGATAAACACAAGAAAAATGTGTACAAAAAATGCAGGGAAACATTTTTGGGAAGACTCCTCAGTCCTCATTCTGCAGCCTGAGTCAGTTTTTGAGTCGTTCTTTGCTGTAGACACATTTATTAACATTCATGAACAATGGTTACCCCGCTCCCTATGTACTGGTTTTTTTTGTCTAAATTGATTGGCTGATCTCTTGTTGGTGAAACAACAACAACTTTGTAAAGTCCTCCGAGACGAGTGCGGTTGTGACTTCGGGGCTATGCAAAAATAAATGTAGCTGAATTGAAGCCAAGGCCAAGCTGCTGTATAGAATGTCTTAAATATAGTAACATCATCTTCTATCTTTTCACTTGTTCTGTTATTCCTGGATTGCGTTGTCAGATACGATGCCACGAAGAGCATGGAGAGCCTGGAGGACTCGTGGGTGTCCAGAGCCAATGCGCTGCAGAGGAAAGGCCGAGCGGGTCGCGTGGCCTCAGGCGTGTGTTTCCATCTCTTCACCAGCCACTGTTTCCAGCACCATCTGTCCGAGCAGCAGCTGCCGGAGATCCAGAGAGTTCCACTGGAGCAGCTCTGCCTCCGGTACTTCCATCTGTCCGTTCTCGCTAAAGTCACAGTGGCAGGGGAAAATATTTACTACTGTGCACGACTCCATTGTTATGTGTAGTAAATGGCCCTACTGTCCTCTTCTAATTTTCCCTTTTACCAGAATCAAAGTGCTGGATGTGTTCTCTGAGAAGCCACTGGAGTCTGTGTTCAGTCGACTTATTGAACCACCGGCAATGGGTAGTCTGGATGCAGCCAAACAGAGGCTGCAGGACCTGGGGGCTCTGACAGCAGACGAGAGACTCACCCCGCTGGGATACCACCTGGCCTGCCTGCCGGTGGACGTGCGCATCGGAAAACTCATGCTGTTTGGGGCCATCTTTCGCTGCCTTGACCCAGCGCTCACCATTGCAGCAAGTTTGGCTTTCAAATCGCCATTTGTAAGAATGTGTGCTTTTGCATATTTGAACTCTTTTATCAACTAATGAAACTAAGCCATGTGTCACTGTCATTTATAGGTGTCTCCTTGGGATAAACGTGAGGAAGCCAATGAAAAAAAGCAGGCTTTTGCTTTGGCTAACAGCGACCATCTATCTTTATTACAGGCATACAAGGTACCCTGCTGTGGATTTGAATAGTAATGTGTGCCTTTGAAGTCTAAATGGTGCTCTCTTTTCAGGGGTGGTGTTCGGCTGCAAAACATGGAAACCAAGCCAGCTATGTTTATTGCCGAGAGAACTTCCTGTCCTGGCGAGGCTTACAGGTCAGTCAGTGTTATCCAAATTAGTTATGCAACCCTGTTCTGTTTGAGTTCCTTCTTTTCATTCTATTTCTGTTTCTGAATTCCCAAACAAAAAAAGGAATTTGGGGCTTTTTCAATTTCTGATATGCTCCATTTTCCATTGATTCACAGCCGTGTTTTTGGATTTTGCATTGTTTTCCTTCAATGGAATTTTGTGTAGACGTCGCAATATTCAAAATCCAATATCTGTAAAACTAAAATACAGAAAATCATGACTGTTTTAATATCCATTTTATTCCTACCTACTTCCCAGGCCATACTGATCCGCTGCAGTCCCTCCGACACATCTTGCACACACAAATACATAAACCCAAGGCCATCCAAATATAAATTCATTTCAGGGGCCACCAAACTGAAAACCCAAAAATGTTATGATGTAAATAAAAAAATATGAGGCCTATCACCCCAACCCAAGTCAGAAAAATTAAACACACTTTTAAGAAGGGGGTTATTCAATTTCTTGTTTCAACAATGGAAATAAGAAAGAGTTGCCAGAAACCAAAATAGAATGAACGGAAGGTACACAGACCAAGAAAGCATTGTTTATTGTATTGCTTATTTTTTAGGAGATTGCAAGTCTAAAGAGACAATTTGCTGAGCTGCTGTCAGATATTGGCTTTATAAAGGAAGGGCTGAGAGCACGTACGATAGAGCGCATCAGCTCTAAAGGGACAGATGGGATCCTGGAGTCCACTGGTCCTGAGGTGAGTTTTGTTAAAGGCCATAAACTGCAGGAGATCACAGTAAAACAACATATTGTATTTACAGGCCAATCTAAATGCTGATAACATCAAGCTGATGTCAGCGATGCTGTGCGCTGCCCTTTACCCCAACGTTGTCCAGGTAGAAATGCATCATGAACCAGGACTGTGGAGTGGTGACATGTCAGCCTGAAGTTGTTCACTGTGGTATGTTTCACGACAGGTGCGATCTCCTCAAGGAACTTACAAAGTGACAAGCAAAGGGGCCATGAAGATGCAACCAAAAGCAAACGAACTTCGCTTCCTGACCAAAACTGACGGATATGTGAACGTGCACCCCTCCTCTGTCAACTTCTCTGTAAGTGCAGGTTAATTACATTAGTCATATTTTCTGGAGGTTACGGAGGTTTTAGCTTTATTGAATTTCCTCAGGTTCGTCATTACACCAGTCCGTACCTGGTGTACCATGAGAAGGTGAAAACCAGCCGTGTGTTCATCAGGGACTGCAGCATGGTATCCGTTTACCCGCTGGTGCTGTTTGGAGGAGGACAGGTCAATGTCGAGCTGCACAAAGGAGAGTTTCTCATTTCCCTGGATGATGGCTGGATTCGATTTGCTGCTGCCTCTCATCAAGTAGGTTTTGTCCTTTCTAACTCCATCAAACACCCAGAGAGAGGGCTTCAACACTGATTGTCTTCTGCTCAGGTTGCGGAGCTGGTGAAGGAGCTGCGCTGGGAACTGGATCAGCTGCTGGAGGATAAAATCAACAACCCTGTGATGGACCTGTGCAGCTGTCCCCGTGGCTCCCGCATCATCCGCATGATCGTCCACCTCATCTCCACGCAGTAACGGACTCTTAATGGCTCACAATACACTTGCGAATGGTGTAACAGAGGGAATGCTACACAAGGAAGCGGGCATTGTCAAAGTTGTATTATGTAAAAGTGTGATCATTTTGTTTACACAAGATTTATTTATTACATTTAGTACTAAACAGAACTCATAATGCCTTGAAATGATCTATGCAGTGAGCTACAAAGTAATGCACTATAAATACTGCCTTACTTACTGTATGTAGAGCACAGACAAGAGAGGTTGTGTGCTTTAAGATATTTGTTATCAAGTTGTGTTTTTCTCACAACTGTACTTTTGTGTCCATATTGGATTTGTGATATTAAATGTTACTATTAATTAGTAATGCATGATTGACAAATCTCACTATGTTTGCATAATTGTCTGTGTTTTTACATTTTCTGAATGTAGTACATTTTCAATATTTAATGATCAGATTGAATATTCGCAATTGTCAATACAAAGCCTTTAAGCTGATGATCAATTTTACTAAATAATATTCAGTCATAAAGGATCTGTGCATGACACATTCAGTAATAAAACAATGAAACAGTATTTTTCTTGTCATTTGCTTTGTGTTTTTAAACCACTGTTCTGCTGACCAGTTCATGTGAGGTAAAACAAGGCTTTGCCGGCTTCTGGGTAAGGACCGCCCCTTTCATTCAAAGGCCTCTGTCTCTAGGACAACAGACCAAAACAAATGAGGTATCACCGTCCCCTTTAGAACATTGTGCCAATCCAAGGTGCCAACTCTGGAGCTGGTGAGATGACTTACAAAAACATGTAATGCAATTACTTAGATGGAATTCAATGAAAACCATGTTTCTTTCTGTAGACTGGGATTGCAGCTGTGTGTTCAGGCCATTTTTCCTTTGAAAATGGTGAGTTGTTCAGTCTGATCTGATATTGCACTAGATTACATTTGTTGAAGTTTTATTAACATTTATTCTATCTAAAGCCAACTTCAAAAAGCAGGTCCCACAGTTCTAGGCCTGCCAAAAAATCTGGACAAAGCAGGACTCACCCCAAAACATCAAAAAAGAGATCTTCAAGTGCCAAACCCCCACAGACAGAGGTGGACCTCCTTAGTCCAGCAGCCATGAAGAATCTCTTCTACATTTCCCACAATGCAGCACAGTGTCTTGAGTTCCGGGGCTTTGGACGGCCAAACAGGTCCAAGTCAAAGAAGACAAAAAGCAAAACGCGAAAGAACACAAAGTAGGATTTTATTGTCAGTAGGGTATACAGAGAATTAATTGTACAATGTCATATTGGCATAATCATGGAAGACATTGGAATGCTATAGATGTGTTTTGAAGATTATAAGGCATGAAGTGGGAACAGTTTGATACTAATGTGATTGTTGTACATTTGTAGCAATTGGCAAATGAATAACTTGTAATTCTCCTCAACATTGTGCACCATTAACAGGGTGCAAAAATGCCACCAGGACAGTCAGTGCCATGAGACTGCATTTGATTCAATTATTGTTAGTCGTTACAAACCCTGCCTCCAGTTGTATCCAGCCATGTTATACAAAACCCGCCTCCAAAACAGGCAGTCAACTCTTACATGTTTTAAAAAAAATCAATGTTTACACATCAAAACTTTAAGCCTGTACAATAAATAAACTCTTCTTTGGATTGTGATTCCTCATCTCTCATTCTGACGGGGGTTTCTTCTTGGCCTCCACATCCCTTTTAAATTCTTCAACTTTTTTGGCTATATTAGGAACCTAAAAAAATAGTCATGAACAGTGCATTTATTCTGGGGTAAAGAAATGAGGCAGTAAAATACATTAATTGAACATGTTCTATATATATTGTAATGGGATTATGTAAACAGTATACCATTTTAGACATCAGTTATTCTTTTGGCAGTATTGAAATTCAACCGACTGGTTTTTTTTATCACAAGAGGACATTTTCAATAGTTTTTATGAACTATCCTGTAAAAATTGTGTGATATATGCAAATATGTTTCTAAGCATCTGGGCAATAATGTCATAATATGGAACCACATGTGTCCATTGTCACTTTTAGCCCGTGCTGCTAACACGTACAGTAGTATCACATCCTCAAGCTGCTAAAATGTACATTAGTTTCAACCCTGAATATATGAACCAAGAGCTTTTTTTTAAGTATAGTGCTATACTCAAAATCCACTTCTTATTTTGTGTTGTGTGCTCCTAATTCCTACCTTGTGATGCAACACTGACATTTCCCCACGTATACTTTTAAATATAAAAGTGTATTTTATTTTCTGCAAATAAGCGTAAACATATCCCAAGTATTCAGAATACAGTACGCTGATTGAACCATGAAACAGAATACGTTTATATTGCAGGACTTCAATACTCTAACTAAAATAATAAATAAATATTAAACGTAATCTCCCCAATACTGAATATAAAATGGAAGATGGATGACAATAAGTCAAGTTAAAGTTACCATTCTCACCTATGCAATGTGTCTCCTTATTTTCTGAGTAATCTTACTTGTGGATCAATAAGTATATTTACTACTATTGGACAAAGCTCATTATCTGATAAGAACAATTAGCAGGCACTTACATCATAGTTTTGAGCGAGGTACATCCCCACAACGTTCCCAATGGTGAAGCCAGCCTGTAAAAAAATGTTTTCGGATCATTAATATACTGTATTGTTATTATCCTGTATATTAAAAACGAGATGTGTCATTGATAAAATAAACTTGTCAACAGTGACAGAAAAAAATAAACATCCATTACATTTTGGCATGCTAACTAACATCGATGCTAACATGAAAGGTTATTAAAAGTTTGACACAGCATTCAGAACATGAATCATTGAAACTAACCAGGAATTGCAACATGTTGAAATAACCAAAGCCGTGGTGATGATGAGAAAAAGAAGTAAAGGCTATGCGCTATGGAAAAGCAAAAAATTGCTAACCTTTCCTCAATATTGTATGTGCGCATGCGTTACACATTGTAGTTTTAGTCTAAGGCGGCACCCAAAATCAGCAGGGAAATGAAAATTCTCCTTCCTTGTTCTCCCTTTTTTACTCATTGTTTTTATTTAATATTATGGAAAAAAAAATATTATACTCAAAGACGTGTTATAATGTCATTAACTAAACTACGAGTGTTACAAATTAAATTTTAAGCACAATCAAGGAAGAGCAAGGAGGTATTTATTTTGTCGATTTTAGATGCAACCCGAACTCCACAACGTGACTGTGACGCGTAAGAACTACAACACCCAAGCGCTGTGAGTTTTCCGTCGTCCACCGGTGGGTGTTGTTGCAATGGTGGCTTCGGGACATTGAATGACTTTGGCTTCATCACAAAAATATCAAGTTAATTCGTCGCCTTTTAGCGGTCACAATGGAGGCGCTTATTCCCGTTATCAACAAGCTCCAGGATGTGTTCAACACCGTGGGAGCAGACATTATCCAGCTTCCACAGATAGCTGTAGTAGGCACCCAGGTACGAAGAGCTGTCATCACATCAATGTATGAGAGAGCTGCCATGCTAATAATATAACCTTGATGTTGTTTGATTTCCAATGTTTGAAAATTAGCATTAGCTAGTCTTGCTTGTGTATAACATGTAGTCAAATTTGAGCCTGAATAATGCATGCCTTTACCACCATTGCTGCATGCTAGCTCAATGTTGTTCAGTCTAATTTAGTCTTAAGCAATTACCCATTTTAAGAATCTTAATTTGCTTGACCAAGCATTCGCCCTTCTGTGTTATTTATCTTACTTTGCAATCATTATAATGTTACACCAATGTAGCGCTGGGTCTGGGCCTCTTTTATATGACATGTAGCTATATTAAAGCTGAGGTACCTAAAAATATATCCATCAAAGATAAAATGTGTTTGTCTCATCAGAACACAACATTCTGTTTAAAAAAATATGCTGTCTTTTGCATACTTGTAAGAATGAGCCATGTCACTATTTGGGCTATGTGTGATGATGGGCTGAGTGAGGGTAATCCTCTCTTTTTAAAAGTTCTGTCCGAAAAGTCTGATCTAAAGATTCGGCAGGGGCCAATATAACATACATGTGAAAACTAGTGATAGAGCCAGGAACTAGTGACATGGATTTTATTACATAGTTAGAAATGCTTTTGTGGTTTGAATATTAGGTACCATAGCTTTAACATGAGAATTCTGCTTCTCCAGAGCAGTGGGAAGAGCTCCGTGCTGGAGAGTCTTGTGGGCCGGGACCTTCTCCCCCGCGGGACTGGGGTGGTGACCAGACGGCCTCTTATCCTGCAACTGTTACATTTGGATCCTGGAGATGCATTGAAAAGTGATGATGGTACAATGATCTAACTTTTCATTTAATTTATTTTTTTATTTTCATTTAGGTAATAAACAGAGTTGGGAGCATATAGAAAAAGATGAACTTTACCAATGTATGCAAATGATTTTGCATACTCCGAGCTACATATGATGCAGCGAGATAATATTATACAATATATAGTAAAAAAACAACTATTCTAATTTATTTATTATTAATTTATTTCAAACCTGCAAAAACACAACAAAACTGACACTGACAGGGGTTGGATGAAGCAGACACTTATATACTTCAACATTTAGGACATTTATCCATTCTGGCTGTTTTCAACATTCCCATTGTATTCTCCCCTTCCTCACTGGATCTATTGTGAATGTACAAAGTGTTATTCTTCTTTTCAACAGGCAGAGGTGAAGAGTGGGGCAAGTTCTTGCACACTAAAAACCAGGTACGCACAGTGTTTGCATATTGCAACAGGTCTAACTTTTGTTTGTGCTGAATTCTCTGTTCTGTCACAGATATTCTCCAATTTTGATGAAATTCGTCAAGAAATTGTGAACGAAACAGAGCGTGTGTCCGGTAATAATAAAGTAAGAGTGCATTTTGTTGTTGTTAATAAATTACCAATATGGTTCAACCAATACTAATTAAAGGATCAAAACATTCTGAAACAAAATCCACATGTGTCGTTATATGCTAATTTGGGCCGTAACATGATAATTATTCTCTTAATATAATTAAGGGTGTTATATTCTAAACAGTTGTAACAAAATAAGAACTAGCCAACAGATCAATACAGACTAAACTTGTGTGTGTGTCTGCAGGGCATTAGTGATGAGCCCATTCATCTGAAGATATTTTCTCCTCACGTTGTCAACCTCACCCTGGTGGATCTGCCAGGGATCACAAAGGTAATACACACATAGTGCACCCCGTGTTTATAATACAAAGTCCTTTTAATTTTATGGACATTAGTCATCTGCTCCTTATCTACCAATGGCTCTATGTGTTTTTAACGTTGCAATTCTTGTGTTTGAACTGTTTGAATCTCTGTGTTGGCGAATTCAACAGTTTTGTTAAGTCCTCCGAGATAAATGCTGTTGTGATTTAGGGCTATACAAGATTAAATTTAAAATTAATGAATCAACACAAGCTGTATGTGCATACAATCAACCATTAATACCAGAAGACGTTGGACCGTTCCATCACTGCTTAGTACATATATATCAAATGTTAACACCTTAATCAATCAGATAAATCAATCTTTTTAACTTGTGTTAATTCATTTATTAATGAATTTGAATGTGTCAGTGCATGTCTTCCACATTTGAATCGCTCAAAGTTATTCACGTGACTGACCAGCAACTGAAAATGTGGTAATACATCGGCTTCATCCTCACACTTAGTTCTTGACACTTTCACTAGCTTTCACTTAAATACGTGAGATCTGTTGGTTCTTCTGTGGCCTTATGCACAGGCTCTGGTTCTGGTCTCATTAGTTTCTCTCCTTGAGCTCAGTGTTGGCCTGTAAACCTCCCGCGGTCTGTTTTAATTTCATGGGTCTCTGTCAGGTGCCGGTGGGTGACCAGCCCAAGGACATCGAGGTCCAGATAAGAGATCTGATCCTGAAACACATCTCCAACCCAAACTGCATCATCCTGGCCGTCACCGCCGCCAACACGGACATGGCCACTTCTGAGGCGCTCAAAGTGGCCCGAGAGGTTGACCCCGATGGTAATCATGTCCTCACACCTTCATTATTATTGCTTTTTTAAAATTCATTAATTAATTTATTATTAATACACATTATTATTCTTATAATTATAATTATTATTATTATTATTATTTGTATTATTATACTTTTAATATGTGTTTTTCTTATTATACTTTTAAAATGTAAAACTATGAGACGCACCATTTCCTCAAGTATTAATCAGCATATCATTTGTAATCAGTGAATCACTAATGATCACTTGTTTATTTTGTGTCTGGGAACACTGAAGGTTTCTGCAGTGTTTTTTGATTGATTAAAAACAACCCTTAGTTTAAAGTATTAATAACGTGTGATTTAAGTTTTATCCAAAACGTCTTTGTCAGAAATTGGAGCCATTAGGCGCAATTTGAATAAACGATGAAACAATGTATTATTTTATACATTTAAAAAAATCTTTAGTGATCATTTATTAACATTTATGGACATTGGTCATCCTGCTCCCTACGGACCAATGCTCCTATGTGTTTTTGTCATTATGGCATTTCCTTTGTGCGAACTGTTTGATTCTCTGATCTGTTGGTGAATCGAGAACTTTGTGAAGTTCTCCGAGATGACTACTGTTTTGATTTGGGGCTATACAAGAATAAATTAAATTGAATAGTCTCAAAGTTCTTAATAATAGCTTTAAATACTAAACATTTTAGAATTCCTACTCCCAATAAACTATAAATAAACAAAATATTATATCTCAAGATGATACATCTAAATCTTTCCCCACTGTGGGACTAATAAAGGTATAATTCATTCATATATGTAAATAATATATGTTTTTTATCATTTACTGCAAAGATTGGTTTATTGTAATTAAAGTTTGTTAAGGCCTTTCTGCTCCGGTTTCCCCCGGGTACTCCGGTTTCTCCTACCACTAAAAACATGTACAATAGGTCTGGCATGCGCCTCCTGTACTGGCGAGCCCGCTCCCATCTCTGTGAGGAGCGAGAGACAGCAATTGTAAAGTGCTTTGTGACTGGTCTTTGAAAGGCGCTATATAAGTAAAGATAAAAAATTTTCATTATCAATACAATACAATACAATTTATTCTTGTATAGCCCTAAGTCACAACAGAAGTAATCTCAGAGGACTTAACAAAACCATTGAAATCACCAACACAGGTCAGAGAATCAACAGTTAAAACACATGAAAAACAAAACACACAAAAAATGTCCATACATGTTGTAGAATGTTAAAGTGTCCTGATCATCACCAATCCTTTCTGTTGGACACTAACTGTCCAACAAGACCCTCCTGCATCGACAAGGAAAAACCCAGTGGGAAAAAGTGAGAAACCTTGGAGACCCATTTGAGAAAGGGATCCGCTCCTCCGGACGGACAGGCTAATGATCCAGGACCTAAGCTAGCTACAGAACGTGGACCAGTGGACGCTGAACGTGGACAGGTCCGGTGCAGGACTGAAGCACTCCCAGGCGGGTCGGGCGGGGCAGTCCGCAGGTGTAGATGGAGGAGGCCAGGCTCAGAGATCCCGTCATCGTACCATGAAACAGACAATGGGACAACGGGTGAATAGCAATGAACAAACTAGAGTCAAAATCCTAATAATGCTAAACAGATAAAGTAGGAAGGAGGAGAGGATAGTGCTCAAGTTACCATACTTCTCCCAGCAAACTGACTCAGTTGAACAATTATATCCACTCGCAATTAGGTTTCCAATAAGCCTTACCTATCCATCCTGACAGGTCACGGACAGGTGTCATACATGGAAAAAGATAGCCGGCTATAGGTGCATTTGATGTGTGTGTGGACAGAGACTGCAACTTCTTTTTTTAATACTTTTTTAATACTTTAAAGTACATTTTCTCAGAATAAAAGCACATCCTTTATTTAACTTGAATAACTTTAAAGTAGTTCTTACTAATGCATAATTAAAAAATAGTGCTACACAGATCTGCCTCAAATGAATAAAAATCAAAAAGAAAAAGTGCATTAGTGCTTTTGGAGTCTCTGTTTGGTCCAGTTCTGCATTTAAAAGAAAATAAAAAAACAAAGTGATAGTCTGGACTTTGTCAGAACAAAAGAGAGAGGTACATGATTTGAAAAAAACCGACCCAAGCTCCCACTGCCTTCCTTTGTGATTGGTCTTGAAGCTGCGCTTACTTTTCCGTGCGCGCACCAGGTCAATGGGCCAAGACGTGCGGAGGAGAGAGAGAAAACAACCAGTGTGAACAATGGAGTTATCGGAGGTAGGAGGGACACGAGCAGAAGATATACCCATTTGCGAGTGTTGATCCATGGCTGCGCTCGGGACTAATGGTGGAGGCTTGATTTGGAGTTATGGCAGTTACGAGTGCGCTTGTGATGATTGACAGCCCTTGGCATCACTTGATTGGTTAAAGTGGACAGCATCGTGCATTTTGAGCCATAGCTAAGATAAATGAAGGCGGGACTTCTTATACCATTTAATTTATTTAGAGTTCCAGACTATCATTTTAATGAAAAAAAAGTAATTAGTAAAACAAATGTAAATAGTATCATCCCAACTTCAACTTTATCCCTTTACTCTCTGGTGTGCTCTTTGGACTTCATGATGCTGTTTAGTGACCATTCTCACCGTAGCTCTGAGGCCCTCACAGAACAGTGAGTTGATGGGCTCTATTTGATCGTGCAACATGTGAGCATTCAGCAAAGTAAAATATTTTAGTGTGAGGTTATAAACATGACAAACTGTGCAAAGGTTTGAGTTAGTAGTTTATCCTTTTATTACATTGTCTATTTTGAAGTGTATTTCTATTGACGAATAGCATACAATGTATTTAGTTATGTTTCAACTTGTAGTGACACGATGAGTTTTGACTTGATACATGTTTTACCATAAATGCAGGAAGGAGGACCCTGGCTGTTGTGACCAAACTGGATTTGATGGACGCTGGGACTGATGCTGTGGACGTCCTAATGGGCAGAGTTATTCCAGTTAAACTTGGTATTATTGGAGTTGTGAACAGGTAATTAATGATTTTTGTACTGATATTTCTAGTTTTTAAAAATATGTGATCCCTAAAAAGTGGATTAGGATTTTTTTAAGCACACAAGCACCTCTTCTACTTGAGATTTATGGTTTTACTACCATAATTGCTTTGAACAGGGGTGTCCAAACACCAGATAAGAGGGCCAGATAACCAGATTTGTCCATGGGCCGACAACTTTGATTTTAAAACTGTTTTGACTGGATTTTGGCTGTTCTGTCTTGTGCGACCTAGGGTAGATCAAGTTAGGAAAAATCATCAAATTCATCTTAAAATATAAACAAATGTTTAAAAAAAATAAATTGTTGCCTGACGATAGCACAAGGGTTAAATGGGTATGATAATATGATCCATATTGAGTCACAGTGCAGCAACATTACTGCCATATGGAATGTTGTAACAGAATGAAAAACAAATCCGTTTGTACAAATAAAGTTAACTCCAAGTTACATCTAAATCCAAATGTTCTAAAAGCTTTACAACAAGGAATAGCAAGACTATATTGGTGGAACTAAATTGGCGGCTTTAGGCTGTGAAAGTACCTTGATAGTTACTAACATGTCACCAATGCAGAGGGCCTCATGAAATGTCTCAGTCCTTAGTTTGGACACCCCTGGTTTAGGAGAACATCCAATGTTTTTTCAAGAGGGAAAGTGTGCACAAACTTTATCTAAAGTGCACTAACACAATTAAAATCAACTGTTTCGAATTAAAAGCACTGAGATATTTTGCAATTCATAAATGTTAAATGTGAGTTTGATCTGGCTTATAAAAAATTCTTTTAAGTCTAAATAAAAAAGTGACTAATATAAAAGTATATAAGAGTAAAGATAAGATCCCTCAGTTGTATGCACAGGCAAACAGAACTCCTGGTTTTGAAAATTGTCAGTGTCATTGCGTGAATCTGAAAAGCACCCTCCCCATGTTTAGTTCTGACTCTGAGGAGCGCAGGGACTGAACTCCTGCTGGTGCCCAGACTTTGGGCCTGTTCATATGGGACTAACATGTCACTAATATATTTTGGTGTGAGGCCATGGAGAGAATTGTAACAAGCAGCGCTGTTTTAAAATCTATTCTTTGAGCCACAGGAAGCCAGACCTGGACTAATGTGGTCGTACTTCCTGGTTCTATAGTCAGGACTCGAGCTGCTGCATTTTGAATGTACTGCAGCTGTTTTACAGCTTGTTTGGACAGACCTGTGAGCAGGCCATTGCAGTAGTCTAACCTACTGGAGACAAATGCATGGATAAGAATCTCCAAGTCTGCTTTAGACACTAGGTTTTGGACCCTGACAATGTTTTTAGGTGTTAAAAAGCTACAATTTCGAGTCCAGTATTACCCCTAGATTTCTGACCTGATTTGAAGGATTTAGGGAGAGAGACTGTAGGTGACAGATGACGCTCTATCTTTGTTTCTGCGGTCTAAAGACAATCATTTCAGTTTTTACTGCGTTTAGCTGAAGGAAGTTGTTGCATCCACTCACTGATCTGTTGATACAATGGAGTGAGTCCTCTGTTCCATGTTCTTCTGCAGTCAGTGAGACACAACTATACTGACATCACTCAGATTCAGATTTTGTTGATAATGTTGGATAATACTTATAGAAAATAATTTCATTACAGTTTCATATTAAGTAAATGGAGACTTGACCTGAAAAAGCCAGTTGCCCCGTGAATGCACTTGAACATAGTTATGAAGTCTTAATTAATCTCAATGTCACACAGTAATGATGAGATCTGGGAGCTCTCTTATACATATTTAATGCCAGTTCAGCGGGGGACTTATTTGCTCTTAATATAATACGCATAATACATCTTCAATATGAGATTATCATTTATGAAAAATTAATGGAGGACATTTAGTTGGTGTTAAAGACTTCAATGGAAATTATAATGGCGATTAAATCAACTCTCTGAACTCTATTTGCTTTTAATTTCATCTGATTACTTTTAATCTCGTTGTTTAATTAAATCTTAACTTTCAGGAGCCAACTTGATATCAACAATAAGAAGTCTGTAGCTGATTCAATTCGAGATGAACATGCGTTTCTGCAGAAGAAATATCCATCTTTAGCAACAAGGAACGGAACCAAATATCTGGCCAGGACGCTGAACAGGTACACTGGAATTGTTGTGAAGTATTCAGTCACAGTTTTATGACTAGAAAGTATAGCATATTATTACATGCTGGTATTCATGTTGTGTAGCTGCCACTGAGGATGAAAGGCAGGGTTTGTATTTATGAGTGACAAGGTAAACTGCCAAATAGCTGCTGATAAAAGTGAGCAGCTTGTGCCCTTTGCTGTCATTGTGTCAGGTTACTGATGCATCACATCAGAGACTGCCTCCCAGAGCTCAAGACACGGATCAATGTGTTGGCAGCGCAGTACCAGTCCCTGCTCAACAGCTATGGAGAACCTGTAGAAGACCAGAGCGCCACACTGCTTCAGCTCATTACCAAGTTTGCCACAGAATACTGCAACACCATCGAAGGCACAGCCAAGTACATCGAGACTGCAGAGCTGTAAGTAGTACCACTGCAGCTTGGCCACTTGATGGTGCTGTTGCTACAGCACACTTTAGTGTGCAAAACAACTGCATTGGTTTCATCATTGAATATGATCGAAATTGTAAGTTGAGGCACGCACAGTTTCTGTGAAGGGAAGGCTGACAGGAGAGAGCACCACAGGGTTCACATCAGAGCTAATATCCTGGCTGCTGTTTTTCAGGTGCGGGGGAGCCAGAATCTGTTACATATTCCACGAGACTTTTGGCAGAACACTGGAGTCAGTGGATCCTCTGGGAGGACTCAGCACTATAGATATTCTCACTGCCATAAGGAATGCCACAGTGAGTGTGTTTCATCACTGTCACTGCACCTTTTACACTTCACATTAATCAATTACACTTACAGTACCTTCTGCTGCTGCTAGTGTTTAACTGTTGCCCTGGGTTACATTAGGGTCCACGGCCGTCCCTGTTTGTGCCGGAGGTGTCCTTTGAGCTGCTGGTGAAGAAGCAGGTGAAACGTCTGGAGGAGCCCAGTCTGAGATGTGTGGAGCTGGTGCATGAGGAGATGCAGAGGATCATCCAGCACTGCAGTAACTACAGCACGCAGGTAAACACGGGACTGTGACAGAAGGAAAAGAAGAACACCTTCTCACACGCAGTATACCAAATATTTAGCTTTAGTATGTTTTTGTTGTACACAGACCTCTTTTATTAACCAATACCCAACATTCCTTGCTCTTAAAGCGATGGTAACTCTAGCACACTCCATAACAAAAGAGTTGATAAATTATATCACATACAGCTGTATATTGTGCAGAAGTCCCATGAAACCAAACAAAAATATGATTCATGTTTGAAGTCTATGTGTGCAGACCATACATCGCTGCAGCACAGTTTATCAGGACTCCCCTGGTGGCACAGACACAATGAGGATAGGGTTTAAAATGGTTTAAAACATCCGTTATGTCATCGTCTGGGCTGAGCAGCTATTATCACAGAGCAAGTTAAACAAAGCATCATTATTCCTCAGTGTTTACCCTCCAGCTATTGTTTATTGTTTATGGTACTTATCATTGCTTTCGTCTTCCAGGAGTTGCAGAGGTTCCCAAAGCTCCATGAAGCCATAGTGGAAGTGGTCACGTCCCTGCTGAGGAAAAGGCTACCCATCACAAATGAAATGGTACACATTTACTATTTGGTTTTATATTTATGAGTTCCTTTCTCTGTAAATCAACCATGCTTACATGCCTTTGTGTTCCAGGTTCATAACTTAGTAGCCATAGAACTCGCCTACATCAACACTAAACATCCTGACTTTGCTGACGCATGCGGAGTTATGAATAATAATATTGAGGTTTGTATTTATATTGTATTGAATAATGGCAGCAAATTAGTTAAAGGTGATGTCAGAAACATCAATTGTATTTCATTTTTCAAAGAATGTATATTTCTGACCTTGGGAGAGAGAGAAGAGAATAGTCAAACTAAGGGCCTGAAGGATTTGAATTAATTTTGACCAATCAGGAGGCTGCTGAGATGAGCATTATCATTATTATTATTATTATTGTCATTAGGGTTTGGGCAATTATCTATTTTTGTAATTATCAGGCTAAAGTAACTTTCTTTGGATTGAGTCAAAACTGGGCCAATATACACATAGCTGAATTTATGTTCAAGAAAATACATCATAAAATAATGTCAAAATGTATTTAAAGTAATAATTTGGTCAAAATACCTGAAAAATGTAAAATATGTGCTTCAAACATTTGCTACAGTAAAATGCAGCCTATAAAAAAATAACATGAAAAGGCTTGGCCCGCTTATATTCCGTATATTAGGTATTCATTTTGGCCGAGTATAATAGTTTGGGCACCCCTGAGTTTGATGGATTATATAGATACAGTTATTCTGGCGTGAAAGTTGGGTACCCCGACTTTATCATTATCAACCATTTTAACAATTTGCAAGCTTTTCAACACTTTAATTATGAAGGGAAGTTTGTGTAAGCTCTCAGTCAGGTACTTTGACTGAGGTACTTGAAAAAACAGATCTAATCAGGGTTTATGTGAGACACTGCTCTCAATGTTCTTATTTTTATTTAAATTTCAACATTCTTGTTTTAGCACAGATCCCCTCGAGAGTCACTGTCCACAGGAGCTTTGTGGCAATAACTTTGTAGTGGCAGTCTCTTCTGACTCTATCCTGGATCCTGGATTCCATTCTAAAGTCCACTTTCGATGTTATATAATGGGGGTTTTTAAATGGGGAAGTTATTTGTGGAACCAGGACGTGGGCAGTGACTTTGCAACTCTGTGGAGATTCAAATACAAACATGTTATACACTCACATCAATAAAAATGAACCTTATATACTAGGATCTGGATACACATGACTTTTTATATGAAAATATTAAATCAAATCCAGCATGGAAATGTTGTACAGCATTAAAACTCCCAAGCACTTTTTAAGTGCTTTCTCCAATTGAATGTCCAGTTAAGGAGGTTTGGCTCTTTGGCTAAAACCAGGAATGCTTTTAACATGTGTTTCCATATGTGGTAAGCAGGAGCAGCGGAGGAACCGGATGAGGGAGCTGCCTGCTTCGGTCCCCAGAGATAAGGTAAGGATTCCCATGTATTCAAATAAGAGAACTAGTGCGTTTATCACTCAGTGCACCGCAGGATGTGAACCAAACCTGGACTTCTCCAAATTCAAGAACCAGCCGCATTTCACTCATTTTCAGTCTTGCTCTTTTTGTGTGTCTCTCATTCCCTCGCAAGTCTGTTGGCAAAGGCCCGGCCGTGGTCCCTGGCGAGCACTCGGTGGTTGGAGCAGACATGGAACGGGCCAAGGTGGGCAGCTCTCTGGACCTGCTGCTGGGGGTGGTGGGGTGGGGGCAGTGGGGTTTGGATGGATGCATGGGTCACTGCTGTGCTGGCATGAACTCATGAATCAGTGTGCCACTGACGTCATGCCCTTATTTGGACTCCTCTCAGCCTGTGTGGACTTGAATAAGCTACTTCTGAATGTTGTCTTATTGACTTTCCCTATTGGATGTTTACATTTAGGAAATTATGATTTACAGTGTGCTTGTTAAAGTATAGCTTTAGTGCTAGTGCTTCACAGTAAGAAGCTCATGGATCCGATTCCACCTCCAAATGGTGACTTTCTGTGTGGAGTTTGCATGTTCTCCCCGTGTCTGCGTTTTCCGCCTAAAACATGAGCAATAGTTCAGGGTGAATGAGTGTGTGTTTGTGAGTGCGACTGTCAACAGATGCAAATTAGACCAAGGCTACAGTCTGGACTTGTGTGTTCATAAACATACACTGTCCCGACCCAAACAAATAAACAAAAAAATAAAAAAATGTAGGATTTTGGGAAAAAAACGTTAATTTTCCAAACACATCCATGAAGCTGCCAAAAGTTGTTGGAATTATAAACAGTCTGCCATAAAAACCTGCACTGTGACCTGCAAAACCCCCTGCTGCCACTACAATGTGCAGGAATGTTGTCGTCCGATGTATTCCAAAATCCCACATAATGCTCCTTTGAAGTTGGGAGTACCTAAATGTTCTGTTTCATAAATAATACATGTTCTTTGTCTTAACCTGCCCTCATTATCATGGAGATTGTCAAGGCATCGGTAGTTCGGTAGCCCTGTTGTGATTACACACAATTGTTATTATATATTTAGAGCGTTATAAATGCAATTTCTTTGCCAAAACTGTGTTGAAAGAGACGCGTACAGTTTTTGTGCTTAAAATTGATGTATTGTTGTACCCCTGTATATTTGTGGCCAGTTTTTTGTAGCCGAGTGACGGGGGAAATATAACATGGTTCAAATACAGATTCTTTAAATTATTCATCTCGAACATAACATGTTTTTGGGACTTTTGGCAGGGCAGGACAATTGCAATGTTTTCTTGCCTCTCTGGGCTGTTATTGAGTATTTACTGCTGCGTTGTTGTAGCAGGTGGACCACATACTTCGATTCTCTTAGCAATTTACTTCTCGCTTGAACAAATCTGCTCTCACTGTTTGAGTGCAGATGTTTACAGGCAAGAGCTAGTGGTCTGAATGGCATGGTCCCTCAAGGTTTGAAATATTACACAATATATGACCCGTGTCCTGAGAATATCACGATTTCAGGTTTTCTTTATTTGTACCTTGGTCTTGCAGTGGAGAGACGGTGCATCCCATTAAATACAATACACACACTGAAATATATACACAACAATAGAAGGATAGAGCATCCTTAGACCATAAAGTGCTCAAATTATGTGAATTAAGTCAAAGAGTCAAAGGGAATTAAGTCAAAGACGAGTCAAAGAGTCAAAGGGAATTAAGTCAAAGACGGACCGAACAAGAGACTGGCTCAGACCAACAATAAAAACTCAAAAGTTTCAAAAAACGTTTTCATTGTTATTATCAGAGTTAAATTAATGTATCACATTTTTAATGAGATACAGTCTTTTAACCTTTTTAAAGATAATGAAATACTGTCTTTAACCATTTTGAATCGTTAAAGTGCTGACTAGACAAACGCCATCAAATTAGAAGATCCAATCAAACGTAGCATTATTATAGCTATAGATTTGTCACAAAATAATCATGAAACGTAAACTGAAAACTAGACCAAACAACCATACTAACAATGTGTCACCAAGTTTGTGATGAACTAACATAACCTTATTTGGAATCCCTCCTCACAAGGCCGGGCAAGTTTATTTGTATTGCACAAGATAGCACTTATCACATTACATTAAAAATATTGATATAAAATCCCTCAGTTGTATGCACAGCTAAACAGAACTGTTTTTAACCTGGTTTTAAACATTGTCAGAGAGGAGGTCTGTCTCATATTTTCAGGAAGATTGTTCCAGATTTTAGCAGCATGAATCTGAAAAGCAGCCTCCCCATGTTTAGTTCTGACTCTGGGCACTAACAGGAGTCCAGTCCCTGTACTCCTCAGAGTCCGGGCTGGTTCATATGGGACTAACATGTCACTAATATATTTTGGAGCGAGCCCATGGAGAGACTTGTAACAAGCAGAGCTGTTTTAAAGTCTATTCTCTGAGCCACAGGAAGCCAGTGCAGAGACCTGAGGACCGGACTAATGTGGTTGTACTTCCTGGTTCTAGTCAGGACTCGAGCTGCTGCATTTTGAATGTACTGCAGCTGTTTTACAGCCTGTTTGGACAGACCTGTGAGCAGGCCATTGCAGTAGTCTAACCTACTGGAGACAAATGCATGAATAAGAATCTCCAAGTCTGCTTTAGACACTATGTTTTTGATCCTGGCAATGTTTTTTAGATGGTAAAAAGCTGCTGATGTTACTGATTTGATGTGGCTATTAAAATTTAAGTCTGAGTCCAGTATTACCCCTAGATTTCTGACCTGATTTTTGAGGGACTACTGTTTTAGGGAGAGGGACTGTAGGTGGCAGATTACGCTCGCTTTGTTTCTGGGTATCAAAGACAATCGTTTTTTTTCTGAAGGACTCACTCTCTTTTATACAGTGAAAGAGTGAGTCCACTGGTCCATGTTCTCCAGCAGTCAGTGAGACATCGATCTGAGTGTCGTTTCCAATCTCCAAATGCTGAAGTCTGTAAAATGAGTAATCCGTGATTGTGGAATAAAAATGAAAATAAATCGATTCATGAGATTAAAAAGCAAAGCAAACACGAAGCAACAAGGCAAGCGTCTGCACTCTTCGAAAGCAGAGTATTCACTCATGCTGAAGTGAAATGTTATTTATAGAGAGAATTATTGTTTTATTTTGGAGCCTTGTTACATTGTTTGAGTTTTTATTTATTTATTAGAAATCCACAGAAATATCAATTTATTTCTTTTTTGACACATTGGCCAAACTTCCCAACTGGCCGAAATGTTACCATTGCATGTTATAGCTAATTTTATTGGTTGTGTTCACAGGAAAACAACCAGATCATTTAATTTTCTCAAAACATCAATTATGACAACTTACGTTTTGGGACTGCTAGTTGAGGAAAAAATGTATATATTTGTTGTACTTTTAGATTTGGCTCAAAGGTAATACATTTTTCAAATGGCAAAAAATGAATGCTTTAGTACACAATGGCAATATAAAATAGCATTAACCCTTACCCGATTCTTTATTCCCTGTGGCTGTAGACTGTTGTGTGCCTTCCTTTTCTACCAGCCTGTGTGCTTTCCTCATGCATCCAGTCCTCTTTAGAAAGATGTCAGTCCATTTTGGCCTGAATATTTCCCAAGAGTTTATTTTTGGATCAAATTTCTATGGATATTTTATACTTGGACCTTTCTGTGTGTCCCTAGGCCCCAGCAGGAGGACCCCAGCCTGAGCAGGACGGCACGGGGAACTGGAGAGGGATGCTGAAAAAGGGAGAGGAGGCCCCAAACTCGGGGCCCGGAAGTCCTCTCAGGGGAGCAGTCAACCTACTTGACGTGGTGACTATTTATTTACATTTATTTGTGTTTAGCTCTATATAGGGTTGGGCAATACATCACAGTACTATACTTTTATGATATTGAATATTTTGCTTTTTCACGGTGGCTGAGTGGATAGCACTCTCGCCTCTCAGCAAGAAGGTCCTGGGTTCGAATCCCGGTCGGACCAGGGCCTTTCTGAGTGGAGTTTGCATGTTCTCCCCGTGTCTGCGTAGGTTTCCTCCGGGTACTCCGGTTTCCCCTACCACTAAAAATATGTCCAATAGTTCTGGCATGTGCCTCCTGTACTGGTGACCCTGCTCCCATCTCTGTGTGGAGTGAGAGACAAATGCCCAAAAATTAACAATTGTAAACCGCTTTGAGACGCAGATCTGCAGTGAAAAGGCGGTATATAAATAAAAACTTACTTACTTACTTACTTACTTAACAAAAAATCATAATTATCCAAAGTGGGAAATAAAACCAAGATTTTACTTGCTTCTTTCCAAATAGCCCAGCCCTGAATTGGAAAAAAATCTGTCAATTTGCGAACAACAGATCAATTCAATTCGATTAATGTCAATTCAAATTATTCTTGTACAGTATAGCCCTAAATCACAACAGTAGTTATCTCTGAGGACTTTACACAACCATTGAATTTGCCAACACAGATCAGAGAATCAAACAGTTCATACACAAGAAATTAAACAGAAAACACATTGGTATCGGTCCATAGATGACCTATGTCCATAAATGTTATTAAATGTTGAGTGACCTGGATCATCACCACTGTCCTTTCAGACCTTCAGATCAGAGAAACAATAACACAAGGGAATGCAATAATAAAACAAATGCATAAGAGTCATTAGTCCATAGGGTGGCTGGATGTCCGTAAACGTTCATAAATGTCATGATAACATGGCCTTTTGCCATTTTTATTTTGCAGGAACATATTCATTAAAGTGTGTGTGTTTGTGTTTTTAGCCTGTGCCAGTCGCCAGGAAACTGTCTTCACGCGAGCAGAGGGACTGTGAGGTCATCGAACGCCTCATCAAGTCCTATTTCCTGATTGTGCGCAAGAATATTCAAGACAGGTACGCTCTACGCTTCCGGATCACTTCTTTCCAATCCTCGACATAGATTTTGAACCACCCTTTCTGCTCTTGTTAGTCATGGTCTGAAATTAATATGTAGAAGCAGGAGAGGGCCAAACCTTTTCATGATTTGTTAGTACGCCAGTTCCAATCACCAAAACAGTCTGAATAACAAAGTTCAATGTTAAGAATAAAATACATGTTTTTGTAGTTGATAAAATTAGTTTTAAATGTTGTAACATCTCATTTTGAAAGAATGTATATTTCTGACGATGGGACACAGTGTATTGTTTAACCACTGAAAACTTGTAACCTCAAGGATTTAAATTCGGTTTGACCAATCAGGAAGCTAATCCGAGCTTGTCTTCAAAAAGTTTCACTCTCGCTTCTCAGAGGAAAAGTCATCAATTGAATTCACTTTAACAAGAAAAGTTGAGAATCATTTGTAGGATCCCTAAAAATGAAGGCACTTTCAGCACCGATGTTCGACATAACAATGCTGCCGACCGTCGTCCTGACAATCTGCAATACTCTGGACATTTGAAAACGTACTTTATTATTCCCTGATGATTGCACATGACATAAACGGTGGAGAGCTTTTGCACGAGCACGTGTACAGTACAGCAGAGGCACCTGGCAGCCCACACCACCGCTCCATCTGGGAAACACAGGCGGCCATCTTGACTCTGCTCAGGACCAGCTGCTCTGCGGCTTGCTCTCGCTCAGAGCTGCCACAAAAGCTCAGAAGTTTTATTGGCGGCAGGCATAAGTTATCGTTCAAGTAAAGTATTTTAGAAAGACTTATTAGGTTTTGTTTTGTTTTTAAAAGAATCCCTCATAGGACTGAATTATTATGTATGCTGTTTTCCCACTTTATGGCAGTGTTTTTAAAGAAAATTATAGATTAGATGGAGATTAGTGGCTCTAAATACAGGTGTAATACATTTTCATTTATTTGTGTAATTCAACATAAAATATGAACTAATTTTTGATAGACTCCTCATTCCATGCAAAGTGACAGATGCCAAGCCTTTTTTGTTATACTTTTGATTGTGGCTTAGTCAATTCTCTAAATATTCTCATTAGTACTGATAATTGATTCACAGCTTGTAAAAACCTAGCTTTGCGTGTAATGACTCTGTCACGTTAGTTTCAGAATGTTAGTTGAAGTCAATGGACGTCTGAACAATACTTTAATATTCCGGGATTTGCCTGGAGGTGGTTTATAGTCTGCACAGACCAGTTAATTATTATAATGATTATACAGTGATGATAATTAGTTGTATTAGTTGAGTACTTGTCACAGTTTTAGCTCTCTGACTGAAATTCTATTTTAGCGTTGTGTGTGCCGCTCGGGGCTGTTGGAAATGAAGTCTCGCTCATTGCCATGGGAATAGAAGTGACTTTAGGTTTTTGTAAGTTTCCTGAGAAGTGAATGTAACAAGAAAATCCAAGGACTTACTTCAGGCGCTACAGCAGGGCTGTAACAAGCGATTAATCGCAATTAATCAATTATTGGAATAGTTGTCAACAAATTTAGTAATTGATTCATCTTTTTTTTTTAACTTAATTGTGAAGCACTTTGTGACTCTGGTCAATGAAAGGTGATAAATACAAGATTAAATCAATAAGATTGATACCTGGATCAAAACATTCTAAGAAGTAAAAATTATGATTTGAGATGTACTGACTACAGAATGACATGGAATTGTTTAAATACATTTAATAAAATCCTTATCAAACAACAAATTAGGTTACAACTAGTTCCAATGAAGATGTTTTTGAGGGGCATCGCTTTAGCTTTGTTTTGACCCCAAATTACTCGACAGATGTAAACGACTAATCCATTAATCACAAGCCAATTATCAAAATAATTGTTAATAACAGCCCGAGTTCACATAAGTCGCCACAGAGAGTGAAGGGAAATACACTGGGCTTGTTTTTTACGCTCTCGTTCTCTCGTGCAGTGTGCCCAAAGCTGTGATGCACTTCTTGGTGAACCATGTGAAGGACAGTCTGCAGAGCGAGCTGGTGGGACAGCTGTACAAGTCTGGCCTCCTCAACGACCTGCTCACAGAGTCCGAGGACATGGCCCAGAGGCGCGGGGAGGCGGCCGACATGTTACAGGTGTGTGCTCCAGGAATACACCCCGAACACTTGGACTTGTTCTTTAATCGGGGAAGCAGCCAAAGTAATGCAGAGTAAAGTGCTTTTAAAAGTGCCTAAAAAGTAGCGTGTGTGTTTTCGTCCACAGGCGCTGCAGAAGGCCAGCCAGGTGATCGCGGAGATCCGAGAAACCCACATGTGGTGATAACGATCTCCTCTAGTGTCATCACGCACCGACAATTCATGCACTTCACTTCTGAACTTGAATCCCCCGCCCTCCCCCCAGAATGCACTGATCCTTATTTAAACATGAGCCCGGCCTGTAGCCACATGAAACAAATATGATGTTTATTTATTCTGGAGTAACGAGAATGCAGTGCCTGTATTGCTGCATAGAAGTAAGCTAAAAAAAAAAATGGTTTAAGGTACAATGAGAGCAAGGATGTGACAGACCTGCGGTTAGCCCGATATGGATGCGTACTTTTAGGCAAAGTGGGAATTCAAAGTCTCGCTGCTGTTTTTGGAAGCTCCACAAAGCACTTGATATCGTTCTGGCTTAAGACGTTCAAAAATAATACCGTTCATTTTGTCATTTCGCTTTAGGTGTGCAGCTTAAGTTTAGCAGAAGCAGGGATGCGGTGTAAAAACGTCCTTGCGCAACTAGTTATCAATATTTCACCACCGGGAAATGCTGGTACGATAGAGTAACGTTTTAGTGTTTTTAGACGGATGGATTATGGCCGGCGAGTTGCTAATGTTTCGTAGATGTCACAATTCAGGCTTTGAAAAGTCTGAATCTATGTTTATTGTGGTAATATATAAGTTGTAAGTAAACATACATAAGATATTCTACTTATAAGGTAAAGGAGTGTAGATCAATAAAAGCGTTAGTTTTACAGTATTTGCAGGGATGTCGATCAAAAAAAATTGTCGCCCGTTTCATACTTTGTACATATCTTTATATTGAATGCACAGCTCTGGAGAAAAGACGTCAAACTGCAAAACAAAAATGAACCTTCAGCTAAAACCCAAGGAAATATAGATTACAACCAACAATGAGAAATATAAAGATGGAACTGAATTGTATTAATTTTTTTTTTTAAGTCGTTCCTTGCCGATGCAGGAGGTAATGATGAGAGATATTTATGCACATTTATTGACATTCCCCAGCATTAAAAAAATCGATTTTCTCTAGTATGTTTTCCCGCATTTCTACTATCAGAGGGAGGTGTTGAATTTATTACTATTATATATTTTTTCCAACCTGCCCCACCTCTGTTAATTATGTCTGACTGTGTGGTGATTGATTCAGTTTTATGCAACTTATCAATATAGGATTCATTTTGATCATGGATATTCACGTAAAAAAATAGGTTCAAGCTAAATATTAACAAACGTACGTGGCGGAAAAACTTATTTTATCATATCATATCATGTCAAAAATGTGACTGCCCAAACCTGCCCCGCAACAGTGTGATATCCAATCGGTACATCATAAGCAAGGCCACGAGTTCAATGGATCGTATTGCATTGTTAAGTACCCCAGCTTTAACTGCAGTATCGTAGCATATTGAGTTACATTTTATCATGCAGACCTTGAATTCTTTTTTTTTTTCTTTTTTTTTATAGAAGGTGCTTATAATTCCTACGTTATGTCCTCTAACTGTCCATATTTTTAGCAGAAATGGGCCAAAAGTAGTAGATCAAGAGACATATACAACACTATTGTTAGTATTTGTGGTATGATAGATCTAATAACCAAATATTATCCAAATTATGCATTCAGTTTGCTCCTTTTTTTTATATGATACAGATGCCATTCATAAAATAATTACGATTTCGATTTGAAAATAATCTTTTCTCCGGAGCTGCATTGAGTTGCTTTGACTATATGTAAAGAAGCCCATCGGTCCTTACACTTTGTTGCCATCTCAACTTTTATTTATTGTTGTTCTATGTGAGTATTGCCACTGCCGCTGCCTCTTTCTGCAGAGCCCATTTAATTATGTTTACATATCACAGTCATGAAACCTGTGACGTTTCCAGTGCACTGTGTTCCCATTGAGAATAAACAGGTCTTTTCTTGCCGTTTGACTCTGTTGTTGTCATTGTCATAAGACCACAGCTTGACTGGAGAGATACACTGTCAGTAATAGCAGTGTTTACCATTATTTTTCAATGTTTACAAGTTAATTAATATGCCGCCTGCTGCTCTTGTTATGACATGTAATTTGAAACTGCTGAGATTTTTATTTTATGGCTGGCTTCCCTTGGCCCTCTAATACAGTAGTGTGGGGTTCTTAACACTTACAGACTTTCTTGGTAATTAGTGCAGGATATTAAGGCCAAAAACTGAGCATCATTTAGAAGGTATTCATTTTGTAATCTTCTACAGGTTTGGTAATATCAAATGTTACCGCTATAGACGATATGAAATGGCAGCTCTGTCACAAACAACAACAGTAGATACCAACGCACAGTGGAGTACACCCTGCAATCTTGAAAGTTCTCCCACGTAGAAATGAGGGAGTGGTCTGAAATGTTCATCATTGATGTATTTTCACTGTTAGGGACATAATCTCAAAAATAGAAATCTGGATCTCACATTTGATCAGTTTTTGTATTTACATTCATTTGTATGTTACTGGGGTTCATAAGTATAAAAATCAATGAGAAAAGCAAACGAGGTCGTCCCACTACTCAATAATTTGTTACAGCTCCTCGTTCTTTGTATTATTTTCTCGTCTGTTTCTAGTGTGTTGAGTCTTGTCTATTTTTTGTGCTGGACTACAAGTCTGTAATTATCTATCTATCTTTGTATGTAAACAAATTGTGCTTCAGTGCCACTGCTCCCACCAGAGGTTTGGGTGAGTATTTTGAGAAAACAAATAAGTCATGCTTATTACAATGTTATTACATAAATAAAGATTAATTACTTACTTATGAACACCATTGATCAAATCTGTAATATGTTCCTAAGTAACGTGACAAGATTACAAACTTCAGTTCAACATATAGATTGTATGCGCTCCTACCCTTACAGATCCAACAGTGTATGCATGCAACAAAGGGTGTAGTGGAAATATGAAAAGAGAAATGGGCGATAAGAATCTTTTATCGGTGCAAAAAAGTCAGCAGGTGGCAAATGACCGGTGATGGTGATTGTATCCCATTCAGAGTGACACTTCCACTGATGCACTGCGGGGCCAATTCAGCATCTGGCAACACAAAGACGACCTGATTGGAGATGTGATCACATTACACACACACAAAAAATACAAATTTAATCATAACACCTGAGTAAATCCTTCATGATAGTGCATGTTTTCTCATTTCCAAAATTCACTTGTATTGAATGAGGGCCTTTATTAGTCCCATAATGGGGACATTTTAACATTGCTTTCACAGTGGTGAATGAGCAATGGAGGAGTCAGTGCCGATCACTCATCAAAACGTGACAGTTGCGTGCGTAAACTCAAACGCTTTAAAATTATATTGTTCAAAGAAAAATGTCTAAATGTTTTTCTCTCCTCTTTTTTTCCTATAGCTATCCTAAACAGTCTTTATACTTCTGCGCTTTGAACCTTATTTCGATCCCCTGAACTTGCATGAATAGTTTACACAAATATCAGTTTAGAAAAAAAAAAAAGGTTTATTGAAGGTTTTTATCCTGAAACACGTAACGTAGATAGGGCATTGTTGGCCCCTCCTTCACATGGTGCGGTGCGGGAGAAAACCATGGTACGCTAGAAAAACAATATTTGAAGATTTAATTTTCATTAGTGATTTACCTGCATTAGAAATCCTATTTGGACCAGATCTGAAGTGACAAGTAAAATGAAAAGCTGGTGGCACAAGACTTTTTCTTCTCAGACAAGAAATAAATATGCTGGTTAACTTGAACTAAGTAAAACTATAACGTGTTGCTTTAGTCATAACTCATTATTCAAGTTTCACTCAGCCAAATCAACACAACAAGGACAACAAAGCCTAGTTCTAGTTCTTTTAAGACCACGTACTTGGTATTGAATAGGCATGTTCAAAGGCCCAAGAGCTAAATGCGGCCCTCAAATGGTTTCTTTTCAGGCTTTTGCATTTGTTGTAAATGGTTTTTTTATTCCAAAAACATTACAATATAAAACATACAGTGATGCTTGGATAGATAGATGGATAAATACTTTACTGATCCTGAAGCAAATTGCGCATTATTCTCTTGCTCACATTTGCACAAACACAGCAGGATGAAGTTAAAAGCAAAAACATAATTGAAAATGATAGAAGTTACGGCACAGAAAGATAATTGAAACTCATGCTTTTAATTTTTGCCCATATTTTGGACATTATGATTTTTTTCTCTCTGTTAGTGGTTGTGTGAAGCCATTTACTGTCAGAAGTTCATTTTGTATTTTAAAACTACAATAACAATAGAAAGTCTCCATCCCCCAGTTCTCAGAAGCGAGTGTCGCCCTTTAACATTTATGACACCTTGGAGTCTTGGTTGTGGATGAGGCTCTTTATCCTCTTCTCGGGAGAAGGCCTCTAGTTTCTGTAAATTCACGTGTTGCCTTTTGAGATTGCCGCAATTGTTTTTTTGCAGTAAATGGCTCCACATAACAATCTTTTTATTGGGGCGACTGTAGCTCAGTTGGTAGAGCACTGGTCTCTGGACCTAGGCACCTGCTCCCACTGATGTCTGTTGTCGTTGTGTCCTTGTGCAAGACACTTAACCCCACTTTGCCTGAAGTCCCCGCTGAAAGACCAAGGACACTGTGGACCCACTGTGGACCCACCACCTGCAGGAGGATCAGCGAGGGATTGGTGCTGTGAGACCTGGGTGGCAGCTCTGATTGCCAACCCCCCCGACCCAGAAATGGAATAATAAAGGGGAAGGCAATGACAGGATGACATGGCTCCACATAGATTCAGATTCATTTATTTGCCATTTGCAGTAAAACCACATTGGAAAAACTGTGCAAGACTACCCCGGTGTGCACCAGACAGAGAAGACGACACACACCAGAGCTCTTGCCACGGCGCCATCTTTACGGCGCCATGCGACAAACAGTAGAATAAACAGCAGAGAGCAATAACATACAGTTTCACAGACAGTTGGATAGACACATAACCACTGACATCGCGTGAAACATATTGGCTTTGTTATCGGTCATAATCCCCAACATAAAAATCACTGTATGGATAGATTTT